TCGTGTGCGGCAGCATCATGTGAAGCTAACGGAACTCTTCCAAAAATGGCACAGTAATACTCGTTTGCACAAACATGATTCAGCATGGAGGATATGGCCCAGACTGCGGCTATCCCCGAGTATGAGTACGAGTACTCCTACTTGTGCATGTCCGACGCCGAGATTCTCCAGACAGCATTCTGGAGCTGTGTGCTTTCTATTACTACTAATACCACTTGGTACGTGTACAGAAACCTGTCAATCTTCATCACAGGATGCTGCGCGGCAATTGATACCTGGCTGCTGTCGCCATTCTAGAATATCTTCACTCGCTGAAGGTGTACATTCGCTGCCGAGCAGGGAACATGGTGGGCCAATGCCAACGGGTAGGTTTTGGCAGATGGGCATGCTTGGGGAACAGGGTAGTAGTACTACTGCGTCTCCAAGCGGTACGAGTACATAGCATCCATCTGTGCCAATACCTTGACTTTGCAGCGCTGGCAGCAATGCAGAGGCAAAGCGAACCGCCACGACGCCGGGAACAAGACAGGGGGAAGCCGGTCGGTGTTGCATGGACAGCAGAAAGAGTGAGATTGCCTTTTTTTTTCTCCTCCTCTTTGCTGTGCGCCGCTTGAACGAACTGCACAGATTAAGGGGGTGTGGGTGGGTTTGGTGGAGAGGCGAGGGCTGGAAAAAGGGGGCGCGGGGGCCTGCAAGGACTTCCTGGGTTTGTGCGTTCGGAACCTCACGCCCCCCCCCCCCCCCCTTCGGGGACCAAAGTACCGGTACAAGCATACAGACACTTGTATACGATACTTGCGAAGCCCGAAGCTCGAAGCTCTCGCTGAGCGTGAGAAGAAGGATGGGAGGCGGCGTGGGGTGTTATGGATGGTTGTTGGCTCAGGATGTGCTCTGTTCGCCTGGGTCGTCGACAGGTATGGGTGGGACTCGGGATTTCACAGGGACCGCCAGCAGGTGCAGCGTGCTTGCACATGTGCGAGATGGACGAGGCGTTGCTTGACAGGTCGAACTGCTGGTCAGGATGCCTGGTCAGAATCTGGCATGAACTACGAGTATGTGATATATCGTTGATGCTAATTGTACGAGTAGGGCACGAGTGAGAGGGCATCTACTGCCGGAAAGCCGCCCGAGTGCTGGGTTTTTGAGAGAATACCGGTATAGATCCCGAGCTTCGCATGGCGATGAATCGCGGTAATGGATTTGCGGCAGCAGTGACATTCCAAGGAGGGGGCACAAGAGGAGGAAGGTTGGGGGCTGGGACAGGAAACCGAAGGGAAACCTGCTGATAGAAAGACCCGAGGTACCTACTATTACAGTACAATATAGGCGCAGTACAAGAGAGGTACAGTAAGGTAGGTAATACTCGTACACTGCTGCCAGCGCAGGAGTTGCGGTGACGGAAAAGGGAGCGGCAATGGAGATGCGGTATAAAAATAAAAAAGGGGAAAAGAGGCAGAAGGCCAAAAAGGATGAGCAGAAGCGGAAAGGCAATGAAAGAGGAGTTTTTTTCGGTGGTTCTGTTAGTTGCTTGTTGAAGAGAGAGAGGCGGAACCGATGCCCCGTAGACGGGACGCGGGTACCTTTTTGGTGCTGGACTGTAGGAGCGGTGACAGAGTTGGGTGCTTGGAGGCGGAGGTAATACAAGCAGTATGACAAGTACAACTACTTTTGAGTGCTTCTTTAGATGCGTGATACTCCGACGTAAGGTACATTCGAGTATATATGGCGCGTTGGCGCTGTGTGTGTACGAGTAGTACTACGAGTACTTTGTATCAGTGAGTAGGAAGAAGGATTTGGGGATGTCGATGGATGATATCATGACACATGATTTGGTGTTGCAGCAACACACCACCAATCCAGAAAGGGAGAGGAGGGTGTGTGTGTGTGTGTGTGTGTGTGTGTGTATACGTATGGGTGAGACAGTTGAGATTTTCTGGGAATACGTAGAAGCTGTCTCAAGAAAGAAAAGAAGAAATAACAGAGGAGACAGAAGAGGGAGAGAGAGAGAGATGAAGAGAGAGAGAAGGTATCAGCTTGTGTACTGCGAGAAGCAGGCTACGATATTTTCTCACTACATAGTACTACTATTGTCGTTGAGATTGTGAGAAGAACGTGGGTGCTGGGAGGTCAACTTGTACAGCATCACCGATCGCATAGTCTACCTCTCAAGCTCAGATGCAAGTACCCTACAGAAAAGAAAAGAAAAGAAACAAGAATAAATAAATAAAGCAACATGGATGTGACGGATGTAAATACGACTTTCAACGCCGCTTATTCGGGTACTTCAATACGCACCCCCAAGGCAGCAATGAAAAAAACAAACGAAAGAAAAAAAAAAAAAGAAGAAGAAAAAAAAAAGACTCTTCTTCCCTTGCCCGTTTGGAAAGGGCAAATCCGACGGGTATCCCACACGAGACGCTCCCGACTCTTTTCTGCTCCGGGTCTTCTTGGGGTGTTTTCCGTTCCGGTTTACGCAAAAATAAAATAAAAAAAAACAAGTGTCGCTGGGATTAAAGCTGGGATTTCAAGAGCTTTCTCCTCTGTCCATTTCTTTCCATGTCTTTCTTCTTCTTCTTCTTGAAATGTACTTGTTTTGTCTGTATTCCTTTGATTTCTATGCGTGAAATTGGCGTGTTTAATGCCGTGTGACTTGGCGGGTGAGCAAAGGGGCGTGTTCCTGTGCATGTTGTGTAAACATACTTGTAGTGTTGTAGTGTGGTCTTGTCGTGCTTTTTCTTTTCTTTTTTTTTACCTTTTTTTTTTTTTTTTTTTTTTTTTTTTTTTTTTTTTTTTTGCTTCATATAGTAGTCGTACGAGTGTTACAGTAAAGGTTGCTGCTACCTCAGCCGCAAATACAACATATACAAGGGGGGGGGGCCAAAGGAGGGAGCATTCTCTCCAGATCCCACTCATTGGTGACAACACATCTGGGTTGGCGGGATACGAGTATACCTACTCTACAGAAGAGAACCTGGTGAATGAGAAAACTGTTTCTTGCCTTGGCGACTCTTGCTTCAGCTCAATGTCTACCTACCCTACCACCCATCCTCAACACCAACGCGGCTCTTCGTCAACTTAAAACCCCCCCTCTCTCTTCAAACCTCATATACATACTTGATGATGACCTCCTCTCCAGCACATCCAAGTAACTCGCACACAAAAAGCCACACGTATCACACGCCACACACGTCCTGGTACCCCTTTCCCGTCCATCTGAACACCGACGATACACGAACCCAAGCACAGCCCATGCACACCCATTCATTCCCTCCCCTCCCCTCCCCTCTCCTGTCTTGTCTTGTCTTGTCTCCCATACCCCCTCCCCAGGACACACGGCCAGTATCATCACTCTACGAAAGGGAAAAAGCAGTATGTAGTGATGTACTGACTACATTAACAAAGCAAGGTACCTTTTCCCCCAAAAGATGGCCAAGGTATCTAGGTACTACTACTTATACCTGCTAGGTAGGTAGGTAATAGGTAATAATAATCCATTGCTTCTTCTTGTCACGACGAAACTCGCAGTGTCACCCCGATCCACGACCAACACACACACCCACAAACCCAAACCCTCGGCGCGACACACGCATTTGCGACTTTTTGTACTGCCCCAGGCGAGACCGAAGAAGAGGGGATGGAGGGAAGAGGTGAGGCAAAATCATCTATAGTCTGTTCCATTTTGGTTTTCATCATGCTGTGACTGGGAGAGGGAGGAGGAGGAGGAGGAGGAGGAGGAGGGGGGAAATCCCGATGCAAACATTGCTTGTTTCTAGTATTACTCCTGTTGTCGAGGCACGGGCGTATTACCGCACCAACTGGGGCTCAGGTTGTTTGTGTATGTTGTGTCGTAGTGGCGTATACGCGTGAGTGCACAAGAGAGGAAGGGGGTTCGAGAAGACAAGTCCTGCAAGGATACATGGGAAGGAAAAGAGACAGTCTCTCTCGTCTTCTTCCTCTTGTCTCCCACGGGGACGACGACGACGACTCTCGGTGCTTCATGCGCGAGGCTGGCAATAGTGATATGCACCAGGAGAATGCCTATGGACTCACAAGCATGTATCTGTACGAAACAATGTACGATGCAAGAGGTTACTATTTCAAATCGCAGCTGTTAATAGGTATGACTCCGTCTCGCTGGGATAACCGAGGAATGCTGATCCATGGCCCAGCCGTCCTCCCCCCCTCCCATGCTGGCTGAAAACACACAAACAAGCCACTTTTTGATTTTGGCGAAGAGGGTGTGGGCATGACTAAAGGAGCGTGCAAGGGGGAACGTGAAAAAAGAAAGGAACAGTATAGTGCTTCTTAAAACAAACAAGCAGGCCACCCCTCCTTCACCATGCGCGGCATGTCTGAGATTGACGATGCGTGTGGCCGGCATGGGGGGGACGCAGAGTGCATGGATGGATGGATGGGTGGGTGGATGCTGAGTATCGAGCAACGAAGCGTCATGGAGTAGAAGAAGAATCAGAAGGAGTCGAAGACGTTGTAAGGGACAAAAAGATCAAACCGAGCTTTTATTCCTTCGGAGCCCTATGTGAATATCAAATGGGATTCAGAAAACCAAAGGAAACCGAGAACCGACACACCGGGTACAAGCAAGAAGAAAAGCCAACAGTATCTCGCTCGCCATCGTTCATTCATTGACACATAACCCCCCCTCTCTACTTACTCTCCACACCACTGTAGATTCGTCATACATTTTGCTTCGTCGGCATGTGAAATGGGAGAGAATATTGGATGGAAACCGAAAACGAAACACCAGGTGTAGCTTCAACAAGATGAAAGAACAAAGAGGTATACAAGACATAGAGGATGAGAAACATGACCAAGAAAATAAAAAAAGAAATCCAATGAAATGAACTCGAACAACTCCTCAAACAACACGGCAACTTCTCGCAGAGCATGCTCATCAAAACGCGCACGCTTCACAACGGGGCGTGGATGGACGGTAAGATGCCGCGACACCATCCCGACATGCTTTTGTTCGTAAATCATGATCAAATCTCTCGGTGTGATCGATGGTGGTGATGGTGGTCCAAGTCCCTGGACCTGGACTCGTAATCATCATCCTCGTCACGCCTGTGTCGGCGTCGCCTCTCTCGATCGCGGTCGCGGTCACGGTCGCGGTCTTGATCACGGGGGTCGACCAGGTCCGCGTCGTCTCGATGACGGCGGTGGCGATGGCTTGCTCGCCGCCCCCGGTCGTCATCGTACTCCCGGTCGTAGTCCCGATCATACTCGCGGTCATACTCGCGGCCGTAGTCTCCGTCGTAGTCGCGATCATCGTAGTCGCGATCGTGGTCTCGACCATCTCGGTCTCGGTCTCGGTCACGGTCGCGATCTCGTTCCCGGTCTCGATCGCTGTCATGGTCGCCGCCAGCCTCCTTGTTGCGTCGCCTCTCTGTTTCATATGTCAGCCACGTATCGAACCGGCAGATCCAAATCAGTTTCTCATGAGAATTGCCTACCTCTCAAGACCTGCGTGGCGGCAGCATAGGCCTGAATCTCTTCCTTGCTCAGGACTCGAAGCACAATGACAAAGTCATCGCGAAGCTCATATCTCTCCTTGCCAATCTCCAGCGCCTCTGGGTTGACAATCTTGCGGTTGATCTTGGTCCACCGAGCACCCGGAGGGACTTCCTTCAACTTCTTGTCCTCCTTGTGCGGCGCAACGCCCTCACGGATGGGATTGAGCTCCTCGGGGAACTTGGCGCTTGGCTGCTTGAGAATGCCCTTTAGGGGCTTTTCTTCCTTCTTCTCGCGCGGCGGCGACACAACGCGGACTTGCTTTTCCTCTGGGTTCCGGAGAACAAGGTCTCGCCCGCGATCGTCTTCCCCAGCGGGCGACGCTGACCGGCGCTCCTCCTTGTCCTTTTCAGGAGGCGGCGCCTTGTCCTTGCCGTTGGTCTCGGGCTTCTCGCCGTCAGATGTCTTTGCAAGCTGCTCTCGGATCTGCTTGAGATCCCCAGTGTCATTGGGATCAAAGCTGTTGGAGGGGCGATGCCTGCGCTCTGCCTTCTTCTTGCCCTCGTCGGAATCCGAGGACACAATGGCCGATTCGCCGTTGAGCTTGGCCTCGGCTTCCCGCCTGTTCCGCTCCCTGGCCTCTGCCTCCGCCTTTGCGGCTTGGCGGTCTCGATCCTCGTCTCGCTCACTGGCCTCGTCAGAAGCCCGGCGCCTCCGTGCCTCGCTCGACTCTGGCTTTGCGTCCTTTTTGCTGTTTGGCGAGAGGCCGCCACCAGCAGCAGCAGCAGCTGTAGCGGCACCTGCGGCAACACCGGAAGCAACCTTTTCTCGGACCCGGGACCGGTCGCTGTCTTCCTGGTCAGAATCTCTTCTGCCGTCTAGCCTGTCACGAAGATTGTCTTTGTAGCTTCGGTACCAATCCTCCCTGTCGCGTTCAGACCTTTCGCGATCTCTTTCGCGATCCCTTTCACGGTCAGATCCCCGTTCATCCTCGTCGTGAGGCCGCTGGCCTTCCTTGACTGGGGCTTCGATCCTCTTCCTAGAGTGATCTCGCCTAGTTGGTTCTTCCCTTCCAAGGTCGTCCCTCGACTCCCAGTAGCGGCCCCGGTGGTCCTCGACGTCATCGGGCTGGCCAACCCGCAGACCGAAGCCTCGAGAGGTGACGCTGTCGTCGTAGAAGCGGCGGGGCTCATACCCATCGTCGTCGTAGCCCCTGTAATAGTCGTCGGGATGGGCGCGACCCGGCTCCTGTGTCAGTGACAGAGGCCTGGGACGCCTGATGGTACGCTGCTCCACGGGTCTCTCGACGACTTCCGGCTGTCCAAGATTGGGGGGAGCGGGCGCCGCAGGAGGAACGTCGCGGGCGCTTTCGTATGCCCGCCCGATCTTGTCAAAGCCGCGGGTCGAAGGCGGAGGGCCGCCACCCCGGCTGTCGTAAATGCGACTGGCGCGGTTCGGGTCAAGCGTCGTGTTGACGTTGAAGCTCCGCTGGTCCGCGTTGTAGTTGATGTTGGGACGGGAGTAAGTCCGGTCAAAGCTGTCGTGCCGGCGAGAACGAGCGGGGGCGGGGGCGGCCCCATGGTCCAGGTCATAGCGGACCAGCTCGCCAGCGTTGGTGTACTGATATCCGTCATCGCCGTAGTCGATGGCGGCGTTGCTGTGCCGAGAGTTGCTCGGATAGACGACGTGAGGCCGGGAGCTGCGGTAGGCATCGGCGTCGCGACTGGCGAGTACAATCTCCCCCTGCTCCCGCGAGCGGCCAAAGTCGTCGCTGGCCGAGGAGGTGTGGTATGGACGGGCGGTGCTCCTGGACCTGATGGACGACGCCGGCTGGGAGTAGAGCCTCCCGTCGCTGGCCCGGTACGGCTCTCGGACCGGGCTTCCCCCGTGGGTCAAGACATCGGCAGTCAGTGGCGTCGAGGTATGCGGGCGGTGATCCTGCATGGAGGTGACGATGATGGGCGGCCGGGCAGACGCATCGAGCGTGGAGCGGCGAGTGCGGCTGGGCTCGCGAGGGCTCGGCCTGGGGGCGCGAGGCTCGGGGTTGACGGTCGAGTACGATCTCGGAGGCACGGCAACGGCTGCAGGCGCCGCAGCTGCTGTGTAGCCTCTGGGGGTGGCAGCCGAGTATCTCGTGGGCGAGGCGACGTAGTCCGGGTCGTTGGCATACAGGGCGCCGTAGCCCCCGACGCCGGCAGGCAGCGAGATGCGCGCCGGGTTGTTGAACGTGGCGGATCGGCCAGCCGCAGGATAGCCTCGATATCGATCAGCCATGGCGCTGGTCCTGGACAAGGTCGGGCAGAAGAGCGGACCAGACGGGCGGCGGCAGCGAGAGAGATTGCGAACGAGGGTCGACCCGGTATATGAGTGACGCAAAGGATGCAGACAAGTAGGTAATACTATAGAAGCTCCAAAGAGAGAAGAAGAAGGACACGCAACAGCGACAGCGGCAGAGACCGTCGTCAGCCCGGCACAGCGCAAGATGCAAGTGCACACGTCACAGCAAGCAGCCGGGCAGATGCAGGACTGAATGAGGGGTCGCCTGTCGACGTCGTGAGATAATAAGCTGCGGTGGGAAACGGAAAAAAATGCCTGGATAGATGATCGCGGGGTTTCCCAACCAGCTTAGCAATGCACTTTGGGCTCGGCTCTATGTACCAGGGCCAGGGGGGTTCTCTGATGCCTGTCTAATAATGCCTGTCTGATGCCTGTCAGAGAGAGAGAGAGCACAGTTGTTGAGGGCACTCGGCTAATAACAACAGTCGAGAACAGGGAGACGAAGGGAGAAAGAGAAAGAAGAGGCCCGGTGGAAATCTCAAAGGCCCGATCGAGCCCGTGCAGCGCAGGGTCCAGAAAAGGCCGAGTTTCTCGTGAGTGATTCGCCCGACGCAAGGGAGAGAGGGGACGCTGGACGGTTAAAGTGCAGGCAAGCCGGCCTGGGGTCTGTTATGGATTGGATGGATTGGACTCGAAATGGCTGAGGTGAGGTGAGGTGAGGTGAGGGCGTTGAACCGGATCAGGTCTATGGATAGGTCTGGTGCACTGGAGTTCCAGTTGGCCAGGGGTCGACCGCCCATAAGGTTCAGTACCCGACATGTATGGAGGCTAACACCGCTAGCGAGAGCCACCAACATCACTGGAGCACAGTTGGTCGAGGTCACTAACAGCCCACTGGAGGCGCGGCGATCAGCGTCTATTCTTAGCGGGACAGGGCGCCCCAGTGGCGGTCCGGTAGTTGCCAGCCAGCGCCCGTTGCTGCTGGCGGCTCGAGCTGATGAGAGAGCTGCTGCTGCTGGAGCTGTTGGTGCTCGTAATAAAAACTGGAGGCTACATATTCGCTGTTGGAAAGACGGCGCACAATGGAAAGCTCGGGCGTGGCAACAGAGTTATGGGCCGTGGTGACGGGATGAAGCGATGCTCGGAACCATCCAGAGCCGGTGGTGAGGCACTACCTACATGTTAGTGTGTATTGCTGCTGATTACATGTACGAGTACATGTATCCATCATCAATCTCCCCAACTTCGGGCAGCTCTCGGACGTTCGGATGTGATGAGAAGAGACTGAATGTCCTGTTTGTCCTGTTCGATCCATTCAGTATTAGCACTTTGGGCACAAAGTATCCAAGGGGTGGGTTTCGCAAGCCTTGCCTTAAAGATAGAATAAAAAAATAAGAATAAAATAAGAGTATTGCTGGAGGGGCACTAGTCTTTTGCTAGGGGGGCACTGGTTAAAGTACCTGAAAATTTTGCTTATAACTCTATATCTTTAAACACTTATAACTAAGCTAAATAAAATTAAAAAAATATTTAAAAAATACTATCTTATTAACTAAAACCTATATATACTTAAAATGTTTTTTTTAAATATTTTAAAAGCTATATTAATAATAAAATTTTAAAAGAAACTTAAGCTATATTTAAGTATAGATTTTCTTATAATACTTTAGTATAATTAGGTAACTTCTTATATATTTATATAGCTTATTTATTAAAGATTTATATTTTACTTAATGTATACTTATATAATAGCTACTTAGCTAAAAATACTAATTTAACTTAAAATTAGATTTTTAAGCTTAATATAACTAATAAACTTATATTTTTAAGTTTAATATATATATTTCATATATAAAAAACCTAGATATTAAATAAAAATTTTAAAAATAATTTTCTAGAATTTATTATAGATTTTTAAAGGTAGAGGAAGTTTCTGTGGGTCTGTAAGCATAGGCCTTTACTATACCAAGTTTAGCTAGTCAGTGCCCCCCTAGTAAAAGACCAGTGCCCCCCCAGCAATACTCTAAAATAAACAGCGGCTCTTTCATCGGTAAACCCTTGGGCGCAGATTTACGCTGGCAAGCCCGGAATAGCCTCGTCCTTCGTCCTGCAAGCTCTAGCAGAAAAGAAGAAAAAAAAAAAAAGATCCCACGATTATGACGTCGTGCCTCGAAGTCGCCACCACGCCAGCGTCAGAGCTACAGCAGGCTAGCTGACACAGAAACTCTCATGGCGCCTTGAATCCCTGATCCTGTTTACTTCGTCGAGATACAGTAGTAATACTACCCGCTTGGTGGTGGTCTCTGTCTCCGATTGATTGCTCTCTACCTGGTCAGGCACGCTCCCGCTTATGCTTGTTGACGGTTAGCCAGGAACCGCTGTGAGGAGTGAGCTGTATCCTGCATGGCATCTCATGTCCATAGTATATGACATGCCTGAAGATGAACTCAGCTTCAAATCAGATATCAATGATTTCAGGCATCACGACTCTGCTGGACACGGGCCAAATGGTCCGAACTCGTGTATGAAAAGCATCGGTAGCCACGGCTCTCCGATTCTCCTCCCCTTCAAACACCACCCAACGGACTAGCAAAACCTTGTCGTCCGCCCTCATACGGGATCCAGAATTCGACCGGAACCTCTGGAAGTATTTTCCTTCTTCTCTCTTCTTTGTCTTCGCAAAGGCGTCTTTTTCTCCCTATAACGCCAATTCCCTGACGGCTAATCTCATCATCTCTGAGTGGACCAGCTTCGAGCCTCGTACTACTCGTACAAGGTATGAAGCACACGGACCATCAGGTTGGGCTGCCACGGCGATCCATCATTGTGCCCAACCGGACCGGGGTTGAGCAGACCTCGGCCTTTTCTTCTCTCATGAGGAAGAACGAAGATCCTTCACGAGAGAATTGACCCCCAATTGCCATGAAACGGCGCTTTTGTGGTTTCGGCTTAAGGATGCCAAAGAGCAGCGACGGCTAATGATATGACTAGTAGGATGTCATTTGAGCTTCATGGTCTAACGCAGGCTAATGTCGTGTTGGATCAACACATGGATAACATGTACGATTATATAGGAAGAAGCTCCAGAGCCGGCCTTGCCAACACGCTGTATCCAATACGGCACCTGGTATTCGAGCCTCTCCCGCGTGACATGTGCATACACAGGCATACGAGGTCTCCAGGGTAAGTAGCGACCATTTCACAGGTAGAGATGGGGCCTAGCAGGGGTCTGTAGGAGGCATCACGGCGATGTATCCTGTGGCTGCACCCCTGTCAGAACACCCTGGTCGGTACTCATGCAATGGCTACTACTTTCGCCGGATACCTCGTATGCCCTGCGCACTAAGGCAAGGATCACTTACTTACAGATCTATCTGTCTGTATCTGGACAAGCAACATGAAGCTAATATTACGTGCCCGTGGCCTGTCTGCAAGTTGGCTCTAAACCCATCTTCAACAAAGGATATTGTAGCTATACCTACATCTACCTGTCCTCATATCACTATATATCGTACATGTAATACAAGAGCCATCTCCAGAATATCCATGGCTCTTTACGGCGTTAGCAAGGTTGGGCATGAAAACCTGAACCCAAGAATGGTCGGTCGTATGTGGCATGATCTCGTGGTTGGATCCCTGCTGCCGTTCCCTCTATGAGGACAAGTAGCCTCTATGATACATACCGACCTGGTTTCCCCAGAAAGTTGAGCCTACTTAGTACTACATACTAGCATCAACATCCACCAGCCACATGTCGGATCCTTGTTCCCATTGACGCCCAATGCGGCCCTTTGTCGCTGGGAACAAGCGCTGGTGGGGGCACAAGGACGAGGAGTTGGCCTAGTATTGCAGTACTGTAATAGTACCTGGCTGGCAGTGCTCGTGGTCCTGGGACCTGAGATGCAAGTGACTGCATCGTCACGGTTGTTGCGAACATGTGCGAAGCGTACCGGGGCCAGTACCGATGATATGTGGGCTGGTGATTGTGAGAGCGTTGCATATTGTCTATATGAGTTGCTGTTTTGAGTAGATGCAGTCTCGGTGTGAAGACTGAAGACGCAAGAGTGTGTCCAAAGACTACATGTACCTACATGTGACACCATCTCATTATACCTTAGTCTTTTCATCACAGTCTTCTCATCATAGTCTGCTCATGATAGTCTAGACTCTTCTCATTGTAGTCTTTTCATTGTAATGTAGTCCTTTCAATATAGTCTTCTCGTGATATTTTCTCGTGATAGTCTTCTCGTGATAGTCTCTCATCATTGTCTTCCACCATACATGTAGTCTCAGTACCATAGTCTTATCATGATAGTCTTCTCATAGCGAGTCGGGCAGACTCTTTACGGCGAGATGTGGAGGAGATGAGATGAGACAAACCCTTATACTAACATGATCGAGACAAGCTCAAAAGCAACTGACATTCTGGTCATAACTTACAGCAACAACAATGACTGAGCAGCAGGCACACACACACTCACCCATCCTTATCCTCCACAAACCCAGCCCTTAAGCCAACGACCCCATGGGATCCCACAGCGGAAGCACAATCGGCTCCTGCTTCAACACATCCCTCACCTCCTTACCGACGAACCTCGGATCAACAACCGCCTGGTACACAAACTCATCCATCCAGGCATCACTCATCACGAACCACCCGTTCTCGCCCGCCGCCGTCCCCCAGCTGTTCTGCACCCTCCACCGGACCGGCCGCCCCGTCCTCTCGTCCAGGTGCACCGCCGTCAGCACCATGGCATGCGTCATGAGGCTCTCGCCCGTCATGAGCCTCTGCGCCTTGGTCATCCCGCGCAGGCTGGTGTTGAGCCCGGCCTCGTAGTCGAACAGGTCCAGGTCCATGATGCCCGCCGCGCGGTCGCTGAACTTGCCCACGTCGCAGCCGAAGAAGATGGGCAGGCCCGCCTTGAGCATCTTGACGCACGCCGCCTTGAGCGTCTCCATCTCGACATTGACATACGTCACGGCCCTGCCGCCGACGACGTTGCCCAGCCGCGAGACGGTGAGCTTGCGCAGCGGCTCGTGCCGCGGGTCGTGGACGAGCGAAATCATGCCCTGGATGGCATCCGCCGTGACGCGGAACTCGGCACTGTAGATATCCTTCGCAAACGCCCTCGGCGTCGTCCTCACCTCGCGCGCCTTGCCGTCCCTGTCGACGTACTGCCACGCAAACTCGTCGCTCGGCCGCGGCGGCTGGCCCAGCAGCAGCGTCATGACGAGCGCAATCTCCTGCACCATGCGCATCTTGTACGCGCCGATAAAGGACGGCGGCGCGCCCGGCATCTGCCGGCACAGCTCGCGCAGCCGCAGCGCGTGCTCGCGCAGCTTCGTCTTGACGATGCCGTTGAGCGCGCTCGAGTTCATGGCGCTCCAGCTGTCCGGGTACAGGCTCTGCGGCACCAGGCCGTACTTTTCGACGAGGTTGTACACCATGTCCCACTGCCCGCCGTCGGACACGAGGTCGCTCAGCAGCCGCTGGACGACGCGCCCGTCGAGGTCGTCGCCGGCCGTCTGGATCACCTGCTCCAGGAACCAGTTGGCCTTTTCGAGCTTGTCCCAGTAGAAGAGGTAGGCCTGCGAGAGCTCAAAGGAGGCCAGCCCGTGCCGCTTCATGAGCGCCACGCGGAAGACGTTTGTCGAGGCAAAGAGCCAGCAGCGGCCGCTGGACCGCTGGTTGGTGATGGGGTCGCCCTCGAACGGGATCCGCACGTTGAAGACGTGCTGGTTGGCCACCTTTGAGGAGCGCGTGGTGAGAGCCTGGCGGGGGTCGGACGAGCTCAGGGCGGCGTGGGCGAGTCTGATGATTGCTCGTCAGCATGAGATGCATTGCTGTCGACTGTCAACTCACCTGTTCTTGGGGTCCCTCATCAGGCTGTCTATCCAGAGCTCAACCGACGACACGGGCAAGCCCTCGGGCTCCCGCATGGCCAGCTCATGATTCTCCGTCTCCTCAGCGTCCGCCTTCTCGCCATCGCCGCCAACTTTGGCGCTCAGGCCCTCTCCCTCGTCCAATTTGAAGCTTCGGAGACGCTCCAGTATAAGCCTCTCGCTCTCCGCAGCTGTGATCAGTTTCGACGGCTGGCCCCCCATGGTGATTGATGACTGTCCGTAAGCCCTTTGGTACCCCTAGCTACGTGTTATATCCTACTAGTACTACGTACGTCTTTTCGCTGAAAAGCAATTCAACAAGGGGGGGAGTCCTTATGTATGATGTCAAGATATACACGCCAACAGCTGTAAGAGCCGACGTATCTCAAGGCAAACAAACAATCACCTTATCAAAACCAGTCGTTGGAGCACATCAACATCGTGGTTGTGTTGTTTGCTACCGCAACAAAACATGGACCGTCTGCTGGTCCTCTGCTTATCCGGCCTTTCATCTCCCCCGCCCTCATCCCCCCTCTCCCCTCCCCCCCCCTCCTTCAAGTTTAGTATCACATCATTCGTCGGCTATATCCAGATCCCACCGGTTCTTTTGTCGCGCTACCTACATGTTATCTCCAGCAATTCCCCTATCTGCCCGGTCCTCATTGCTTACATGCCTATATGTGCTCTGTAATATATCTACCACTTGGTCTCGTATTTGTTGCCATGTTAGCACAGTGCTGGTTGCTTCCTCGTCTCTGAATCGATGCTTGCTTCATATCAAGACAACGTCAGTCTCTCGTTACAGATGCGACAAGTGGGGTTTGGAGCAAGGGAAAAAAGAGGGCCATCGACTCTCACATGTCGGGCATCGTATAATATCGTGGCTGCTGCAATCTTGTGGGGTTTCCCCATGTATCCCATGACCGGTGCGCTGGCGACGGGTACCTTGATGTCAACACGCAGACATTGGGTAGGTAGGCAGGTAGTCTAACACGACGACGCGTCAAGAGGCAACGTGTACTGCTTGTGATCTGCGCAGGGAGGACGATTTACAGCCATGACAACACGATGCATCACGATGCATCATCACTGCATGTCACAAAGGGCGGCACAAAGAAAAAAGTTATGCAAAATCCATCTTAAATTACAGTGCTGCACATAGGTAGATCCTATCTACTGGGCACTCTGCCTCATGACCAAAATACATCCCAGCCCGATCCAAAAAAATGACAAACCGTTCCACGTATCACTCCAAGCCCATGGGGTATTTTTCACATTATTCAGGCTTGATCCGAGCCTGGAATATCCATAGGATGGATGGACAATAAACCCTCCCCCTTAGACACGAAAGATGTCATCGAGAGGATTGTTTACAGGCGAGAGCCGTGGACGACCTTCATCTCAACAGCGAGCTCATGGCCGCCGTCGTTGAGGACCAGGACACGGACGCTGCCGCGGCCGGACTCGAAAGCCTGCTGCAGACGAGACCACAGGTTGGACTGGTCAATGACCTTGAGGCCCTGCTTGACGTCGCCGGTCTCGGTCATGGCGGTGACGTAGCCGTCAGCCATGTCGAGGACGCGGTACTGCTTGAAGACGGGGCCGAGCATGGTCTGGACAACAACGCTGGGGGCAGGGTTGGAGATGAAGGAGGACTCCTCGTGCAGCTGCTTGGTGAAGAGGTCAACACCAAGGTAGCGGTACTGGCCAGTGGCGGACGAGGTCGAGATGCGGATGACCTGGCATGGTCGGCCCTGGAGCATCAGGAAGTCACCCAGGCGGATGTGGTGGCAGGGGATGGACACAGTCTGAGGCTGCGACTCAGTGGCGGGAGCTGCGCGTCGCGAGTGATTAGCATCGTGGCGGACAACATCAACTTCAACGTGCTCTGTGATCGTAGTGTTATTATGGTCATGATGGTCACTGTGGTGGTGGTGATCACTGTGGTGGTGATGGTGGTGGTGATGAGGGAGCAGCTTGTCGATCGTCTTGGCGACGCCGTGCTTGAGGGAGTGGTAAGAGCCTGCCGGCGACACGCGTTAGCGTATGCTTGCACGCGTCTGGCCAGACAGGGAGGGAATGGAGGAGAAGAGCGGGAGGGAGAGAGACAAAAGAACGTTAGTATAGCTTACCCTCGTCGTCGTAGTAACCCATCTTGGCGGATTGTTCGGGGACTTGCGGAGTAGACTCGCGGATTTCCTCGGTGATCTTGATCTCCTCACGGAACTTGGGACGGGCAACAGAAGTGTGCTCGTCGACAACGGTGAAGTCGGAGGACTTGTGGTGGTGGTGGTGGTGAGACTTGTCGGAGTGACGAGGACGGCGAACAACTAGTTCGAGGCCGGTGGAGCTCTCTGGGTGGTGAGGACGGATACGTTCCCGATACTCACGCTCAGCAGCGTCAATGGGGTTGGTGTAGCGGCGAGAAGTGTCGACTTGGACTTGAGTCTCAGTGTAGTCGCGAGGAGGAGGTGGGATGGATCTAAAAGTACTCGAGGTTAGCTGGAGAGATTCCCTTTTGTGCCTGTGCGTGAGCTTCCTTGGTCTCTGGGCCAACATTGGTGGGCCCCCCGGACCCCCTGAGCCGGGATAAATTGGCATGGCTGGGAATCCTAGCTGAACTCCCACCCCGGCTGTCAGCTCCCCATAGTGAGCTCCGCCGCCCTCCCCGTGCCCAGGCTTGCCCTCCCCACTATCAATTGACGCGTTCTAGAAGCCGCGGCAAAAGAGCTGTGTGGGAAGAAGGGCAATACGAAGGGTAATTTCAGCACCGCTTTCGCCAGCCACGCCGGTAATTGCTGCGTGCGTTCTCATCACCCCTCCCCAGCTCTCCCTCCCGTCTCTCCTCACCCCTTTGGCCATCCCTTTCTCCCCCCTTTTCCCCCAGCTGCCCTCACTCGGTGAGAGCGGTCTGGCGAGGAGACGAGAGGCGGGAGCCACAGCCAGGAGACAATATGAATAGCAGGGAAAAATGAAATATCAACTTACTTGAACTCTTCCTTCACGAAGCGTTCAGACTGGCGGGAACCGGGACGGCGGTGACGTTCTTCCTCACGCGTGATACGGACCTCTTCTTCAAAGCGGTGTTCGCCGCGAGGAGGAGCTGAGTCGGCGTGTTGCGGGAAAGAAGAGTGTTGACCCTCCCGTCCGGCTGGCTTGTGTTGAGGGAGGGTGAGTTGAACCTCCTCGTGAACGCTGATTTGGGTCTGAGGGCGTGCTGCTTCGTTGTCCTTGTAAGTGGACGGGAAGATACTAAAGGGCACGGGAACTCGGGCTTCAAAGTCCAGGTTGACGGCTTGCGCTGGCGCGAGAGAATCTTCTCATACAACCTTCCGTAAGATCACGAAAGGAAGACAAGAAGGATCCTCAAGCTTTTGTTCCTGAAACAAAAGTCGAAGAGAGAGAGAAAAGAGAGAGGGATTGGATACCTCTGAGAGTCTTTTCTTTCTTTTGTTCCTTTGTTTCTGGCGGGGAGACTGTGATAACTGGAGGAGAGGAAAACCAGATCGGAAGCAGACGACGCTCGATGGGCTTTTGAGGTCGGGGGCCGGGCTGGCGGTCCTAGGCGTGCTCGCTGTGTTGCCTCGCCAAGGAGGGTAAGCCTATCGGCCCTCCATGTCGACCTGCCCCCGGGACTCGCCATGTTGTTGTTTATTCTCGTCACAACCGGCCTAGTGCTGTCGTATCCTGGCCTCTCGTCTCCGCCATCGTCCCCACACTCAGCCAACCTCATCCAACTCCCCTGCAAGCTCAGCGGCCTCAGCAGGCGTCTCGGCCACTGGTCTCTCGAGGCTGCGTCTCAGGCGTACTCGGGTCTCCAGTCGCCAGTGGACTCCTCGGACATGATGCTGCAACCCAGCGGTAAGCGGATGGGACCCCAAAGGGCGACCAAGAGCTCCCCAGCCTCCTTGCTTCCCTGCTTCCCTTGCGTCCCCCCTGAATCGGCCGTTGATTGACCAGTCAGGCTGGGCGATTGATGTTCATGGCTCCTCTGCAGCTAGTGCCAGTAGTATCAAACCGGTAATGAGCGTCGAGCACGACCGTACCTGGTGGTACAGCAGCTGTAATACCCCGTGCGTATGTACTCGTGGCAGTGGTAATACGTATGTACTGTACATCGTAATCATCAGTCTCCTCATCATTGTTGTGGTCAGCTACGAGCCATTTCCATGGGTAATAACAACTGTGGCCTTTCTCCCCTCTCTCTATTTCTCGCTCTCAGTCGGTAGTCTGTGGCGGGACTGGTTCCTGGCCTAGTGAGCCTGGCCGTTCGATAATACATCGCTGCTGCCAAATCTAGACTCATTGCCATTGGGACAGGGCGCTGATGAGCGTGCGAGGCACAAATACATCCAGCCTGAGGGGTTGGGACCATGTCAAGCCGTGCCAATCGAGCAGCTTCCAAGTCGTAGGGTAATGATCCAGCTCTGCTGGTACTGCACTTGGCTCTGCGAGCAACATGCGCCGTACTTGCATGGCGCCACCGGAAGAGTGTTTTGGCTTATCATCAGGGAGGGAGGGCTCCGTCCGAGCTGATGCTGCATCTTGTCCATCGTCTATCCTGCTTCGCCAATGCCGGCTGGAGGAGGACTATCAAGCGCCCACTTTTCGTGATGCACATGCAGTCTTAGCTGCAGCAGCGCAAAAACAGAGATGGCTGGGGCGGGCTGCTGCTCTCGATCTCGCCGCGCTCTGGACTATTGCTCGCCGGACTCGAGAGCCCGTCGCTGGTCGGGGAGCTGCATGGATGACGGCTGCCATTGGCCAGCGCGGCGTGCCGCCCGCCTGAGACCACGAAAATGGCTGTGGTTTGCTGCAGGCAGAGGATGCTCGCTCCCCCGGCCGTGTTGACATCGTGTAATCCCGCCATTGGGCTGCGCTGCCGTTTGGATGCTAATGCAGCAGGATCATTGCGTGCAACCGGCTGCGTGTGCTTGTCTCGTAGCACCCGAACGACATGATATGATGTGGCTGGGTGGCAACAACTGGAGCTTCGTCGGATCGGTCAACAGCAGCAGCAAGAGAGGGGCTCCCTGCCTTTGCCTAGCTCCAGAGCTCAGACAAGAGATGGCTGGCGGCGACACTACTTCGTGGGTAGTCGACCAGTCGCGGGCTGAGCCTCGGTCCGCTTTTTGGGGGCAGCTCATTTCCCTCTCGGTTGGTCATGACGTTCCTGTGGAAATGGGCAGCGGTTCCCTGTGCTAAAATCCATGGCAGATCTGTGCCTTTAAGCTGCCTCTGTCGGCCGCCCCTGGCCTGCTCGTACTCGTGCGTGTCCTGGACCTGAACATCAGCATGGATCTCGCGGGCATCGACGTCTCGTGCATGGCCAGATGCTGGGGGCTTGAGTGCCTTCCCGCCCCATCTCCACCTCAATTATCTTGGTTGCTGGGACGGTATTGCTGTACGAGTACTCGTACACTGACGTTGGCCCGGCCAAGCCCCCAAGGTGATGATCCTTTCGGGGGAGGGGAGGACAAGGATATCGCCTGTGTGTCTCTCGATGCTACCTGTGCAAAGTGTTACAGTACGAGCACCGCGCCAGCGCAGCACTTGAACGGCAGCCGACCTGACCTGACCTGACAAGACAAGCACCTATCCATCCATCCATCCATCCATCCATCCATCCAACAAGGTGGCAGGGAGCAGGTCCGTGCTGTGCTGCGACGCGTCCCTTCGCGAATCGCGATGCTCTTGGGGGTGGACCGAGGAAGAAGCTGCTCAGCCCGGTTGCGCGTTCGACCGGACTGGCGACATTGACGCGGCGGGTCCAATCGCGGCCGCGTGTGCCTCGGTCGAGAGCCCTTTCAGCTGCTGATTTCCCCAGAGGTTTGCCCGGACGGAGTCGAAGCCTTGTTCATCGTGTTGGAGCACCCGTCACACCAATTCACGGGTGCGGCCGCGTGGCCTAATGGCTAAGGCGCTAGATTTCGGTTCCAGAGAAACACCTTCTCTAGAGATTCCAGGTTCGACTCCTGGCGTGGTCGATTCTTTTTGCTTTTTTCCGGCCTGCCTCGTAGCTTACGTCTCGTTTTTGCCGCTGGAAGGGTTCGCGACGGTCAATTGAGCTGTCCCCGTGGCTGGCTGGCCGAAGTGCTGTAGGGAGGGAAGCGAGGAGAGAAATTGGCCTCGACAGCCCATCACTAATATCCCCAGCCTCCTCTGACTGTTATGTCCACATTGGGCAACTTCTAGTGTTCCTCGCTCGTATCAGAGTGTCTCACCTTTTGCAGGCTAATTTCTCGACTGCATGCCGGCCTTGACTAGTGGATGCAATCCGTCAGCCGGAGGTTCATCCCAATTCCCGCTGTTGACAGGGTCAACAAGAGGGCTTGCGTCTGTCCCTTTGCCGGCCTCGTTCGAGCTGCTCGTTTTTGCACGTGCTTTTGGTGAGCGCGCTGCGAATCAGCGTCAGCTGTCATCGTTGGCATGCACGCGCAGCCAATGTTGTGCACAAGCGGTGCTCGACCTGCCATTTTATCCCGTGAGCCCAACACAACCAACACTGGCCAAAGTAGGCATGCAGGGGGCATCATGTATCATCACTCGCACTTACTGAACTCACTTCGCACGCACCGAGATTCGTCCGCAGGGACATTCTCTCGTACAAGCTTGGTGATGATTGTACTTCGTAGCGATCATAAATAGGTAGGTAGCAGTATGTCTAGGTAGGTATGCTTTATCGAAGTTTGCTCTCCTTGCGATAGGTATGTAATCATATTGAGTTGGGCCGTTTGCCTGCCCAGCTCCTTCTCTTTCTCGCAACTGCTGCGCATCCGGCGAAGCCACGTGATGCCCATGATTATGTCGTCACAGCTGCCCCGCGGCCAACCAGGTGCCTGCCCCACGATGGCCGATTGAATTTCCCACCAGAGCTTCGAATACCTTGATACCTACTATATGTAGGTAACGGTAGACGATTTACAGACTTTTCCCAGTCCAGCCGACATCACCAGCATGAAGCAGAGATTTTCGTCTCTAGATGTCAAGGTACCTTGCATTGAACGAAGTCCGCAGTTAGTGCTTGCTGACAGTTTGTCCTGATACTTTGCCCTCTTAGGTCATTGCGCATGAGCTCCAGGCGAGCTTGGTGACTCTGCGACTCTCGAACGTCTACGACCTCTCGTCCAAGATCCTGCTCCTCAAGTTCGCCAAACCGGACAACAAGCAGCAGCTGCTCATCGACAATGGTTTCCGCTGCCACCTGACCGACTTCGCCCGAACCACTGCGGCCGCGCCGTCCGCCTTCGTCGCTCGGTTGCGCAAATATCTCAAGACCCGGCGGTTGACGTCCGTTGCGCAAGTGGGAACCGACAGGATCCTCGAGTTTCAGTTTAGCGATGGCCAGTACCGCCTGTTCTTGGAGTTCTTTGCCGTACGTCGATTGCTGTGCGCTAGGATGTCCTCTCTCTGGCCGAAGACTAACTGAGAATCATGTTGTAGAGCGGAAATATCATTCTCACCGATGCCGACTTGAAGATCCTAGCTATATCTCGCAATGTCAGTGAGGGAGATGGACAAGAGGCGCAAGGGGTCGGCCTGCAGTACTCTCTGGAGAATAGGCAAAACTATGGTGGCATCCCGGCTTTGACAAAAGAAAGGGTAAAGGACGCCCTCAAGGCTGCCGCTGAAAAAGCCGAAGCCAGCACGTTGGCCAGTACTTTTGGCAAGAAGACCAAAGGCAAATCTGGGGGCGATTTGCGAAAAGCATTGGCTGTCTCTATAACAGAGCTGCCCCCTGTCCTGGTTGAGAACGTTCTTCAGGCAAACAACTTTGATATCTCCGCTAAGCCGGCTGATATTGTTGACAATGAGCCTCTACTGGATGCATTGGTAAACCACTTGTCCGAAGCTCGTGATGTTGTTGAGAACATTATCGCATCGTCCACCTGCAAGGGCTACATCTTTGCGAAAAGGAGGACAACCCCCTCAAGCGCACCCGACGACGCAGAGCAAGCCCAGAAGCACGAAGGGTTGCTCTACGAAGACTTCCACCCGTTTGTGCCTCAAAAGTTCAAGAACGACCCGTCTATTCAAGTACTAGAGTTTGATGGATACAACCGAACGGTTGACGAGTTCTTCTCATCCCTGGAGGGCCAAAAGCTAGAGTCTCGTCTGACAGGCAGAGAAGAAGCTGCTAGGAAGAAGCTCGAAGCGGCCAGGCAGGAACAGGCCAAGCGGATCCAGGGATTGCAGGATGCGCAGGCCATGAACTACCGCAAAGCAGCTGCGATTGAAGCAAATGTGGAGCGGGTGCAGGAAGCCATGGACGCAGTCAATGGCCTGCTCGCCCAAGGCATGGATTGGGTCGATATCGGAAAGCTCATTGAGCGAGAGAAGAAGCGGCAAAACCCTGTGGCCGAGATCATCAGCCTGCCCCTGAAGCTAGCAGACAACACCATCACATTGCTCCTCGCAGAAGAAGCATTTGACGAGGATGAGGCAGAAGAAGAAGAGGACAATCCTTTTGAAACGGACGATAGCGATTCGGAAGAGGACCAGGGCGGAAAAGCCACTTCCAAGGACAAGAAAACCGACAAGCTTCTCACAGTGGACATTGTTCTCAACATGAGCCCCTGGAGCAACGCGAGAGAGTACTACGAAGAGCGAAGGTCAGCCGCCATGAAGCAAGAAAAGACCCAGCAGCAAGCGACCAAAGCTCTGAAGAGCACCGAGCAGAAAATCGCCGAGGATCTGAAGAAGGGCTTGAAGCAAGAGAAGGCGCTTCTGCAGCCCATTCGGAAACAGATGTGGTTTGAAAAGTTTCTCTGGTTCATCTCCTCTGATGGCTACTTGGTTCTGGGAGGAAAAGACCCTCAGCAAAGCGAGATTCTGTACAGAAGATATCTGCGGAAAGGAGACGTCTACTGTCACGCGGACATCCGTGGCGCTGCGAATATCGTGATCAAGAACAACCCGAACATGCCGGATGCCCCCATTCCTCCGGCGACTCTGTCTCAGGCGGGGTCACTGTCGGTCTGCACCTCTGAGGCGTGGGATTCCAAGGCCGGCATGGGTGCATGGTGGGTGAATGCGGACCAAGTATCCAAAACAACCCCCTCTGGAGATATATTGCCCGCTGGGACTTTTACCATTCAGGGGAAGAAGAACTACCTCCCTCCAACTCAACTGCTACTTGGGTTGGGATTCGCGTTTAAGATCAGCGAGCAGAGCAAGGGGAACCATTTGAAACACCGAGTTCACGATGGGCGCTCTTCAACAGCTACAGAGGCTGCAACCGGGGACGAAGGAGAGGCACAAAACACCGAGGGGATTGACGATCAGGAGGATTCAGACTCTGAGCCAGAAGATAACCAGCCTGGCCACGAGGAGCGAGCTAACCCTCTGCAAAGCTCTGGCATTGGTGAGGAGACGGCAGACGACGCGGCAGACAAATTGTCAGCTGTTAAGATTAGCGACCAGCCTGGCAATGATGAGCCTACGCCGCCATCTGAGGATGCAGTTGAAGGGCAACAAGGAGAGGGAGCAAATGAGGAGGAAGATGACAATGAGGAGAACGAGGTAGCGCCCTCTGAGTCGGGCACTGAAGTTTCCAAGGCCGCTTCCCGAGCTTCCAATACCACTTCACTTGCCACGGGAGCCTCCTCGGCAGCGACGCAGAAAAGGGGCCAGAAACGCGGGCAGAAAGGAAAGGCGAAGAAGATTGCCCAGAAATACAAAGACCAGGACGAAGAGGACCGCGCGACAGCGGAGGCCCTGATCGGAGCGACGGTGGGGCGGCAGAGGGCCGAAGCCGAGGCCGCCGCGAAAGCGCAGCGCCAGGCGGAGCTGGAAGCGATGAAGGAGCGCCGACGGGCTCAGCACGAGCGGAAGCAAAAGGAGGTGGCCGAGCAGGAGGAGCTCCGGCGCGCGATGCTGAACGAGGGCCTCGACGTGCAAGAGCCCGACGAAGCCGAGAGGGCGACGAACCTGGATACGCTGGTGGGCACGCCGCTGGCGGGAGACGAGATCCTGGAGGTGATTCCGGTGTGCGCGCCGTGGAGCGCGCTGGTGCGGTACAAGTACAAGGTCAAGCTGCAGCCGGGGTCGGTGAAGAAGGGCAAGGCGATCAAGGAGGTGCTGGAGCGGCTCAAGACGGACTCGGCGCGCAAGGGCGTCGTGGACGAGGCGGCGCGGGACACGGAGAAGATGTGGCCGCGGGAGGTGGAGCTCATCAAGGGGCTCAAGCCGGAGGAGATTGCCAACTGCGTGCCCGTGAGCAAGCTGCGGGTCATGATGACGGGGGCGAGCGGAGGGAGCGGCTCGGGCGGCGGAGGTGGGAAGGGAAAAGGTGGTGGTGGTGGGAAGAGCCAGGGCAAGGGGGGCAAAGGAGGGAAAGGGGGGAAGAAGTAAGAAGGGTGGTAGAGTGAATGGTGAGCCCGGATCTGGATGTACATGTATGTATACTATATGCCTTGTAGCTTATATTCCAGATAGGTAGGTATAGATGCAAGTTATTGTATCCTGCGACATCAGGACAGTGAAGATGTCATTCCATGTCACTCTTCATGTTTTCGTCTCTTATTGTATCAGTTTCAGCCACCAGCACTCGAAACGATGCAGGAACAAGGAAATCATAAACCAGTCATTTCAAGTAAATAATTTACCATATCTCATCCCATCATCAAAACATCTAATTCTACATACACGCCATACCATGTATACAACAACATTGTATGCAAGATTTTCACCCATTTCTCTCTCTCTCTCTCTCTCTCTCTTTTTTTTTTTCTTCCTTTTCAGAGAGGAAAATTCACCTGCTGTCCATTCTCCGAATCTCATTCGGCATCCTCGCAATGCACAGCTCGCTGCAAAACAGCCCCAGCTGGCCGCCCGTGGCCTCGCGCACGGCGTCCTGCAGGTCCTGGCCGTAGCGCTCGCGGTACGCCCTCTTGACGTCCTGCATGTGGAACGAGTCCCAGTGGTAGCGGACGAGGCGGGAGATGAGCAGCTCCTTGCGGAGGGGGTCCTTGCGCGAGGCGGTGATGGCGTGCTGCAGCAGGAGGGCGTCGCGCACGGGGCGGTTGATGACGCCGTTGAGGATGTGGGCGAGGACTTCGCCCTGGAGAATGTGCGACGAGTTTTTGATTAGCCTATGTTTTCTCTGTATATATATCTTTTACGTGTGTGTGTGTGTGTATGTGTGTGTGTGTCACGGATATCTGTTGGGAGGGAAAAAAAAAAAAAAAAAGGACATACCACAAGGTTGTTGCTCTTTTTGAGAGCGTCGCGGGCAAAGTTGCTGCGGTACTGGTGCTCGTACTCCTTGAGGACGGCACGCAGGTGGCCGTCGCTCCGCTGGACGACAATGGAAATCATGAGCGTCTCGCCGCCCTTGTCGGACTTGACGGCCTTGTAGAGGTCGGCGACGTCCTGGTCGATGAGCTTGTAGTCGAGCGGCAGCCTGCGGCCCTCGTAGTCGTACTCCTCCATGCGGCGCTCGTCGAGGACCATGAGGACGGCCTTTTTGAACTTGTCCTCCTTGAGCTCCGTCTTCATGCACTTGGTCAGGCTGTTGTCGTACTTTTTGTCGGAGAAGGCGTCCTTGATGCGGCGGACCTCCTCGTTGGTGCGGCCCATGAGCGACTCGATGAGCAGCTCGCGGCGGGTCTTGTCGCCCTGGTACCAGAAGTTGGCCCAGTAGGCCTCGCTCTCCCACTTGCCGAGGGCGACGGCGTAGCAGGCCTTCATCAGCAGGGGGTCCTCGTCCTTGAGGCGGGCGCGGATGTGCTTGGCAATGTTGACGCCCTTGCGGTCGGCGCCCGTCTTGACAATGAGCTTGTACTCGGCGCGCAGCTCCATGACCTGCTCGTGCGAGAGGCTGGGCAGGATCTCGATGAGGGGCCCGACGTCGGGCTTGTGGGTGCCCTTGAGCGCCTGGGCGAGGCGGGAGGCGATGTCGACGGCGTCGTGGAAGCGGGCGCGCCGGCTGAGCCTGGTGCCGTCGCCCTCGCCGTCCGAGAGCGGCGACAGGGCGTCGATGACCCTGGGCAGCTCCGACGGGTGCGTGGACGCGAGCAGCAGGGGCGAGGGCATGGGCGAGCAGTTCTGATAGGTGCCGTGGTACGACTCGAGCAGCGGCGAGGCCGGCGCGGACGAGAGCGACAGGGCGGCGGCCCGGCCCGTGTTGACCGTCAGCGACGACATGCGGCCGACGGGGGGCTGGGGGGACCGATCGCGGCCGCCGCTTCGGCCATCCCTGGACCGCGAACGCGAGCGGTCACGGATGGCGGCGTCGACGGTCAGCGTGTTTGAGCGGCGGTGGGAGCGGTAGTCGTCGCGGTCCGAGTCCGAGTGCTGCTTGCGGATGTCGACCGACTGCGAGCCGCGGTGGTGGCGCGAGGGCGACGGCGGCGCGCCGTAGGCCAGGTCGTCGTCCGGGTAGGGCAGATGGCCGCCGGAGCCTCCCGGGCCATGGCTGCGGCGGGAGACGGGGCGGCCGTCGAGGTCCTCCTCGGGGTAGACGTAGCTGGGCTCGCGCGAGCCAAAGGACGGGCGCGAGTTCCGGGGCTCGTCGATGAAGCGGCCGTCGCGGGACCGGGACCGGGCCCTGGGATTGGTGATGGAGGACAAGGAGATGGTTGCGCCAGGATGGTCCATGGCTGGCTGGATGGAGGCTGGGAGAAGCGGGAGAGGCGCGCGGGGTGGCGTCTGGAGGAGGGGGGAAGAGGAGGAGGCGGTTGACTTTCGGGGTTGGTGATGGGGGGAGGCTCGTTGTGCTGCGTGTTAGTGCGGACCAACCGCTGTAGAGCTTCACGGCGTGAAGAAGCAGCAGCAGAAGCAGCAGCAAGAGAGGAGGTACTGAAGGAAGAAGAGAAGAGGAGAAGAGAAGGAGAAGAGATGGAAGAGAGGGAGGAGAGAAGAAGAAGAAAAAAAGACCCGGACAGCTGGACCATCAACTGATCAATGGCCGCTCCAGGACGTCCCATGGAACAGCACCCTCTCATGCACCTGCTAGCGAGGTCCAGGCGACGTGCATGTGCGCTACGCCCTACAGCGGTTAGAGCGCAGAGTCCGCTGCAGGAGTGCGGCAGCTGAGGAAGCGCTGAAGGAATCCTTCGGGCCTGTGCTTGTTGTGTCAATCAGATGGATGGATCAATGGACACTGTGCGGAAGAGGGCAGTGGCCGTGATGCCTGGTTTCGCGCTCTTGCGCTGCCTCTTCCGTGTCTTGATGACAGAAGAAACGGACGACAAAGGGGAATGGATAGCCACCAGCTATCACGACCTGAAGTACTATTAAGCTACCTCCATACCAGCTAGGTATGTACTGACCTACTACAAGTGGGAGAGCAAACCATCCACACAATGACGCTCATAAGCGCGCGCTCCAGAGTTAAGAATGCATCTACTACTCCTACTACAGGTACTACTACTAGGTAGTAGCATCGTCAAACACTCTGCCATTAGTAGCCCCGTGAAACCAGCCCGTCACCTTCAGAGAGGTTCGTGTTCACAACACTTCCTCTCACCAGCCCTACGATATACCGAGAGATGGTGGGCAAACGACACCCTCTCGCGTCCCTCGTCGTATCCGTACCTGCTCATCACGGTTAGGCATCAAACCAGCCCTGTCCGCTCTCTCTACACCGACATACTACCATACAAGCAACGAAAAGGAAAGGATTCGAAGCTGCTATTAGTGGCAAACAATCCTGCAGAGCCTCAATTCCATTTCCTTTTTTTTTTTTTCATCTTTATTTTATTTTTATTTTTTTTTTCCTTTTTGCGCGCGTGCCTCAGTCTCCAACATGACGACAGTCAGTTACATTACCAAGCGGAGACCAAAAAAACAGGGACTGCAAATTAAATAAGTGCACAATTTCGATAATATCAGCACACAGAGGCCGATCAGCAGATCACCATTGATGTGCGTATAATTCATGCGTTGGGTGTTCAAAATTGCACTTTTCCCTATTATTTTGGTCCCCGCTTGATTACCTACCTAGATCCCCTCTTTGGTGAGGCTCAGGTACCAAAAACGGAGCACATGGCGACACGCAGCTCCCGTGAATCAGGACAAGTAAGCTTACTCGGTCATCGTGCATATCGGCGATTGAGCCACATGCATCAAAAAGTGTTGTTGGGTTTCGTTCGCCCAAGTCTCCACGTTTTGGCGCCTCGGACGCAGCCGAAAAGGCGGCATCTGAGTTCCTGGTTGTTGTTGTTTGTGTTGTTGCTGCTGCTCAGTGACGTTGCTCAATCAGATTGAACCTGGCCCTGTCCTGCTGCTGCTACTAGTACTAGAAAAGACGACCATAACTGACTTTCTTCATGTGAAGGTGCACATCATTCATCTTGAGAGCACATGAGAAGCGAATTGCCAGTCTGGAGCAACTCCTCGTCCGTCATGGTTGTGGTAGTGTGTAGGCGCTCTCTTGGGCTCAACCACTGACTGACTCGATTCGTTCCCATCCATATCCCACCTTACTCGTATCACATACAAGTCTTCTCCATACAACAACTGTTGATCTATGTATGTATCTGCCCACCCAATCCACAGCTTGACGTTTCCCTCTCCTTGCGTCCTTGGACACGTCACTCCTTTTTCCTTTTTTTTTTACATCACCTCCCACTTCCACTTCCACTTCCACTTCCACTTCCACTTCCACTTCCACTTCCACTTCCTCCTCCTCCTCCACCACGACCATCACCTCAACTGGATTCGCTGCTGGGCGCTCGTCCGCCTCGCTGAAAGACATAGAGCGCTTCGTCCTTGCCCGCAAAGCTTGGCAGGGGAATCTGCACCACCCTGGTCCACTCGGGATGCTCTCGCTGCATGAAGACGTCCATCGTCATGCTCCTAAAGCCCGTGTATCCATTGCCGTTCTGCGTGCCGACCACCGCCAGCGTGTCTCCCTGGAAGGCGTCGACGAGGCCCCTGGTGAAGCCGCCCTCGGTGCCTCCGCCGACGCCCCCGCCGACGACGGGATACACCAGCAGCAGCACCATGCCCCTGCCGCCGTCCCTGCTCCGTAGCCACTTGACGCCGTCCATGATGACCGTGTCGTCGACCCAGTTGACCCTCCACTCGCTCTGCATGTTATCCACCGGGTAGACCGTCAGTCCATAGCGCCGCAGCATCAGCGTCCAGTAGCCGTTGCCCGAGCCCATGTCCGCGACCGGCCGGCCGTCCGCCAGCAGGCGCAGCACCTCGAGCCCTTCGTGCGACGGCGTCGCGCAGCCAAAGTGGTGCATCAGGATGGGCAGCACATGGTGGCTCGTCGCCACCCGCTCCGACGACGCGCACGGCCCGCACCACTCGAGGCTGCGGCACGACCACGCCCAAAAGTCGAGCGACGGGTTCTGGCTCGGCGGCGGCTGCTTGCACTTGGGGATCGTCAGCCGCGACGCCAGCGCAGGGTGCACGTATCGCTTCTCGGCCAGGTGCGCGGCGGCCTCGGACCGGATCGACGCCTTTTTCGCGTTGGTCGCAAAGTTCTTGAGCGCAGAGGCCGTGGCCGTGGCCGGGTCGAAGATGGCAATGTATGCCTCGATGTCTGGCGGCGGCGGCGGCTCTCTCTGCGGCGCGCGTCACCGAGTCTTTGCTTTCAGCTCATGTTTTTTTTAACGCACAAAAAGCAAGAGCAGAGCAGAGCAGAGCAAGGGGAGAGGGGGTGAGAGAGAGAGAGAGGCGGTTCTATCTTACAGCTGTGCCATCCTCGTCGCGATACCAGGCGTGCAGCCCGTTGACTCCGCCCAGCTCGACGACATGCTGCACCTGGGCCAGCGTGACACTCGTCATGGCATGATACGTAAACGTGTCCCTCTCGGGCAGGCCAAGCAGGACGCGGCTGGCGTTGTACAGGTCGTTTGCCGCCAACAGCTCGCGGGCCTGCTGCAGCCTCGGGAGGTCCTGGATGACTTCATCTGGGTCAAAGGACGGGCTCCCCGCGCAGCGAGGGCGTTTCGTGGTCCGCGACGACATGCAGTGAGTCGATGGTGGTGATCGGCTCTGGTGAGATGCGAGAGTGAGATTCGTCGTGAAAATTCGTCATACACTGAGAGAGAGAGAGAGACAGAGAGAGACAGAGAGAGAGAGAGAGTTCTGCAGTTGAAGACCGGTGTTGAGTGAGAAGATGATATACCATGAGCCAGCGTTTGCCGTTAATACCTCTAGAGCTGTGGTTTAGCTGTCCGAGGTGCGGTTGGGAAAAGTGGGCTTGTGAGCTCATGACCGCTCTCATTGCCGAAACTATGAGTACTACCTCAGATGAATGAGATGAAAATGCGCCCAAGGTTAAATGCATCGATCCAAGCACCCGAGATGCTCAAGACGCGGATTTCAGGGTAGGTGATCTCTGATATGCCTTTCTTAAGCGACGCATGTGATATTATGAGGGAAGAACGATGTGGGACAAGAGACGAATCGAGATGAAGGCCGTGGACTCATTCAGTTCGTTGCTCATTTCACACCTAGTACCTACTACTTAAGTCACAATACTCACCTCACTCATTCACTCACTGATGGTAGCATTCAATGTTGTTTTGCGGAGCATGATCAGTGAGTTTGTTGGCTGCTAGCAGAGGATCCGCCGCCACTGGAAGCCCCCTCCCCCGCCAACAGCAAAACCAAACGTTGCATGATTGAGCATGAGGATATCACATGTACTTACCGCCTTTGACTGTTGGCCTTTGCCATGTAAAAACACACTTAAACTGTAGTATGTAAGCTCATGGTTTGCGTGATTTCGAGCACTGGACGGACACAAAACTCAGACTCAATCTTGCTTCACTGAGGCCTTGTGAGTGGGTGAATTCGCGTTCGATAGGGTCCTCTGCAGGAACAATGCCTCTCTGGTTGGTTGACCATGTATGTGCATACCTCCCTGTACAGTACAACATCAACCGACGTGTCTGAATGGCCGAAAGGACAGTATCAGTGTAGTAGTAGCTCGCACATCTTCGCAGTTGGCACTTCACAGTCAAGTGATAGTCATGTGTGTGTGTTGGTTCCATGGCCTCTCTCTCTTCTTCTCCCATTGGAAGCCATCTCCGTCCCACGTTACCAATGAAACGCCCCGATTCACGGCGTCCATCAACAGACTCCTCAGCCTTTCCCTCTCCCTCTTCTGTCACATCACAGCCTCCCAACATTGGCTGTTGGCACCACCGCAGCAGCATCTCCAGCACGGATCACCCGAATCAAGTCCCCGAGGGGGTCACGCATGGGCGCCAATCCAAGTGCCACAGACCATGAAAACCCTCCGCCTCCCTTTTACCCTACATACCTACCTACCTTACTCACTAATCTACCTTACTTCGCCTTAGCAACCCTGCGCCGAAGCCTTTCTCTCAGCTGGCATTGCCTTTTGCCTCCTGACTTCTCCTCCAGCCGAGCGACTACAGACAGCTCCAACACCAGACGCCCTGTCTCTGTCAAGCTTGTTAGCGGCCCAGCTCGGAACTCTTCCGGTCTGCTAATGCAAGCCGAGCCGCGATCCTCCATCCTCCCTCCCTCCCTTCTCCTCCTCCTGCTGTCCCGTTGCCTCTGATTTGACAATCTCGGTCGACACTCTGCACCAGAAGGGGCGCAAGAAACTACAGGGAAATAATTCTAAAGACGGCCACCCATATCAAAATCTTGTTCTTCATATCCATACTTTTTTGGATGTCTATTGTTTCCGGTCTCCCTTACAGCTCTTCCTTGAGTCGTGCACACATACCCTGGGCATCCCGCAGCCAATCTCATCTTCCGGCAAGGTAGCATCAGAAACACTTTTCACACACGCATACACACACACTGGCTTCCAAAGACGAGCAAAATCTTTCCGCCGAGACATTTTTCTTTTCTTTTCTTTTTCTTTTTTGTGGCCGTCCCCAGCATCTCCCCGAATGCAGAGAATCTCTGCGTATTCTGACCCAAATGCTGTGAAGAGGTCAAATACACGTTCGGGCGTACCGCATCTGTCCATGATTTGACCACTTCACGGCCAGGCCACTAATAAGCGACAATTCGTGCTTCTTCTTCACACGGCTGCATCATCATCTTCGCCGTCTCTCGTTGGCATCTTCTTCTTCTTCTTCTTCTCTTATATTATCGTTCTTTATACAGAGATTACAAGAACGGTGCTCATTCAATTCATCCCGACTGGCCATAGATCGACCTTTGCAAGCTGCCCTGAACGACCCGACTCTCTATACGATACCGGACCCTTATTCCAACGACACGATGGGTGCTGCCAACCAGTCAGCCAGCTCTTCAACGCCCAGCAAGGCTACCAGACACAGTCCTACAGGCGATACTCTAACACGCCAAGAGTCGAGACCTCCGTATCATGCCCCTGCCCAGGCTCGTCACCAGCTTGGCTCTCAACAGCCTCACCCACAAGCACAATACACCACTGAAGAACGGAAGCCGACAGACACACCCTCCTATGAAGAGAGGCACGAAGACGCTCATGGCAACGTCATCGCATCACCTCCCAGCTCGAGCCACCGACCCCCAGCACAACCAACCGAAAGCTGCCCAGAACAGCCCGCGCCATCAGCCCACCGTCCCGCCAGACCAATGTCCATCTCGTCCCTCCTGACTCACCCAAACGGCGTCTCCATCTTCCCCGAGCTTTCCGCCTCGGAGCAGTACCAGCTCTCCCGCGAAGCCCTCGAGGAGGCCGAGGAGGCCATCGTCGCCGACCTGGCCGAGAGCGTCCACAGCAGAACCGACGACTCCGCCTCGGACGCCGGCTACGACAGCGACAGCGCCAGCTCCGCCAGCACCTCCGTCATGTCCTCGGTCCGCGACTACATGTACGAGAACGGCCGGCGCTATCACCGCTTCCGCGAGGGCAGCTACAACTTCCCCAACGACGACGTCGAGCAGGAGAGGGAGGACATGAAGCACGCCATGGTCAAGCTCCTGTGCAGCCAGAAACTGCACTTTGCCCCCATTGGCGACAACCCCCAGGAGATTCTCGACATTGGGACGGGGACGGGCATCTGGACGATTGAAAGTAAGTTGTTTGCTTGCTCTGTCCGATATCCCCCATCCTTGTTTTGCCTCTACGAAACGGTATGTTGACCTTGTGATCAACTGCTAGTGGGAGACAGATTCCCCAGTGCCCATATCCTGGGAATCGATCTGTCGCCCATCCAGCCCGACTGGCTGCCACCCAACGTCCGCTTCATGGTCGACGACGTGGAATCGCCATGGCTGTATCCGCGAAACCACTTTGACTACATCCACTCTCGACACACGGTCATGGCCATCCGAGACTGGGACACGCTTCTCCGGACAGCCCTAGAGTAAGCTCCCAACCAACCCCCCCCTCCCTTGCTTGTCCTCCTCACTCCACGAGAAACCATCTACTGAAGCAAGCATATGAGAAACAACCACAGCCATCTCAAATTCGGCGGCTGGATCGAGCTACAAGAGATCCATCACACGCCACGAAGTGCCCTCACAGGCGGCAACGGCGAGATGCCCCCCGACCACCCCGTCGCCCGCTTCTGGAAGCACGTAACCGACGGCCTCGCCGCCCTGGGCATCGACCTCGACGCCGTCGCCGACGCCAAGCTCTCCGACGCCATGCGCCGCGCCGGCTTCGCAAACGTCACCGAGCGCGTCCTCCACGTCCCCATCGGCACCTGGCCCAAGAACAAGGTCCTCAAGACCGTCGGCCTCTACTGGCGCACCATCCTGCTCGACGGCCTGCAGGCCATTGCCCTGGGGCCCCTGACGCGGGGCCTCGGCTGGAACCGCGAGCAGGTCGAGATGCTCCTCATCGAGGTCAGGCAGGCCTACTTTGACAATGCTCCGCTCATGTACATGCCCTTTCACATCATTTACGCCCAGAAGGCGTAAAACAGGAGGGAGGGGGCGATTCATGTACATGTACCATGGTGTGCGGGTAGCCGCAGTACGACAATGTGACGGGAAGAGATGTGCTGGCTGGTCGGCATCTTGAATGCAAGGTGGCAAGTGGAAACGCCCATCTCAGAAACACACTGCGACATGTGCTTTCATCAGTTGTCCTCCCAAAGCATGCACAATGTTCATCAAGACCTACGAAAAAGTATGCTATCATGAGCAGATGGGGTTGGAAACCTCAACCTCCCTGATTGCTCATCATGGTGCACTTCCACCAAGATACTCTTACTGTCTGCCCCTACTTCGCTCTTCTCAGGTGAATCCCCTCATACGAGTACTGTACGTGGTGCGATCGCTACACCATAATGCACAGCAAAGGCACTGCTTTGCAACCCAAGGCCACTAGGGGAAGTGTTCCGCGTCTTGTCATAATGAGCATGGCTCGCTCTGTCACAGCATCAAGCCAGGATGGCGGGAGCGAAGGGCTACCATCGGATCACGATGCTTAAGCGCATCCGTCTATACGAATTGGCCAACGAGAACACTCGTCCATGATCCACCTGCATCTCGGCAGGTAGGTAGTAGCAGAGAACGTCAGTTCTGAGACTTTTTGCGGTGAAAGCAGCATCCTGGCCGCATGGTTAGCCACAGCCCTCCTGCATCCCGTGTAATGTCAAGCTGCACGCCTCGCTGCTTGGGGAGTGATGTGTAAATGCTACTCCACCTCGTCGATGACAGCACACTGTCTCACAAGCGGCTTGGTTTCAGCCTGTACAGTACGAAGCTTCTCGTCCCGCGATATTATCATTATTACATCCTCCCGACACTTCTCCCTCGGACAGTGGCGTCGGCGACCAGCCCCTGGTGGCGGCCTGATCAGGGCTCCGGTGATAGACGCGGGACACTCTGGTGCGGACGGCGAAGTTGCGGATGCAAGGGCTGAGAAGCTGAAAAGAACGCGGCAGAAGAAAATGACATGTAGCAATAGGGGAGAGAAGTTGGTAGTAATAGTCGGCGATGCCTTGACGTGCCCAATGACGAGCACACAAGTGATACGCTACTTGGCAGAAACCCCAACGTTTTGATAACAGAGCCAGCTCTTTGTTATTTCGTCTGCGACTTTCTAGAAGTCAGTGACCGATCAATGGTTGATGGCATTGATAGCATTCGCCAAAAGGCGGCTCACGACGATGAAGGAGACGTATGCTAGGGTTGACGTTCGGCCTGCGTCTACTTTGCATGTGAAAGCAGGGCAAAACGGGGATAACAAAACCTGTGGAGAGAAGACATCGAATATCCATCGACACGGACTGGTAGCTTCAGGCCGTGCCGGTCTAAAGCCACGGGTGCATTAGTAGCCTGATGGTTGTTCCAAGGTTGTTCGCAAATCAATCCCTGGCAGGAAATTTTGTGCTTGCTTTCGCCGAGGCCATCCTTTATGTCAAGTGGTTGTCGGAATTTGTAATCCCCAGCAACATGTCGATTTGGCTGTTGGTTCTGAACCCTCGAAGCGGAGGCTACGGATATATCTTCCCAGTACGGCTAAAAGAGTGCGTACATGAACTGATTTGATGACCGGCGATTGGACATGGTCAGCTAGGAACTGGAGAACATGGGACGGGGCATATTGGCAACGGTTTCCTCGTAGGTGCATGCATACATGCATACCTCCTCCTGCATGCACCATCTCACATCTCGAGTCTGCTCTCTATCCCGTCTCAGCATTAGGATCGATGCTATGCTCCCTCTCTGGTTTGTAGGTAATGGATGGCCCGCCACGCGGGAGACTACTACGAGATGTACATATGCCGCTCTCTCGTCTGTCGGGTATCGGCGAGTCGGACGCCGTCCATGACCAGGGGTGTCTTAGCCTGCGGCTCCTGCGTCGATCAACCCGGGTCCATGGCGGCTTGGATGCGGAGAGCGCCGGCTGCTGGGACGGATATGGAATATGGAGCACCGAGTAAGTACATGCGTGAGTCGGGGTCGTCGTAGCAGTATGTAGGTATATGCTAGCAGTATCGAAGTATGTATGAAGCAGTGGTAATGGCCGGTGAGTGCAAGAGAGCGGCAGCTGAGTCCTCTAGGCTCCGGGTTCAGTGTTAGTTTAATTGTTGCGAGTTTCCGTGTCTGGGGGAAGCGAGTTGCATTCGTCTCTTCATCCTTGCCCGCCTCGCCCCTCTTCTTCTGCTTCTTCTTCTTCTTCTACTTCTTCCGGGTTTCGTCTCGCTCTCGCCCTCTCTCGCTCCTCGTTTCTCTCCGTGCCGTATCCGTATCGGGTTTGCTTTGAGCAGCGAGGCCGACGTCGACAACGACAACGACAACGACAACGATAACAGTCGCAGCAACAAGAGACACAGCAAAAGTCCCGATCCAAGTCTCTGGCTGAAGCAGCAACGTTAAGACAGGGGAGAAAGAGAATCGGCTTTGAGAGAGGCTTGACGAAAGACAAGGTACCCAAAATACGACGCATCATCGTCTCACTGTTTCCCCTTGCGCAAGAGCGGCCAGACCTCTTTCCACTTTTGGCGGTAATAGCATCTGACTGCTTCGGAAGGAACTCCAGGCGGACTTGCAAAGTATCGGTATGTGCAATTGACTTCAATTTGTTTTCAACTGCTTCACATCACTTCACTTGCACATCATTTTGCTTCCTGCTGGTCACAATCGACTTGTCTTGTGCCGCCCTTGACGGCCGAGAATACTGCATCCACTCTTGCTTGCACACCTTGTGAGTCGATTCAGTGATTCAGCGCCTTCTGGCCGAGTAATGAGGGAAAACAAAGGAAATGGACGGTAAAACGCACTATCCCGGACTGCTGGGGCGGGACTGTCTCTCTAGGGGGCAGATTTTCGTCTACATGGCCTGCTCTGTTCTGCAGCATACATCGGTTGTCTCACCGCTGCGGTTTGATCGTGAGATCCGGGCCCTATGAAATCAGATCTCCATCTTTTCTTGCCATTGCGGAGCTGCTTCCAAGACGCGTCCACGAGACAAGGGTTTGCATCATGTATGCAAGCTCACAAAAGACGCAAGAGAATCTTCTCGATAGCTGCAGCTCAAGTTCCGGACGCCTCGTCTTCGGCTGTTACTAGTTATTGGCTCTATCAATGACACCAATGCCTCAAAGGGGCAGATCAAAGATCACAAAGGATGACCGCCGAGTTGCTCGGGCCTATGCCGCGGACCGTACCGGCATGGTGATGGCCCCTAAACGGGGTCCCTAACTTCCGGCTTCCGGCAAGCCAGACAGAACTCTGGCTCGATGATCTCTCTTGTTGCCGAATGCGTTACTGCCTCGCTCCTTCATCGGGGCCGACGCATTGCCCACCGTCGGGTTACACTGAGAAGGACACCTGACAAAGCGCGATGACTACAGATCGATTGCCATCTCAGACGGGCAGCATTATAATAACCTCCATCTTTGCCTTTTGGCATTTCCCTTGCCTCTCTTCACTACCGTTGTTCTTCATCTGCTATCGGCTTCTGACTTTCGTTTCTTATAGCTCTCTCCGGCCCAACCCACCTTTAGCTCCAATGGCTAGGCTTACAGTTCCGGCGGCGCTTTCGAGCGAGGGGGGACAGAATGGAGCCACGAAGACGGACTCTTCAGAGTCTCGGATGCTTGTGTTGGCGGAGACCATCCGCACGGAGACCCTGAAACTTCAAGCCTACCTCGAGTCCAACGGCATCGTTCAACCAGGCATCAGCGTTGACGCACCGGACGACTTCCCGCCTTTACCCGATGACATCCAAAAGAGCAGAACAAACATCTTTCTCGCTTCTCGAGAGCTTACCGATATTGTCAGGGGTCCACGTGAAACCGTACGATATGCTGTGTGGAGTGTAAGAGATCGTTCTGCCCTTCTTCGTCCGAGTTATTGTGCTAACGCGACTCGACAGTATCTGGATACCTTGAGCTTATCACTCATTAACCGCTATCAAATTGGTATTCTAAAGTTGCACCTCTACTGTTGACATATCGCTGACTGCTATGCAGCCCAACTCGTTCCCCTGAATGCTCCCATCAAGCTGACGGAACTGCAATCCAAGACTCCGCTGGAGCCTGTCCACCTTGCCCGTGCCTTACGGCACGCCATGACTAACAATATCTTCTGCGAGCCGTCTCCGGGATACATTGCCCACACCGCACATTCGCGGATGCTAGCACAGGATGAGTCTCTTCAAGCCTGGGTTGGGTACAATGCTGAAGACAACTTTCCTGCGGCAGGCCATGTGCTGGAAGCATTGGAGGCGCATCCCGAGGCAACCTCTAACCTCTACACAGGATTCAACTATGCTTTCAACACGGTTGGCAAAGAATCCATGTTTGCCACCATCTATAAAGACCCGGTCAAGGCTAAGCGTTTTGCCCATGCGATGCGCAGCTTTTCTCATGGAGAAGGTTACGAAGTCAGCTACTTTGTGGACAATTATGACCTTTCCGAAGTGAATGAGCGCGGGGGCACGTTTGTCGATGTCGGCGGTAGCCATGGCTTCGTATCCGTGGAGCTGGCCAAAAGATGGAAGAACATCAATTTCATCGTGGAAGATCTGCCCAAAACCATAGAGACTGCTCCACAGCCTATCTGCGACGACAAGACCGTGGCACAGAGAATCTCACTGCAAGTCCATGACTTCTTCCAGGAGCAACCCGTGAAGGGTGCCGACGGTAAGCTGCTTCTCACTTCCTCCACCTTCAATTCATTTCCATGGTCCACTGACTCCGAAAAACCCCAATGCCAGTCTATTACTTCCGGTGGATTCTTCATAATCATGCAAAGCCATACGCCGTTTCTATCCTCCGAAATCTGATCCCCGCACTCAAGCCGGGAGCTCGCGTCGTCATCAACGATTACTGCATTCGTGACCCAGGATCAGAGAATGCATGGGATGAGAAGCTCTTGAGGAACATGGACATGATTATGGGCGCGCTCCTGAATGCGCAGGAGCGAGACGAACAGGAGTTTCGCGAATTGTTTGAAGCAGCCGATCCCAGGTTCAAGTTCAAGGTATGCAAAGCACGTGTTCCCTTTCTGATATGCGAGCGCTGTTGTTAACATGCTGTTAGGGAGTCCAAAGAGTCGAGGGTTGCAAGATGAGCGTCGTCGAGGCAGTGTGGGACGAGTAAGAACGTTGCTGGTTGCCCAGCTCGATGAGTGTGAGGAAACAAGCGTGTGGTTGTAGTAGCTCGAAGGTTGGTATACTATGGGCTTTACTTTCCCTTGACACATGGATGGGAAATGAAGCTATAGTTGCGGTTTCAAGTTTGGCATTTGGGTTGTTGCTTGATGTAGTTGAACGGAGAGTAAAGGGGAAAAAAAAAAAGAAATAGTGCCTGTCAATTGTTTACATGTCGAGATAATCTGCGTTTGTGATCTTGATCATGAACCATCATCCTATCGTGTCAGTTAGGGGCCAGCATATCTTGCATCGCGGCGCAATGCTTTGTAGGACAAATTTACCAATCTTGTGGTCAATAAGAACACCGCGTAATTGGTTTAGTGGTAAAATTCTCCGTTGCCATCCGCAACGTCGGGGAGCCCTGGGTTCGATTCCCAGATTACGCAGCTGATTTTCTTTTTGCTCTTTCTCCTTCCCATCTTCTCTGGTCCTCTCCTTTTTGTGTCAAGCAGCACGTAATTCAACTTTTTGACAATTGAATGTTCTGTATTAAGTGCAAAGCTTTGGCCTTGCCCACGCACGGCGTCTAAAAACTCACCACTGTACCCAGCTTCTGGATAAGTTGCTCGCCTATTTTTCTTTTTTTCCCATATCACCCCTCAAGGTCAACACCGAATTTTGCTTCCTCCATTACTTCTCATGTCCTTCTTTCCATTCTCGCGTCCCTCTACCATGTATTATCTCCTGGAACAAATGCCAGTTCGCTTTTACAGACCCTCCCCTTCCATTGCCATTCCTCCACAGCACTTCCCTGTCAACCTCACTGCGACTTGTCTCCCCCATATCCCCCCTTCTCCGCAATCATATTCGCCATGTCTGCAATAGACAAATCACTGAGGATATCAAACACAGAAACCTGAACGCCGCAGTTATTCAGGATCCAGTTTCGAATAGTGACAGCCACCAGAGAATCCACGCCATAGGCGTTGAGCGACTTCCTCATGTCAATCTCAAACGGCAGCATGTTCATCGTCTTGGCCAGCATCACAGCGAGTCCGTCGCTGATAATGGCCGAAATTTCGTCAAAGCTTGCGGCTGCAGCCAGCATGGCCCTCATGTCTTTCTTGCTTGCATCGCCGCCGACAAGGAGATTCGGCGGGGCAATGTCCACCAGGTTGAGATAGGAGTAGAGAGCGGTGCGAGTCCAGTAGGGATCCGCCGCGTTGATTTGCGCGTTCATGCCTCCTGTGCCGACAGCCACGGTGACTTGTGGCGGAATAGGCTCTCCCGGCTCCATCTCCCCCGTTATCGCATGCTTGACAACCGTGAGGAAGTCTCCATGCGGAATGCCAAAGAAGCCGTTGGATCGCAGCGTATCCAGGATAGCTTCATTCTCGGCAAGCATGCCGGCTCCCAAGACTGGGCCGAGATCCAGGGCCACGGCATGTTTCCCCTGCTGCCTGAGAAGCCTCGCAAACGAGTCTTCGAAACAGTTGCCCGCAGCGTAGTTGGCCTGTCCACGGTTGCCGATGATGCCCGACGAACTGGCAAGGAAGATGTGGAAGGGGTCGTGGCCCGCAGCCGATATGCTGTGATATATATTCCAGGAGCCGACTGTTTTTGGCCGGATGGCTGTGTGCCAATCTTCAAAAGTCATGTTATTGAAAACAGAGTCCCTGAGTATTGCAGCACAATAAAACACGCCGCGGATCGGCGGCATATCGACCGTAACGGCATCCTCGATGACGCGATCGAGATCAGATCTGTCGCATATGTCCACTGCATAAGCCTGCGCGTTCACTCCTCTTGATTGCAACCCTTCGAGGAATAATCTTGATGCATCCGAGGACGCGCCAGATCGCGAAATGAAGGCCAAATGTCGCGCACCGCTCTGTACTAGAAGCTCAGCTATGCTCCGGCCGAGTCCACCGAGACCACCGACAAGCAAGTATGTTCCCTCTGGGTCAAGAGACTCTTGAAGAGGCTTTGTGGTGTGATCATTCAAGACGCGGACTGTGCTTGACCCATCCTTAGCTGCGGTCACCGTGACGAGACCAACTGATGGCGTTTGCTGGAAGTATAGTAGTGCATCTGTCAACGAGCCAACGTCGAATACTTGGTTGAGCTCTGCGGATAAGGATGGCTTGAAGTCAATATTCTGGATGTACCGAATGACCAGATCGAAGAGTTCTGCCACAAAATCCGGATCCTCTGCAAGGAGTTGATGAAGATCCCAAGTAGCCACAGTCACAGACGTCGGAGGCATACGGGTCGATGTCGGACCTGCGGCCTCCCTCGCGAACTGCACAATGCTACCGCCTGTCGTCGTATTAGTACAAATTCCTCACAGACTTGAGAGAGTAGTTGTTGCAACCTACACTTTCGGACACAGGCAAACCCCTCATCGAACGCTTTCAAGGTTGGATTGTACACGCAATCCACACCATTACCATCTGTAGCGCCCAGTATCGTGGCCACAAAGAGTCCGGAATCAGCTTCCAGAATATGATCCTCTGCGACACCATGCCGTTCCAAAGTCTCTCGTTGTAGATCAGCACCCGGGCCGACGACAGTAGTAAAAACTTCAGCCCCGATAGCGACAGCCAAATCAACCGCGACGAGGCCAAAACCACTGGCGCCGGCATGGACCAACACCCTGCGGCCTTGCCGGACCCTTCCAACATGGATGAGTGCAAAGTAGGCGCTGACGAGGAAACTTGGGGCAATGTCGGGTTCGACGTGTTTGACAAACCGCGACTCAACCCGCAACAAGTTCCGAAACGAGCCGCCAGGGACCAGGGCGGCAACACTGTCACCGATAGACAAGCCCTTGACGTGACTACCAAGCCGAGTAATCCGGCCCCTGACGTCGGCTCCAACAGTCGACTTTTGGGTCCTTCCAAGGACAGTCTCGACATCCAGAAGTGACAGATTAGCTTCGCTGAACGCGATCTCAACGTCGTCTGCTCCAAGGTTTGTCTTGTCTGATACGATGAAGAACAAGTTGTCGTCGTTGATGCCCGGGGCGCCGATTGTGAGCTCAAGGCCTTGGCTACCGCTGAACGGCTTCTGAGAGACTCTTCCAGCCAAAACCTCGCCTTCAATAATGCGGTTCATTGACCGTAAGGTACTGAGACGGGGAACGTAGATCCTTCCGCTATCCTCGGCAAACTCTGTATCCTGCACCGGTAGTAGCTTTGACCCAAACGCCGCATCAAGCAGGGACAAGACGTTGTCAACGATGACAGGATCATCTAGTTTTGAGTCCCCTGCCAAGTCAAAGGTGACAATCGAATTCAGGGGGTCTTCAGAGATTAGTGTCCTTGCGAGTCCGTTGATGGGGCTTCCACGCGGATTCTCGCAGGTCATGACAGCTCCTCGAGTAATCCAGAATACATGGCGCGCGTGGGCCAATATGCCCTTAAAGCAGTTGAAGTCTTCCTCCTTCCAATCAAAAATGGAATAGTCGCGAGGCTGAATGCCAGAGAACTCGAGCAGAGAGATGACTGTCCTGCCATGGAGAGCAGATGGTTCTTTCAAGGCCTCGTCGACATTCATGAAGGAGATGGTGGATGAGACACTCTTTGATTCCTGAAGTCGTTCGATAGCCTTGATGAAGTTCTGAACCTCTGTGCCGACCTCTGCTGGAGTAATGACGACGATGGGACCGGTGAGGTGAAACAGCTGGGTCTTCCTATAAGCCTCCAAGAGGAGTCCGCCAGCGCCCTCAATCAAGTGCGCATCTTGACCACGCTCTCTCATCATCTGGTGATTGACGATCCTTTGCATACTACCAATGTCTTGGGCACCTGAAGTACTTTTGGGGTCGCCCAATGGCTGCTCCTTTGGCCTCTCAACGGGAGTGGTTTGCATCAACAGAACACCGCCCTCCTTCAATCTCGTTTCTAGGATACTGAAATCAGTCTCGACATTGTGACAAGTCACAATCAAGTGATAGTCACTTCTGATGACCGCTATGTCAGAGACTTCTTCCACAAAAGGCTGCAGCGGCGTGTCTCTCACAGAGGAAAGAAGTCTCGAAGCGACATCATCACCGTCTCCCGCTAGGATGGTATACCGCAGGAGCTGGGGTGTCGCATCTGGATCCGGGCTGACTGCTTCTAGAGTTGCCTGTGAGAGCTCGTAACTGCCGCCGATCTGGAGTATCGACAGACCAGAGTACTTGTGGGCAAGAAGAGCAACCTGTTCGCCGTATGAGCTCGGCCTTGCGAAGACGGCATCCTCTTTCCATATGATCTGGCTGCAAAGATTGCGATTGCTGGGCAAGAATCCCCCCTCCTCGGGCGATGGGGTGGGCAATGCGGCCAATCTCAAGCCTTCAATGACGACGTGTGCGTAGTCTATCGATTCCTGCTTCATGAAGATGGTTGCCTCTGCGTTTTGGATGCCAGCTGCAGTAACTGACGAGTAACCAGTGAAATCTGCACCTGATGATGCACCACCCAGATTTGCGGCCACGTAAAGCCTCTTGATGGAAACGGGCACCATGGGCACCGATTTGATAGCCAATAGAGTCTGGATCATGGCATCTAAAGTGGCCGGGTGCAGAAGATGTGGGTATTCAAACTTGCAGGGCATTTTGGATTTGGTATCTGGAATCCTGACTCTGCTCACGCAGTAGCCATCGCATGTGCGAACCTCTGCAATGTTCTGGAACAATGGTCCATAGTTCATCCCGACGGAGTCAAGGTGTTCGTAAAGCTGCCGTGGAATGATCGCCTTGTTACAACAATTGCTCATGGTTCGATGGCGGTCTTCGTACGATCGAAAAGCACCCTGCCAATTTCCCGCCCGATAATGAAACTGTAGAATACCCTTGGCATGCCGCTCCCATGATCGACCTTGAAGTCGAGAGTAAATGGCAAATGACCTGGCTCCAATCTTGCCGCCATCATCCGTATTGGCTTGGTCGTTCCTGAGACTGAGCGATACTTCTAATCCGTAGGCGGTATCGGGAATCGTCATGGCTTTCTCAATGCTCATATCCGTGAGCTCATAGGCAAGGAGATCCTCGGCGCCTTTGGCTAGCTGTGCTGCTCCCTCCAATACCATTGCAACCATGCCTGCGGCAGGATAGACGACTGTTTTCTGTACCTGGTGGTCTTTGATCCATGGGTTTTCTGAGATGCGCAGAAACCCTCTCCACTTGGGCTCGAAGGATGTCATGGAGTCCAGATCTCTGGCACCGATGAGATCCATCCTAGGATACTCCCTCATACGGCTCACACGACTCATCTCAGCCTCGTGCCAGTATGTTTTTCGGTGATCCCAGGAATAGGACGGCAGGTTAGAAAGACACCTCAAGGAATCCTCTCGCTCGCCCCTTGAGACGACCATCTTCATGTTGACAGGATAGCCCCTGGACCACAAGGAACCAAGAAGATTGAGTAGGGTTACACACCCGTTCTTCCTTCGCTCAAGGGCGGAATGGTAATCCGGGCTAGCAGCACTCTTCAGCGTGGCGATAACGTCAGTTGTGGGCGACCGGAGAACTGCACTGGGGCTGAGTTCAATCAAAAGGTCGGGCTGACCATCCACCGGAAGGTCCATGAGCGACTGAACTGCCGCGACATACTGAACGGGAGAAACCATGTTCTTTGCCCAATACCTGGCGTTCAACTCGCTTCCCCGGATTGGCTTGCCGGTGACAGAAGAGAACATCGTGACGCCCTCGAGGCAATCGTGGGTGGCAACATCTTCAAGAGCGGCAACATAGTCGTCCTCGACAAGTTTCATATGGGATGAATGATATGCGACCTTGACGTTGAGAATCCTGTTGAATATGTCCTTTTGAGTCAGATCGCGAGCAATGTACTCAATGGCGTCGGCTTGTCCAGATATCGTAATCGATCGTGGGCTGTTTATGCAGGCGATTTGCGCAGACTTGTTGATCCTGGCGAGATACGCTGAAGCTTCTTCAGTCGACATTCCAATGACCATCATGGCCCCCTTCAGCTTCGAAGCCCGGAATGGAATGCTCGCCGCGGCCAAGCCACGAAAGTAGGAAATTCTCCACGCGTCGTATCGCGATATAGCCCCTGAGGCATAGGCAGCCGCAATCTCGCCCGAAGAATGTCCCAACACATACTGGGGCTGGACATCGAAAGACTTGAGAAGATCGACCAGGGCAACTTGCAGAGCAGTTGTTGCGGGCTGTGAAATCTCGGGATCGGATATGCGCGTGTCCCCAGCACCCCTGAGAATCTCCTTCAAAAGGTCGAATCGAGCCCCCAGCCCAAGCTGCAAGAAGCAGCTGGCCTCCTTGAGACTGGTGCTATACACCGGAAAGGACATGAGGTCTTTGCCCATTTCCGCCCACTGGGCGCCCTGCCCACAGAAGATGAAGCCTAGCTTGGACTGCTTCTTGAGCGACGAGCGAGCAACGGAGCTCGTCTTGAAGCCATCGATCTTTCCCAGGAGGTCATCCGCAGATTCAGCCACAACAAATCCCTTCCACTCGAGGTTGGATCGGCGACAACCAAGGGTATAGGAGTAGTTGCGCAAAGAATCTCCAGTATTTTCTCGAATCGATTCGATGAATGGAGCGTGTGACTTCATGATGCGAGAAACACCGGCATTGTCGCTTGCAGAGTAACAAAACAACCGCGCTTCGGGGGTTCCCTCGGCCAAGGCCGCATCAGTTCGTGATGGTACAATGTCGGTGGAGGAGTGACTTGCGTTCAGCCCCTTTGTCGCAAGATAGCCCGGCGCCTCGTCTACAACGACATGGGCATTCGTACCACCAAACCCAAAGGAGTTGACACTGACACGACGAATGCCGGGAATGGGCCAGTCCATTACTTCCGTCGGGACCTAAGGTGAAGTTAGCACACGACAGGCTTCTCTTGTGTAGAGGAATCATTTACCTTGACCTTCCAATTCTCAAAATCAATCTTGGGATTTCCTTTGATGAAGTTGATGTTTGGTGGTACACGGCCCCGTTCCAAAGCCAAGACTCCCTTGATCAAGCCAGCAATCCCAGCTGCCCCTTCCAGGTGGCCAATGTTCGTCTTCACAGAGCCCACCATGACAGGGTTGTCAACAGTGCGAGCCGACGCAATGGTCTGGGAGATGGCTTGGAGTTCTTGCCAGTCACCTGCCTGTGTCCCCGTGCCATGGCACTCGATGTAGCCGGTCTGGGCGAAATCAAGGCCTGCCGAATTATAGACAGCACGAATATTGGAAACTTGAGCGTCCCCGCTGGGAAAGGTAATGCCTACTGGCTAGTCAGTAATTGATACCAATCTCTGTCGCGAAAAATCGACGATGTTCCTGAACAACAGCTCTGGCATACCTTTGGTGCGGCCATCCTGGTTCACACAGCTGGCTCTCAGGACTGCGTGAATGGTATCGTTGTCGCGAATGGCATCTGACAGACGCTTCATGACCACAACACCAATTCCTTCGCCTCGCCCGTAGCCGTTTGCACGAGAGTCGAACGTAAAGCACTTCCCGTCTGGGCTAAGGAAATTCAGCGCCGTCATCGGCAACATAGTCTCGGGAGACAAGATCATGCCGGTGCCTGCAGCCAGAGCCTGATGAGAAGACCAGTCAGTTCACAAGTACCGCGAAGTCCTTTGATCATTCTCACCAACGACGCCTCGCCATTTCGAAGGCTCTGAGCAGCCAAGTGAACGGCAACAAGGCTTGAGCTGCAGCCCGTGTCTACCGTCATGCTGGGACCATGCAAGTTGTAGAAATAAGATATCCGATTGGACATAATGGCAATCCCATTCCCTGTTGCGGCATACTTCGGCCCCCAATCCTGGTCGCGGAGGCTAATGTACTCGTAGTCTGATGTTGTGTAGCATCAGCATATGTATTCTTGAAGGATTTCCAGACAGCCGGGTCAAGTCGCTTTGAACTTACCCTTCACAAATGATCCCACGTAGACAGCAGCATCACTGCCATCAATATCCTCTTTGCGGATACCAGCTAGACAGAATTACGCCCATGTTAACTTTCAATGCTTCTTGCAACGAGGCCCAAGTCCAGGGTTTACGTACCGTTTTCAAGAGCTTCGTACGAGATCTCGAGAAGCATACGCTGCTGAGGATCAACTGCGTTTGCTTCCTCTGTAGGTATCGAGAAAAACTGTTCCGATCTGTCAGTATGCAGACAGAATCAGAACATTGGCACATGATGGCGTCCTTACTGGAGCATCAAAGGCACTGATATCGTCCTTCAAGAAGTGCCCTCCCCGGAACGAGAGCTGCTATAGGTCAGCAAGGCCTCTACAGGATGCCGACTTCTAGGTCAGTAACTTACGCTCCCGAGCCTGTCATTGCTTGGGTGATAGTAGCCGTCGATGTTGAGACGGTCTTTGGGGAACTCCGACCATTGGGACTCTTTCCGCTCCAGCACATCCCAAAGCTTCTGCGGCGAAGTAGCATCGCCTGGGAACCGCAACGCAAGTCCGATGATGGCAATATCTTCCATACTGTTGGCGACACCAACGCTCTGGCCGTCTCCTGGTGGTTGTTCACACATAGCGTACCATTCCTGGGTGTAAAGCACTTGCTATCGTTTGAAAAGTAAACGTACCGGAACTGTTGAGACGTTGTATGAGTCTGAGATGAGCGGGAGTTGCAGCAGGTCAAGTCAAGAAGTAGCTGAGGATGCAAAAGAAGCTACAAGAGTCGAGGAGAACCTGATGAAGTATAACAACAAAGTAGCAGAGTAGGGGAGAGTTGTCGAGTCTTCTTATAGACCGAGGGAAGGTTTGCGAGGTGAGGACCGTTTGCCAACTTGCATTATTCAAACACCCACTTGCTATTGAGTCAAAGGCTTGTTGCCTCGCCACGTTAACTCCAGTCTAAGGCATGAGTCCGGAGTACAGTGATGCAGTTCAGTGCATGAAGCGCGATTGCAATAACAGCCGCGGAGAACGGGTTCGGAGAGACTATGCAGAAAGAGCCCGTTGCCTTGGATCAGCCGTGAGGGTTGTATGCATTGACTGCAAACGGCTTGCAAACGATTATCTCAATATCGGCAAACAAACGCGGTGAAGGCCAACCAATAGATTAGGCGGCGGTTCAAAAATTCTTGACGTGAAGCGCATGCAACCTCCCCCTCCCAACTACGTGGCTAGATCGTAGCCTCGATTCGGCTTCATAGCTTCTGGGTCGGAAACGGGCCGCGTTGGTGACAATCTTTGCCAAGGCATTGACCCACGGGACAATGGAGAGCCCCGGGAATCCTGCAGGAAGCTGATCCATGCTTCTGCAGATGAAACAAAGGAGCATCGGAGCGCCAAAGACAGATCGAGGGATTGGCCCCGGGTTTGGTTCCCTTCATTTGACAAGCCCGTGCGCAACGCGCGGGCGCAGGATCTTGGCCACAGGAAGCCTGCTGCAAGTAAGAGCCTCGCAGATATTGCCCAAAGGAATGGAACCTTCCCGAGAATGGCATCAGAGGCATCCCATTGACCAATGAGATAAGGCTGTCTCTGTCCCGGGCGGCCGGAACGACTGGGGAGCTGCACGTTGATGGACTTGGGTCGGAGGCACATGATGACCTCAACAATGACGATACCGTGACAAACCTAGTCCAAAGACTCAAAATCTTCCTTCAGGACGCTGATGGAGACAAATGTGACAAGAGCCTCAAGTCCCTATCAGACGCAGGCAACCGTGCTCTCGCCGTTGGTCCCTGGACTACGTCTCTGAGCGGTCTGTGGACATCAACTCCCCTAGACGTCTCTCCAGCTTCACTTCCTTCACACCGCATTGTTACCGGGATGCAACGAAGCAGACCATAGAAACACCGACGTTGTCCAACATCAGACACAACAGTAGGACTCGGTGGCCTCCACCCATCTTTTCAAGCGGCATTCTAACGAAAACTCCACTCCCATAAGTAGATGCGAACACTTGCTTGGGCAGACATCAAGCCATGGTGTCGGCTGACTGGCCGGAGTTGTTGGGTGACGGAATAGGAGAAGTCGGGCCCCAATTTCCTTCGAAAAATGGCAAGACTGGTGCAACAGCCTCGGAAAGAATTGAAAGTGACTGTGGTTGGGAGCGAATATAACAGTTGATCCAATCTGTCTCCTTCTTGACACTGGGTTCTTTCTTTCGACGTCAACTTCTGGTTTAAGCCTGACCCAGGGAAAGCGTGAAAGAAATTCGATGAGACCAGATTGAGGTGACGATATCTCTCGATACGAAACGAATGGGCTCTTCCAAGCGGGAGAAGAGAAGTCGAATGCCATATTCTTGATGGCTATGGCAAGCGTAGCGTCAAAATTACACAGATATGGGAAGGTAATCTTGGGACCCTGTGTTGGTCACATCATGGGAACAGTGCCGGTGGTAGAAGCCAATCCAAGCCGGAAGCTGCACCAACAACTGAAGCTCTTCAAGGTTAGCCTGGGAGTGATCTTGAGATTGGACACGGAATGGAGCACGATCACGCAGTCCCCCGTCAAGCGTTTCCCAGGCGATAAACCGAAGGCCCGTTACCATGGGGCCGGTTAATGAGATGAGCATGCGAAACTCTCGCAACCTGACCCGCCAACACCGCCAGAGGACGTGGAACGAAACATGTAGCAGCCCATGTGTTGGTACCTCGCCGTGCTTCTCATCTAGTCCTGGAGGAGAAGCTGTTGTTCCCCGTGCCTTTTGAGCTGGATCGCTGTCAGAGCGGACAGACTTGTACAAACTTCATAGCTCCTCTGCCGTCGGCCAGTTGCAAGGGGAATTCTCGGTCGTGGCAGACATACTTGCAGTCTGGACTGTCGGAAACTGTTCTCGCCTCAACTCATCAGCCTCTTAGTCTGGAGACAGTGGACTGCGATCCGTGATTTGACCACTTTCCTCATTTCCTAGCTCCCGTGGCCAGGTTACACGGGAGACGGCTAAGCCGAGACGATCCCTTCGAATAGCGTCGTTGGAAAAGTATCTTGACGAACTTTTGTAGGTTCTCCGTCATAGTCGCTCGATATCCCGCCTTAGCAGACCCTCTGAGCTCAGCCACTCGACCCGTTCCGCGTACCTGTTCCTCGAGCGCAAGTGGTAGACTTGACGACGGGCCAGTCGAGCCATGATGTCTATGTGACTGGCCGCACAGTTACCTGCCTGCCTGATGCCAGCCGTCTAGTGCTGTATGATGCTCCTGGATGGCATCCGTCAGATTTCTGGCAGGGCGGCGGCTTCAGCGGCAGCATGCTGGTCGAGATCCTCGTGCGATGAAACAAGCCCCGGGTGGCACAGATTCAGCAGTTGATCGCTGGCTGCTCACGCAAGTGATCTCTCATCGCCTGCATCTGACTGGCCGAAACATGGTGATGCGTAACCCGAGCGCAAACGAACGGCTCGGTGCTGGCGTCAAGGACCCAGCCGACACTCTGACGCTCCCTGTGCAATTCGCGACCTTTCTCTAGCGGTATAACATCGCGACATATACCAGAAACGCCGTTGCCACGCAAGTGCCGCTCCAGCACGAGACCGCCGTGTGACTCTGCCTCAGTTGGCCTTCCGATACCCGCTGAGCCGTCCGTTGATGGAGTAGTTGGCCGGTCCTAGTGCCCGTTGAGCATAGAACAAGGGAAAGCCTGAAACGCCCCCGACGAAGCTCTGCAGCCGCCGCCGCCGCCGAGACGGCCGGCCGGTGAAGGGCAGCAGATGCTGGCAGGCGTCTGTCTCCTCTCAGGAGTCCTTCTGGGCAACGTGGTCACGCCTCGTCTGTGAGACACCAGGCTACATACAGCCTCCACGAGCCGTACAGGTGCAACCGAGTTGAGAGATGTTTCGGATACTTATTCAATGAGCTTCCTCCTTTTGCGGACAGGGACCGTCGCCATCGCCCCGAGTCGCCGGTCTTGTCTCAGCTCGACTATGTCTGACTTCGGCTCCCACAGCTTCCACTGTCCTCGGATCGCCAGGCCCGTGCTGGGTCTATCATAGGAGCAATCAGAGGAACCACTCACAGGGACACTCACAGGGACACTCACAGAGACAAGACACTGGAACCGACGCTGAGAAAAGGGGCAAGATCATAAATCGTGATCGGTTCTTTCTTGAGCGAGGCTCCGAGCCCAGAGTCGAGCTTCGAGCCAGTTCTGAGATCTGATAGCCCAGTGTCACGAGGAAGTTGCGTCTTGTCTCAAGTTGCCCTGAAGCTGCCTGGAGTTGCCTGAAATTGTGGCGTGGGCAGTTCCTTCCCGGGCTGGCAAGGCGTGGTGCCATCCAAGTCGAGTCGCCTCTTCAGCAGCCCTGAGCTGGGATTTACATAATCTTGACCGGCTCTTCTCTCCTCTGTTTCGTCAACACAGCTTTGAGCCTCAAAACACCTCTCTTCTCCTCACCCCCTTTCTCCTCCAACAGTGGCCTGCTCGAGAAGCAAGTTCAAGTGCTGCAGCAGCGGAACAAAACGCCCGAGAGTTGCTTCTTTCAACGACTACAACGACGACAACAACAAGACAGGCCAAACAGAGTCCTTGACCGGCTGCTCCCAAGGAGCTGAAGACATTGGCAGCGCCCAAAACCAACCGCCTCCGCCAGCAGCCATGACAACAGAGTACCGTGTGTCACTCTCATACCCAAATCCATCGCTGGGCCAGATGGTGGCCGGTTCGCAGACGTCCAACTCCATAGACGACGAGGCTTCGCGCTCAAAGCTTGGCTATGGGGACTCGGGACAGGTCAAGGGCTTACAGCAGGCAGCGCTTGTCTTAACGTAGGTATGGCTCCATCCCTCGTGATCGTGCAGTTCTAACAGATGTAGGCTCCTCGTTGGCCTTCTGATCTCGACTCTCGATACAACCATTGTGTCTACGTCCCTCGTCACGATATCGAATGACCTGGATGACTTTGTCAATGCACCGTGGATTGTGCTGGCGTATCTGCTGACCTATATGGGTGCGAATCATGAAATTGCAGTCGTGGGGATTCGACTCTTCTAACACCGCTTTATAGGGTTTGCCGTTTGCATCTCCAAGATGAGCGACATATATGGACGAAGGAATATTCTGGTCCTCTCCTGGGTCGTCTTCTCCGGGTTTTCCTTGGGCTGCGCCAACGCGAAACACATGACTGCACTGTACGTATGGCACCGCTTCCATTCATGGCAAAGCACGAGGTGGGACAATAGTGACACATTTTCATCAGCATCGCATGTCGTGCCTTCCAAGGCATAGGAGCGTCAGGCCTGTACAGCTTGACCCAGATAGCCCTCGTCGAAGTCGGTCCGGCCCATCGGCCTAGTCTGATCGGGGCTATGATTGGGGCAACGCTTGCCATTGCATTCGTTCTTGGCCCCCTCCTTGGAGGCCTGATCTCCATGCATTCCGACTGGAGGTGGCTCTTCAACCTCAAGTGAGTCTGAGAAAAGCCCGCCGTGTCTGGACTGTGCTGACTGTCTCGTGACATGCTTTTATCATGACAGTATCCCATTCGGACTTGTTGCCATGCTTGCTATCACGAGTTTGTGGCCTCGAGAGGAAGTCTCCCATTTACTTTCATGGGAGGCTTTCACCAGCATAGATTTCATCGGCAGTACTACTCTGCTATGCGGCTCTTCTTTACTCGTGTTTGCCATCCAGCAGGCGGGTTCGCAGACGGTTGCCTGGTCCAGCCCGGAAGTCATATCGGCTCTCGTCATATCCGGGATCAGTTGGGCTGTATTCATCGGTTGGGAGGTGATACTGGACTCAAAGAGACATCGCCATATCGAGCCGATATTCCCCATCCGGTTGATGTCCCAACGGGTCTATGCTTCAGGTCTCTTGTAAGCGCTTGATTCTCTCGTGACTGGTGAACAGGCGCTAACGTTGATACAGGCTCACACTCCTTACAGGATTTCCGTACATTTCTCTCACCGTCATCATCCCCGAGCGTTTCCAGATCGTCAAGGGAGAAGACGCCCTCATGGCCGGCATTCACCTCTTTCCGTTACTCGGGGCCTGCGCCGTCGGCTCGTTTCTAGGCGGCGCAATATCCAACAAGCGAAACAACACATCGTATACGCTTATTGGATCATCCTGTCTTCAACTCTTGGGGCTAGGGCTGATGACGACCCTGAAACAGGCAGAAAGCGCAGAGCCCTCTCAGTACGCCTACCAAGCCATTTTTGGGCTGGGCGTCGGTCTCTGCTTCTCGGCAACGACAATCATGACGAGCATTTGCACAGCTGAGTCGAGCGAGAAGGCCACAGCGCAAGGGGCCGTTGCCCAGGCTCGCGTATTGGGGGGAAGCATCGGGCTCTCGGTCTGCACAGTGATATTCAACATCCACGTGAACCGATTTCTAGAGGGCCGTTTAAGCAAAGCGCAACTCGAAAGCCTTCACCGGTCACCCCTGTCGGGGCTGCAGCTCCCTGTCGACCAGCAAGATGCAGTTAAGACCGTCTATGCTGGAGCATATGCCGAGGAGATAAAGATATTGGCTTGCGTTTGCTCAGTCATGGTAATTGTTGCCCTCTTTACTCTGGAGAGGCACCCCACGCCGTTGAAGATTGTGCATTCAGGATCCAAGGAGGGTCCGTTTTCGAGACGCGGCAGTGACTCAGAGACGGAATTGTCGGATATCAGAAACACCCATCAAGTTGCTTGAGCTGGCTCACGACCGTCTGGACCACTTCCCATGACCCAACTCTATTCTCGGCTTTGTTCGACCTGGTGCTGTCACCGATCCTCAGAAGAAGATGTCGTATTTGGCCGAAGCAGTATCGTAACCTGCAATTTCAAGGTAAACTTATGGTACTTTATCCATCCGAGTCTGCCGTGGAGAAGCTGTTCATCTTAGCCGCTGTATGAGGCGACTCGCTGTGCAAGCTGCTTATTTTTGGGACAATTTGATCAGAAAGCAACAGATAGGATGTTCTGCACTCGGTGTTTTGAGCTTTGCTGTTACAGGTGTTTGGCTGATCAGAGTAACTTATGATGTACGATATGATATCTCTGTTGTGTGGACTTGTTCCTCTTTTTTTTTGTGATACTGGTATCGAAAGAGCAGAGAAGGAAGAAGAGGGCTTCTAACGTGGCTACCTTGAAGAAGGATTCGGTTTGTAGTTATCAAAATTCGATTGCCGTCTGTTAGACACGAACTTGACCTGATGTGCTGATAGCCGTCTACGACCAGGCGGCAATGCATGGCGATGAGTGAGTTTATACGCTCAAGACAGGCCCACCATCGCCGTATATGGGGTCCTTGCTGAACCACGGCAGGGCCTTGATGCTGTTGGCGTCGTATTCATTGTCGTTCTTCCCGTAGCACATGTCCCAGGTCTTGCCGTTGGGATAGCTGCCAACCATGAGAAAGGGTTCAGGGCCCAAGTCCTCGAGCAGACGATGAGCGACGCCCGCGGGCACGACGATGACGTCGCCCTTGCTGACGACGGGCTCGACGCGGCCGGGATTGCGCTCGCCGCCGAAGCAGAGCTTTGCGCGGCCGGCGGCGACGCAGAGAACCTCGTGGGTGGTGCTGTGGAAGTGGGTGGTGTGGTACATTGTGTAGCGCCACTGGGGGGAGACGACGCCGACGGAGCGGAGATGGGACTCGATGGCATCGGGGGAGGGGGAAGGGGAGGGGGTGGTGGTTGTGGTGGTAGTTTGTTCGGGGGGAAAGGCGGCGTGGTAGATGATGAGGGGCTTGGAGTGGAGGGACGAGTTGGGGAGGAGGTTGTGGGCTGGGATGAGGTGCTGCGAGATGCGGAGGTTGGAGAGGGGGGTTAATGGGGTTGGTGTTGAGGGGGAGCAGGACGAGGGGGAGAACGAGGAGGAGGAGGGCATGATGGCGATGCGAGTTGGAGTTGAGAGGCTGGACTAGGTGCCGGTTGATGATGTCCTGTTTGATAGGTTCACGGGAGAGGTTATGATGAGGAACTGGGGTGAAGAGAGATGTGAGACTAGCTGAGGCGGTGAAAATTGGTTGTGGAGAGTTGTTTGCTTGCTTGGTCTGTTTTTGAGATTGGTGGACGAGATGATGGCCGTTTCAAAAGTTATTTGCTGTCTGGGTGTACTATGTCGGACAATGAAAGAGATGAATGGGGTGAAGGGGAGAGGAAGAGCTTGGGTTGAGGTTGAGAGAGCTGGAGTCGAGATGATGTAATAGGCGACGATCCGAGGTGTACCTAGGTAGGTAGCAGAGGGACCACCAGAACTACCACAACCTACAAGTCCTTAATGGTCGCCTGTTGGCCAGCACGAAGCTCTCCAGTTTGATACTTGTCAAATGAGAATATCAGATAATCTTGAGCATGGCATAGAAGTACCTTGGCTTGATTGAACGTCCGATGAGCTACCAAGACGAAAATGTAGACAATGCCTCCCATCTACGGTAAGGTAGGTAATCACCAACGATGGGGAAGCTTACTGTGCCCGCCACCAGCACTCTCTTTGAATTGTTAAGTCCCTCTTTTCAAGACCTGTATAACTAGGTAGCTGTTCAATCTTCACCTTTCACAAGTGCTTACACAGCCTCCCGTCCCCCTTCTCCCTCTGCCCTTTGCCTTCACGGCGCAGCACCCCCGGTGACCTGAGGCTTAAAGTAGACGGTCAAGATGCCCTCGACGCCCAGCGTCATGGCCACCTTCTTGAGGGCCTGGTGGGCGGGGCACTCGGCGTCGTAAAACTTCATGTCGTCGAGGCTGGCGAACTCGGACTTTGCGACAAAGGTGTAGCCCTGGGAGCGCTGGTCGGGCTCGGCGGGGCCGGCGGCCATGGAGAGGATGTACGGCTTGCCGTCCTTTTCATGGCATTTTGATGCAGGTCAGCTTTTTATGAAAGACGTGAGACTTGAATCAAACGTTGTGGTGGTTGGTGATGGAACAAGGAGAGGGGGGAGGGGGTAATTTTGTTCGGTTGATGAGGGGTCAGGTCAACGAATTGTGCCGAGGATGTTGGACGAGTTTCATCTCACGAATAAGATACAAAGATTTGTTTTTTTTTTTTTCAACTCACCTTGCTGTTGTTCTCCCTGAGGATCTGATACTGCTCGATAAGCTTCTTCTGCCCCTCCTCGCTGGGGAGCTTGAACATGGTAACCCGGTGCACGCGGTCTGCCATCTTGACTGTTGCTGCTGCTGCTGCTGTGGACGACGATGAGAATCTGTAGAGAGCTGCGGGGTGCTGGAATGCAGAACGAGGGGCAGCGCGGTGGAAGAAGCAGTGTCTGGTACTGGCAATAAGCGGCCGTGAGAGACGCAGCGGCGAAGAGGTCATGAAAAGGACTTTTGAGGAAATCAAAGAAAAGACGATGTGAAAAGCGGAATGACAAATTGTGAAAAGTATCCGGAGTGTCGGAAAGGTAAAGAGGAAAAAGTGGAAGCTTGCAAGATGCAACTTGGTAGAGGCCGAAAAAGGAAACGAGCTTCGTGCTGAGGTGAGAGAGATAATAGAGAGAGAGCTCTTCTAGTGCTGCTGTTGCTATCTACCTAACTGATTACCCCAGAGTTTCTGCAAAGACGCGGCTTGGATCGGCAGCGGGAAACGACAAGGAGGAGGGCGGGGGGAACGGTTTGCAGAGAAAAAGCAGGGAACAAGGGAAAACATGGGCTTACAGAAAAACCAACGATGCGCACACAGATGCGACGTCTGTCACCAAAAAGTGAACTTGGACGGGTGCTCGTATTTAGTCTAATGTGTGTCTATATTCATGCCGCACTCCCTCTATGTATTTTCCCACAGCGCTTGGGGGGAAACGGCCGGTATTGCGGCTATTGTTGCGGCGTTTAACGGGGGAGTTTACAGCAGAATTCGGGCTTTTCGTATATTGAGATTACTGATTGTAAAGCTTAGAGATTATGATATATGCGGTCTCGTGTAAATTTGGTCAATTGTTTAGTCAAGTCTGTTGTCTGATGCATCGCTGCTTTGAAAACAGCCTCGACTTTGCCAGAACGGAAGCGGGTGCACATTGACCATGCAATTCCGAGGCACGGACACAAAGCGGTTTAATCATACATTATTTCTCACGGTATCTATTTTGATGCATTTCTCAGCTTGGACGCAAGTTTCTTATATTTCTCTTGATCCTGGTTGCACTCGAAAGAGTCACATCTCGGAATCGCGCTCCTTCAACCAACTGCGGCGAAGACGCAAGGATATGTCCGTGGCTCTCCCTCCGCCTCAACAACGACCCAAGCACATTCACCTCGACAACCGATGCAGTTGGAGCGGAACAGCTGAAAGCGCCAGCAGCGCAGCAAGTGAGGTCACCCTGTTCTCGTGACTGCCACCACAGCTTGACCCCTTTCTTTCACGTCTGTGGCGCCTCTTTTGATAACCTTTGCTGTCTTTGGCTGCTTTGCTTGCAGATGCCCAGGGGCTTACTCTTCCATATGCTGTAATTTGCTCTTCACCCCCTGTCTGGCTTGTCATTACGCCCGACAGGCTTCAAGGTCTTGTGAGCAGCCACATGAAGAAGAGCTGCACAAGGTACGAGTAGAAGAAGAGGAACTGTGTCCGCTGGTTGCGCTTCACCCTGGTGTCGGTCTGCATAGGACCTCCCGAGTTGGCGGCTGTCTCAGGCAGGAGGACGTACTTTAGCGATCGCATCTAAAGGATCTCCAGTTAGCACGGTTCCAGGAACTTGAGGATTCCGCCACATACCAGGAAAAGGGAGTTGGCCAGGAAGGTGTAGATAAAAACCAGCCATCCAATCCAGCCTCCGGTGCCCTTTCCACCGTTGACAATCTCTGCAATGGCAATGGTCACAATGATGCCGACAAACTTGTATCCAGAATACGCAATCAGGTCGAGGAGCTGGGACTGGCTGGAGATGCTCAAAAGGTAGCATCCCACTTTGAGCGCGATAATCTCGAAAATCACCACGCCGAGCGCGATCGTCGCCGTGTATCCCAAGAGCTCGGGGTTGAACTGGCCCCTTACACCAGCTACCAATGTAGACAGGAGAATATACGTGACCAATGCCATGACTACATCAACCACGCACACTCATGTTAGCCGCCATCGCTCGGTGATATCATGAGACTGGTACTCAAAGCGCGCAAACCGACCTGGTATGTACATATCGGGGCTGTTGATGTCGTCGCGAGGGGGCAGATAGCGCAGTTCTTGGCCGTTTGCGCCCACAGCCTGCTTGCGGGACCAGGGCTTGTGCCTCCATGGGAAGAGGACGAGGAATAGCTTGTTGACGACGTAAAAGTTGGAGACGTTGAAGTAGTACTTGAGCGCGGAGACGTTGACGTAGCGGCCAATCTGCGAATTTCAGGGCAACCCATCAGTTAGCCTCCCATCGAATTGAATCATTCGGCCATCGAACCCAGCCGTGAGATGTATAAAAGGGGACACTCAAGACATACATTCTGCTCCACGTACTCCTGGCCGTGCTTGAAGGCCGTCTGGCCAAACTGCGCCGCCACCTGGGCCGTGGGATCGTTCATAAACTGTCCGTATGCGCCAAAGGCATTGCCGATGTTGCCGCCCTGCTGCTGGTACGGATTCCCGCCATAGCCGAGCCCATGCGACTGCGCGGACCCTGGAGGCGGAGGCGGAGATCGGAGCTGGGGGACGGTCGACACGTGCTGCGGCACCGGATGGTGCAGAGGAGGCGATTGCGCCGCTCGATGCATGTCGTTGAGTGAAACAAAGAAGATGGGAAAAGGCAGAAGATGAAGGGCGGGGATGCTTTGAGACTCGAGTTGAGAGAGGCCGAGGGCGCGTCGAGCAGGGAGAGGCGAGGCTGTTTGTCGGCGATCAAAGGTCGTAGGTTGGAGGGCGATGATGAGGCTGAGAGTTGAAGCTGGCGATGTCGAGATGCCAGGCTGGAAGTGTGGTTTGGGTTTGGGCCTCGTTAGTCCAGTAGTAGAGGCGCTACAGTACAGTACAGTAGAAGCAACCCCTGCTGGCGCGCTGCTGCAGCGTCATCGAAACGCTGTAATGGACCTGTACCTGTAGGCTGCTTGGCTGCCCCATTGGCGGCGCGGACAGGGCGCGAGTACCTGCGAGGCCGCGATACCTGCAGCCATGCCCTGGTCGGCTCGCTAATTCCAGGTACAGGACCCGCTTTAGGTACCTGACTCACGTCCAGCTGCGGCAGAGCTCTCGCGAGTGCCATCGTGGCCTCTTACCTTACCTTACCTTGGGTACCTTGGGTACCTTGGGGTCCTGCGACGAGGCTTGTCGACACGTGATCCGGCCTTTGCGGTACCTGACACCTTACAACTCCGATCTCGAGACAAGACAATGGAGAGAGTCAATTACCTTAACCACTGTTGAATCAATCAAGTAACTTATCATTGAATTGGGGCCAAGATGCTCCGTCGTCTGTTAAGTACATGATAGTACAGCCTCGATAAAGTCGAAATTGACTGCTCGTCACCCCCGGATTTGCCAGTGCTTGTCTCTCGTATATCCGATCTCGTTATCGGTACTTTGTCGCCACTTCTCAGCTCAACAAAGCTGCGACCAGACACAGTCGCCTTTCTGATTCCCTGCAAAGACGGTGTAGCATCATTTGTTCTAATATAAGCCTCTCTCTGTTCTGCATCCATTGCTCTCGCTATAAATAATTTTAATATTCTTACTTTCTCTGCTCGGTTTAATCTATCCTCGCTGGCCTCTTGTTCGCTCAACCACTCCTTATCGTTAAGGTAGATAGATATCTGGATGACTACACCTTAGACCTTAGCCTTTCTTTTGCGCCTCCCATCTCCCACCTTCTCTCTTCCTCTCTCCTCCAGCTCCTCCTCCTCCTCCTCGGCCTCCTCGCTTCCTCCTCCTCGCATACCGCGGAAGCCCTCAAACCTCTCCGAATCGACCGGGACTCGCTCATTCAACATGTTGGACGCTTTCGAGGTTCTCACCACGTCCGGCGTCGTTCTCTGGTCCAGATCGTATGCGCCCGTCAGCCCCTCCATCGTCAACAATTTCATCGCCGACACCTTCATCGAGGAGAAGACGGGCAGCATTGCGCCCTCCGATTCGCAGTCCGCCGCCACCAATCCGGCCTACAGGAGCGACCAGCACACGCTGAAATGGACTTTTGTCAAGGAATTGGGCTTGATCTTTGTGGTACGCACACGATTTCCGGGCTGCTTGCGCCGCCTGGTGCAGAAGCCGTGATTCGACATGCTCATGCTAATGCATCTCTGCTATGCCAGGTTGTTTACCGGTCTCTGCTGCACCTCTCATGGGTCGACAAGCTCGTCGATAACATCAAGACCATCTTTGTCGAACTCTACGGCGAACAGCTCACGAAGCCACACACGACCCTCGTCGAGTGCCACTCATTTGGCGAATACTTTGACCAGCAGCTGCAGGAGCTTGACAAGTCCAGTACCGTCGGCTCTATAAACCCTATAGACGATCAAGGCTCCTCTCGTCCCTCGGCAGCAGGCCTGACGTATAGAGGTCGCACGATCAATGGCGGCGCAGCTGCTGCTCAGGACACCACATCGGCCGATTCCACGCCTGTTCCGACTCCCAACGCTTCGCGTCCCTCGACTCCTGGCGTGGTTGTTGCCAAGGCCGGCCCCGTGGCCAAGATGTCCAGGAGAGCCCGCAAGGCCCACAACAGCGGTTCGGCACCCGCATCGTCCGGAGACGAGGCCTTGTCCTCAAATCGACAGAAGAAGAGCGGCAAGGCGACGAAGAAGGGGCGCAAGTGGAATGCCGAGGGGTTCGCTGATGAGGAAGACGACGATGTACAGCTCGACTATTCCCGGCCGAGCCTCACAAGCGACTCGGAGGCGGAGGCGGTCGGGCGGTCCAGTGCCCTGGATGCTGTTGATTCGTCGACCTGGGGGTCCACAAGCAAGGGAAAATTCATTCTCAAGGACCTAGGAGACGAGGTGCACGACATTTTGGCCTCGGCGCAGGCCCAGAAGGCCCAGAAATCCGCGCGCTCAGAGACAAAGACTGGTCTCCTGGGCTCCGGAGTCAATGCTATCAGCGGGCTGTTCCGGAATGTCGTCGGTGGCAAGACGTTGACCAAGGAGGACCTTGACAAAGCGATGAAGGGCATGGAGGAGCATCTGCTGCGCAAGAACGTGGCTCGCGAAGCAGCCGTTCGCCTTTGCGAGGGCGTTGAAAAGGAGCTGATTGGCGTCAAGACTGGAAACTTTGAAAGTGAGTCCCCTTACCTCTTAATTTGTGTTCCTGGTCGTCGTGACTCGGGATGAATGACTTACACGCAACACAGGCATCAACGCCAAGATTCAATCGGCAATGGAGTCTTCACTCACCAAGATGCTCACTCCGACTTCTTCCCTTGATCTTCTCCGCGAGATCGACTCCATCACATCCCCCCCTGCCACATCTCTGCGCAAAGCTCGCCCCTACGTAATCTCTATCGTCGGCGTCAACGGCGTGGGCAAATCCACCAACCTGTCCAAGATTTGCTTCTTCCTGCTGCAGAACAAGTACAAGGTCCTCATCGCCGCCGGAGACACGTTCCGCTCAGGTGCCGTGGAGCAGCTGGCCGTCCACGTGCGAAACCTCAAGGAGCTCACAGCTCGAGAAGGCGGAAGAGTCGAGCTGTACCAGAAGGGATACGGCAAGGATGCCGCCGCCGTGGCAAAGGACGCCGTCAACCATGCGGCTCAGGAGGGCTACGACGTCGTCCTCATTGACACGGCCGGCCGGAGACACAACGACCAGCGGCTCATGTCGTCTTTGGAGAAGTTTGCCAAGTTTGCTCAGCCTGACAAGATTCTCATGGTTGGCGAGGTACGTGATCATCACATCAAATCACCTTTACACGCTTCTTCATCACCGAGTCACTCACTGTCTTCTTTCCTTACCCCCCCATACTGACACTTGTCTGCCTTGTTCCCCATACTGACACTTGTCTCTGCCTTGTTCGATAAAAGGCCCTGGTAGGCACCGACTCCGTCGCCCAGGCGCGCAACTTCAACGCGGCCTTTGGCTCCGACCGCGCCCTCGACGGCTTCATCATCTCCAAGTGCGACACCGTCGGCGACATGGTCGGCACGCTCGTCAGCCTCGTCCACGCGACCAACGTGCCCGTGGTCTTTGTCGGCGTCGGCCAGCATTATTCCGACTTGAGGAACTTTTCCGTCAAGTGGGCTGTAGAAAAGCTGCTGAGCGGCAATTAAATGTGTTTGTTCTTTATTAAAGTGTTTTTTTTTTTAAAACTATCTTGGCATGAGAATCATGAGTTTAGACGACGGGGCGAAAACAATAACGGGCTTTGTTCTTGTAATCACCTACTACTTACCTACCTAGGTACCTACCTACCTATTGGATATATATATAATATGACGCAACGCCAATTCTAATATTCATACAAATTTCATCTCCGGATCTTTTACCGTTGGTGTTGTATGTCAAGAGATTCGTTCAGCCCATCACCACCCGCATATTAGCCTAGAAAATTTGCGTACCTAATACATCACAGCGTTCCTTTGTCATATTGATCATCATGTTTCGATGCTACACGTTCAAGGAAGTCCATACTGTCATGCATTTTCGCATTCTAACTGCCCCTTGTCAGGCAAGCAAATAAAAAAATCAATAGAAGCTACCAAGACCGTCCATTCATCGCAATTCATCCTCCATATTCTTATGTTCACATTATTTTCAAGAGGCAGCATGACTAAGCCAGCCTAAAAGTCCATTTCCGTCCCATCCCACCATGTTCATCAAGGAGAAGAAAGAAAGTAAAGAAGAAGGAGAAGAAAGGGGGAGATGTGAGAAACACGGAGAAGAAGAGAGATATCACAAGCTCAACACGGAGGAAAAGGCCAGCGCCTGAATTTATAGAAAGAAGAAAATAGTACCTGAGAAAGAAGAATTTATAGAAAGAAAAAGAAGGGAAAAAAAAAAAGAGGATGGAATCGAAAACGGCATCCGACAATCTGAAACCAGTCCTCCAGAACGAAGGCGTCTCTTTCCGCGTTTATGCGGTATCCATTCTGTGAGAGTGAAACCACCAGTCTGGAGGAAGCAAGGGTGAACACTTTTGTTTGTGTGTGTGTTTTTGTAGAAATTTGTGTTGTGTATCTCAAAAGATGTGAATCATCAAACAAATTCCACAGGGGTATCTCTTCTAGGGGTGTGTCGGTATGTGTGTGTGTGTGTATTGCAATCTGGTATTGTTCTGGGGAGAGTCGAATCATGTCGAATGACGACGTCGGTATGAAAAGGTATGTAACATGAAACGTCCTCTGCTCGGCAAAGGATAAGAGGGCATAAGCGTCAAGAGAGAAAATACAAAGGAAAAAGGTGATATAGTTATAGACGCAGTCATGGGTCATGACAATGCGACGTTCAAGTCAGCCCCTTAGACATTCTATAGGTGCCAATCTGTGTGCTCATCACGACAGCGCATCTTCAGTCCTCTTCAAAAAAGTCATGGTCGTCAAAATCGCCAGGTTGCGCATCCTCATCATACGCCGTCTGGTGTATCATGGAGGGCGGCGTCACTGGCTCGGCTGCCAACTCTTGACGTCGATGGGGGAGGCCGGGAAAGGATGTCTTGTCGGATCGATGCGAGATGTTGGACTCCCGTCGTGCCCGCCCCGCCTGGATGCTCTGCCCCGTGAATCGCCGTCCAATGCTCGAGAACGCGGTGGGCTGCGGGTGATTGTCCTGAGTGGGGGACTGTCTCAGAGCCGTGGCTGGAGGCGTGAGGAGGCCGCTCGCGACGCCACCGTTCTGCATCGGGTCATTTCTGCTCTTAGTAGGAGTGGAATTGCTCGCAACAGCGGGCGAACTCAACACTCCTGAAATGCCTCGGAAGCTGGACTGGCCACTCTTGCGCCAATTGCCCCAGGCGGCCGCAATGGGAGCGATGGTCTGCGCCACGCGCGGCGTTGCAGCCTGAATCGTCTGGGCAATGTTGGGAAGGGTAATGGCCGAACCGCCATTCATGGCCCTCTCGCGCTCCTGTTCCTCCATCTGCAGGTTGGCCTTGAGTCGAATGGCAGCATCCCTGACGGCGGCACGGTCAAATCTTTCGCCTGAAAGCGCCGAGATGATATCCTGCAAATCTCCCTGTCGCACAGCGAGCAGCTCACGCAGCCAGTTGATCTCGTCGTCGCGCTTAGAGATTTTGACCGCAGCATCGGGATCAAGCTCGGCAACGGTTTGCTCAAGCTCCTCAATGCGCTGTTCGCGGGCCTGCAACTGTTCCTGAAGAACCATGATGGATTCCCGGAGAGCCTGTGGGGAGATCCTTTCAGGCATCTCAACCCTCTCTGCTGGTTTCGCCATCGTGGTGCTCAAGACCGAAGAGTCGACGCCAGCCGACTTCGCAGCTTGAGCTGCGGCGGCAGCGGCCTGCTTCGTAATCTCAAGCTTCTCCTCAAGATGAAGTATGCGGTCCTGGAGATGCTCCGTCTTCGACGTGGACAGACTGAGGCGCTCCAAGAGGTGCTGCTCTGTCCGTTGGCCATCCTCGATGGCATTGTTGACTTGGCGTTCATAGCGAGCCTGAATGTCCTCCAGCTCGTTTTGGTGCTTGCGTTTGAGTTCCTCTAGTTCGTTGGCACTGCTGGCCTGGGCACCCTCGAGAAGCATTTCGTTTTGTGCCTTGGCCGTGTCGATCGCCAGCTTAAGGTGATCGAGCTCAGCGCGCAGCTTGGCGTTCTGCTCCTCGTACTCTTCACGGATAATGTTCACCTGGTTGTTGGCAGCGTCGAGCTCGGTCTGCAGAGACATGCGTGTCCTCTTGACCTCGCTAGCCCCTGACTCGCGAGCCTCTTCGAACTCGCGTTGGTAGCGGGCACACGATTGCTGGAGCTTAAAGTTTTCGGCACGCAGCTCAGAGAGCGTCTCCTCGAGACGGTTGCACTCATTGACGGCGCGCATACCAGCCCGCTCGTTGTTCTGCAGCCGTTCCATTTCGACCTCGAGGCGTTCCCTAGTCTTGGATTCAGCCTGCAGTCGAGCTTCCAGGACGTCTTGGCGTGCCAGCATGGCCTGGTCTCTCTTGATGCGTCGTGCGTTCTCCTCGGCAACCTCGCGGGCGGCCTGTCCCATGTCGTCCTGGAGAGAGAGGAACTTGGAGCGCCATGACTCGCGAAGGCGCTCGTTCTCTTCGAGCTGGGCAACAACGCTGGTGAGTGATCTGTGGAGGCGCTTGTTCTCATCCAAAGCATGGCCGAGTTCGCCATTGCTGCGGCGAGCGGCCTCATCAGCACGCTCAGCCTCCGCTCTCCAGGTATTGTTGTCCTGGCGAACGTTGCGGAGGTCGGCTTCGAGAACATTGATTGTGTTCACCATTTCGGCTTGATGATGGGTCCAGTTGTCTCGAGCAGCCTCCAGGGCGGTCAGCTGCATGGTAGCCTTGCTGGCGGAGTGCTCAAGCGTCTTTATGACGTGGTCTCGCTCTTTGACCACTCCGCGTAATCGAGCCTCTTCTTCAGAAGCATTGCGGTAGAGGCGCTGAGCCTCGGATAGGTTATCCTCGGCGGTACGCCTTGCCTTGACTTCCTGCTCGACAAGGTCCTCCTGGGTCCTCAGCCGCTCTTCAAGCTCGGCAACACGTTGGTCGAATACGGTTCGGTTGAGAATTTCAATCTCTACGCGAGTCTCTGCGGACTGCAGCTTTCGATCGAGCTCGGCAGCAGCATCTTCGGCAGCCCTGCGCTCGGAAATCTCCCTGTCAAGGTACTCCTGGTCCAAGCGAAGTCGCGATTCGAGATCCGCATTCTTCGTCTCGAGGTCCCGAATCTTGGCAAGAAGCTCCTCGTCAGGCTTGGGCTGAAGCATGCTATCGAAAGGAGCAGTCTCGTCACCACGAGGCGTGGGCCTAGCGCTGGAAATCAAGAGCTCCTTGATCTCGCCAAGGGATTTCAGCAGGTTTGTATCATCGCTGGTATCCGCGGTGAGAGCCAGCGGGCTGCGCTGCTGCGATGCTAGGGCCTCAACAACAATTGAGCGGATCTGATCTAGCCTGCGATCCCTCTTGGGACTGGTTGAACGGCGAGGGATCGGCTCGTCATCTTCGTCATCGGCATCGCTTTCCTGGTACTCCATCGAACCGCCACGGGCGTCCCGCCGAGAAGAGGATGGACGCTGGCCCCTGGAGGCCATGGATTGATGAAGAGATAGGAGAACTTTCTCGAGAGGCGCGAGTCTGGACGCCAGAAGGTTGCCAACAACCTCATTGACCCGGCCGTCGAAGAATTGGGCACGGTGTTGGAGTTTCGAGTGCTCATCCTCAGAAAAGGCGGCTTCCCAGTCGCTCAGAGGCTCGCTGTCAAGCTCTTCCTCTGCAAATGCATGACCGCGTCTAGGAGCTTGGGCGCTCATAGGCGGGTCCACAAACGGATCTTCCAGCTCGGTGCTTACCAGGGGCTGAGAGGCATTGTCTGGGACGGGGCTGTACTGTCGCGGGACGATGCTCATGCCTTCGCGTGCGTGATCAGAAGGAATGTGCAGTTCATCAGACGATATGGGAGCCTCGACAGACGGGCGAGGCCACTTGAAGGTCTCAACGGATTTGTTAACGCCTTGAGAGTGGTCCCTCTCCATCCGCTGCATGACTGCGTCAATTTCCTCAAAGGTAGGAGAACGCTTCTCGCCGGTGGTCGTGGGTGTAGGGTTAAAGGTGCTGGGCTCTTCCTGTGCCTGCTCAACTGCGCCGTCATCTCGATCGGCGGTAGGGGCAGGAGTCGGCTCTGCAAAGCGGGAAGCGGCAAGGCCCGACGGCTTGGGCGGGGGCATTGCGAAACGAGAGCCGGAGAGACCCTTGGGCGTGAGCTTGCGCCTGGCTGCCAGAGTCTGGGGGTCCTCGGGAGCAGAGAGAACCTGGGGTTGTGTGGAGTCGGATAGCTCCTCTCCGTCGGAGCGAGGTTCAGCCTCCTCTGGGAGCGACACCGGGGTGGCCGTTGAGTGCTGCCGAGGAGTGTGTTGGAATGACGACCTCCACTTGGCAAATGCTTCAGCTGGTGAAGTCTCCGAGGGAGCGGCAGTGGTAACTTGTGTATCGATCTGGTCGACCGAGGACATGGAAGTGTCAGCGGGCAACACGGCTTCTCCGTCGACGGAGCCTTCTTCAGCAACGCTGCGTGCTTCTTTGACCGACGACTCCACCATTGCAGGCTCTTCTTCCTCGGCCACGTCCTCAACAACAGACTCGGCCGCGGGTTGATCAGCAAAGAGAGGCACATCATCGGTGTCGGAGAGATTGGCGCTCTTGGCCCTCTTGACCCTTGAGATGTCGCCAACGCGGCCCTCTGGATCCCTTACATCACCGTCATACGCAGCTGGTGAGTCAGCAGACACAGTACTCGAGGGCCTGAGGATCGGGACAGCCTTGGACTTCTTCGGAGAAGGCATCGCTGACGGCTCGATGTTGATATTGCCGAAGATGGAATCGGTCCGTCTCGGGAAGCCCTTGTTGCCAGACGGGGCGGCGTTTGGTGCAGAGCTGGCCTGGGACTGGAAGGGTGTGAAGGCGGGAGCGTCAGGCCGGAACTTGGGGCCCGAGGAAGAGAAGCTGAACTCGCTCTGACCGGGAGCAAACGTCGGGGCATTGACGTTGATCTTGGCTGCCGGCGGCTGCGGCTGCGGCGGCGGCGCTCCGAAGGGAGTTTGGTCCATGATCTCCGGGGGAGCCGCATGGTAGACGGCAGGCTGGAAGCTGCTGGCGGAAAAGTTGAAGAGGCCAGGGGTAAAGGTGCTGGTGGGATTGAACTTGAATTCTGGGGCCTCGACATTGAACTTGGACAGGGACGACTTGCTGTCGTGCGTTGAATGCTGGCCGCCGCCATTGGCGAGTGACACGGCATCCTGCCAGGGGTTGCTCGAAGCCGACATGTTCTTTTGGTGCTGGCTAAAGGCCGCAGCAAAGTCAATGTCTTGAATCGGGGTGCCGAGGTTGCTGGGGTTGGTTTGGATCTCATCATAAGCCTCGTCGACACGCTGGGTTTCCGGAATGTCGTTCAATGGTGCGAACTGCGGCAAGCTTCCCTGGTTCACCGCATCGGGAGCATCGTCATCCCGATAGAAGTTTTGCGTAAGTGAATGGCCACGGCTGTGAGGTCGCGGATGATGCAGGACGAGCGGCTTGTTTGGCTCGTTGGCAAAATGCTCGACCGTTGCAAAGCCGCCGGCCGAGGGCTGGTGACCATGGGCAGACCCAAATGGCTGATGATTGATGGACTCCGCTCTGGTCTGGGGGTTGTAGTCTTCGTGCTCCAGCTCGTTACGCAGCTGTTCCTCCAGATGGTACTCGGCGTCATCAATCTCGGCCTGTAGCTGATCGGCATTACGTTGCGCAGGCTCCGGAGTCTTGGAGGGGCTCTTGCCCACGTGCGGCTGCTGCTGCTGCTGTTGCTGCTGTTGTTGCTGCTGCTGTTGCTGCTGTTGGTGTTGTTCTTCTTCCTCTTCATCTTCCCGGACGTCCTGCAGGCGAGGCGATGCCCTAGCATACTGCTGCGGCATGTATTGCAGCGACTGGTGCCGCTGGTGCAGGTTAAACGCCGGGCTCCCGGCCTGGTTGAAGCCCTCAATGCCGTAAGGGGACTGAGGCGACATTATGCCGTTGAGACTCATGACCGACGGCGAGTCAAGAGGGCTTAGGCCTTGCATAGCACCAGCCTGGTTTTGCCATCCCTGAGGCGGCTGCTGGAAAGGCGAGCTGGTGGCAGGGAATGAGATGGACTGCCGTGTGCTAAACTTGCCGTGGACGCCAAAGGAAACTGGTGAAGCACCCGCGGGCAAGCCAGGGCTCTGAGTAGATGCGGCGCCGGGAATGAAAGGGGCCGGGAATGGGAAGCCGGGTATCGCGTGGTTGCTGGATGCTGAGGAAGTCGGGATCGGAGGAGAGAATGGAAGTGGAGGATACTGCGCCGAGGGCATGCGAGATGGCTGTGAGGATATTGAGGGCGCAATTTCAGGCTCGTCGCCGCCGAATGAGACGCCAAGAGCTCTAAGCTTGGCTTCCTGCAACTCATTGACGTAGTTTTTCCAAGCTATTGAAAGGAAGCAAGGTCAGTTGATCAGTGGCTTCTTTCTTTGACGATTTCCGATTGAGGGAGAGACAAAGAAAAAGAAAAGAAAAGAAAAGAAAAAGGGGCACTCACCATTCAGGTCTGGCAAGACCACGGTATAGTCACGCTCGTACCGCTCTTGCGCCAAATCCTCGAGGCTGGGCCAAAGCTCCCTGCTCTGAGACTCGCCTACAGTATTGTCCTCGGCTGACAAGTCAAAGCCATCGACACTGTATCCCAGCTCCGTCCATGAGTCAAACATTCGTTCAATCTCGTCCTGTCGAAGGGGTAGCGGAGGCTGCCCCGGGCGGCCGCGCTCGTCATCCCGCGGTATCAAGATCATAATGTTCTTGCCCTTCCATGGTACTTTCTTCTTGATTCGGGGCGCGGCAGCCGGTTCCCTAGGCAAGGGCTTATCTGCGAGTTTGAGGGCGGGCGTCTCTGTGTTTCCAGCCGTAGGCTGCGGCGCTTCACCGTTTGTGATGTTGTTGCGGTGCTCAGCCGCAGGCGGGCCAACAACCGAGCCCGTCTCGGTGGCAACTGAGCTTTCCATTTCGTCGTCGAGATCGGCCTGGGTGTGATCACCGGCCTTGAGAGTCTCCACGCTGGAGATGGCGCGGGGATGTCGAGAGGTTGATCGAGACTTTGCCCTATATCGTCCCGAAGGGGTAGGCGTTCGAGGATCTCGGCGGCGATGCCAGTCAGGTTCCGAGCCGCTCAGTGAAGAGTGCTCGCTGCTTTCTCCGTCGCTGAACCAGAGCCGAGCCTCCGTGCTCTGGTCGCCGGCGGTGTGGGTGCGGATCCAGCCCTCGGTGAGTCCCCTGTTGCGTTGCCTGGCCCTGTGCACGAGCACGGCGGCAGCGGCACTGGTGGGCTGAAGCGACTGTGCCGGGGTTTGAGGCCGTCGCCCGACGATGAGAGGCGGCGGGCGCAGGAAAGGAGTGCTGATGTCCAAGGAGTGGATGGGGAAGCTCTCGGACCCCTCACTCTCGGACTCGTCGTCGCTGGCGTAGCTCTGGCGGCGGAGGTTGAGGTCGCTGCGCAGATAGGGAGAGCCCCAGCTGGCGGTGCCAAATTGCTCGTCGTCGTCCGAGGCGAGGTTATCGTCGGGCTCGTCTTCGTCGTCGTCGTCGACCCGGAAGTCGTGTAGGTCAAAAGCTGGCGCCCTCAAGATTGCCGAAGCCCGTTCGGAGAGCTTTGGGGCGGGAAGCAGAGGCAGGACCGGAGACGACCCGATGTCGTCGTCCTCGTCGTCGGCCGTGGAGGCAGTCGACAAGGCGGGAGATGTCGGGGTTCTCGATCCCGGGCTGGAGACTCCGAGGCCGTCCTGCGCAGGTGCAGCAGGAGGAAGAGGGATTGTCGACGACGGGGTTGAAGACGACGTTGTAGCGAAGGTCTATACGGAAGCAAAGAAGGAAGAGAAGAAGAAAGAATCAGCTACTGTACTTTTTTTTTTCACCCTTCTAACAAGGCACATGGCGGTGTTGCTGCATTGGAAGCGGGCCCCCCCATGCCATGCCGAGTTGGATTGGAGATGGGTGTTGCTCACCAGGTGAGATCAGCGCAGACGAAAAACGTGTTCGCCTGCAGCTGATTCTCAACATCCGCCTACTCAAAGGGTCCCTCCGTCTATTATCTTCTAACTCGCGCCCAGTCCTATCGACCGTCGACTGCCAGGGACACCCTTCCACGGAGAATTAACCACGGTTAGAACAACAGCACCGGGTTGGTGCCGTCCTGGGGGGTGTGGAAATATACGCGACGCGTTGAGGAGCCGCCGGGCAAGTATAAAAAAAGACCTGGGAACTAGACAAGAAAAAAGGGGGGGCGGTGGGCAACTGGGGATAGGGAAGGGAAAAAAAGGCGCGGGTTGTGTCTGTGTGTGTGGTGTGTATCTGCGTATGCGTACGTGTGTACAGTAGATGGGCGTAGGTGTGGTGCGGCGAGTAGGTCAGGTATGGAGAAGTATCACAACCTGGCTACTGTGCGGCGTCGGGAATAGCGAGCGCAACGGCGAATGGCGGCGGCTCAGGATCTCGGCAGCCTTGCAAGAAAGCGACGAACAGAGGACCGGGGCAGGGCGGCTCGAGGACTCATCTGGAGACGGCGGGTCTGGAGGAGGGGCGAGGGCGAGGGCGAGGACGAGAGGCAGCAGAGTCGAGTCGAAAGGATTGGACCGCAGGAGGATGCAGGACGCAGAGAGATGCAGAGAGACGCAGAGGCTGATGCAGATGCAGATGCAGAGGCAGAGGGGAGAGAGAGGAGAAGAGAGGAGTGGAGGGGAGTGAGCAGACTGGCCAGCTGCACGGCGAGGCAAGGCCGGGTGTCGTGGCCCAGTGGCCAGCGGACAGCGAACCGGCAGCTCCAGCGCCCTGCTTTTGGGCCTCGAGGCGGCTGTTTGGTCTCAACTGCACTGCGACCAGGCCTAATGGCTACCTAGGTAATGCCACCTGGAGCGGCCACATTCGATCGTTTGCTCCATATTGGATGCCCGTATGTATTATGGAGTCTAGACGAGAGGGTAAGGTCGCAGCAGTGGCAGCACTAGCACCTACAGGTACAGTACTAGGGGGGTCTCAAAAACGACCGCGTTTCCCGTCCCAGCTCCACTAGGACGGGGGGCACGTTGATTTGCAAAAGGTCCGTTAATTTGCAAAAAAAAGATACATCATTTATAGTGCTAATGCCATATAAATTAAGGTACCAATGTTTATTTACATACTTCGTTTATTTTCAAAATTATGCCGCCAAAATTATAATAAAAAAGACACCCTGCGTAACACTATAACACTAACGCGTTATCCTCTGCAATTACAACACCTGCCATATATAAGCTATATCTTCTTTTAGCTATAACTCTCTTAAATCTTTATTATTTTTAATTATTTCTATAGTAATAGAATCTCCAGAGCCTTGTTAACATGCTTAAGATCGTTAGATTAATCTAGACACTAATCTACTTATATTTACACACTATAACAGCAAGACTCTTAAAGAACGCACTGTTACAGCGGCTAAGCTATACTAAGAGGGTTATTACTTAACTATTACTCTTATAGCTAAATCTCTTTAAGTTCCCTACTTAAGACTATACAGTTAACTAAATAGGCGTTATCCACAGTTACTTAATAGAGGCAACTGCATATTATTATAACTAGAAGAGGAATATGAGATCCTTATCTAGGCCTATTACTGCATAACCTAAGGATATTATATACGACTTCGCGCCTTATAACACTATGCTAATGCTATTCTTGCAGCTAGGGGCGATATAATAATAGTCTTGCGTTCTTAGGCTAAGAGATTTATGCAGAGGTTAAAGCAGGACTTTTATATTTATAAGTCCACTTCTTATAATGTAAAATGCAAGGCTATATAAGATTAAGGCGCTGTTAAGTTGTTTTTCTGCGCGTAGAAACAGTTTCTAATAAAATATAAGGTAAGGAAGAGGAATATATAGAATTTTAATAAGACTGGCTTTATAGTAGGCTATTTTCTTGCTAGAATACTCCTCTAGACTTTTATTTTAGTTAATAACCTAGTCTTAACCGATTCTTATAATACTATGTCTATTACTGCTGTTAAGGCGATCTCCGCTAAGGGCAAGACTATTCCTTCCTTTATTATCCTCCCTAGGGTCTAGCTGCTAGTAAAGTGGTTTAAAAATAACCTTGCCAGCAGTATAATACTTGCTATAAGTCTAAAAGGCTATATTACTAATATTATAGCTTTAGAATGGCTTTAATACTTTAAGAAATATATATAACTAGACGATTTAAGGGAAACGTGAGTTCTCCTTATAGATAGCTGTGAGAATTATTTTATAAGTGAATTTATTTATTTTATAACTTAGTATAATATTAAGCTCTTCCCCTTGCCTTTATATTTTATATATTATCTTTAACCACTTAATGTTAGTGTTTTTCGGTCTTATAAGCATTGGCATTAAGAGATCTTATATTGTGAAGTTGCTGACAGGGCTGTTAACTTTAGCAAGACTGACTTCCTCTTCCACCTTTAGGAAATACATAATTAAATGTTTAAAAAGCATATAATCCTTACTGCTTAGGAGTAGACTGGCCTCTTTCTATATAATCCAGCCGTTATCCTTAATTAACTTTAAGATGCGCTTTCCTTTTTAACTAGGAGAGTGGATAAGAGCGAGATTGCTGGTTATATTAATCCTGATAGTGCGTTAGGCTTATTATGACTGTTGTTATTATTAAGAAGCTCTTCCTCTTTAAAAAGACCTAAAAAAATAATACTATAAATGCTGACATAGTTGTGATTTAAGTGGCAATTAGCCCTAATGCTGCGGCTTTATATTTAAATAATAAATCACTATTATAATTACGTTTAGCACTGCCTTAAGGCCTTAATTCTCTTTAAAGTGCTGCTGACGCTATTAGTATTGCGAGTTTTTAAGAAAGGAAGGAAAGCATTATATATACTTGCCCTGAATGGCATTATGGCGATGTCTGAGATAAGGAGTTTAAAGGCTAAGAGTGTTAGGAGATTAAGCCTCTTTTAGGCGATATTAGTTATAGTAAAATACAGCCCTATTAGCGTTAATGATGTAAGACTTAGGCTTGCTAAAGATAACTATAATAGATGGGCAGTATAGGAAGAAGAAGAGGCATAAATATGTAATAAAGAAGCTTATGATAAGATTCCTTTCTTTTATTATTGGCTGAGGAAGGTTAGAGCTATTATCTGGGCAGATATTACAGCCTTATGCCTTGCTAATAATATTTTTATGCGCTTAAGTAACTTGCTGGCAGTAGATAAGTAGTTTAGGTTAGATTATTGCGCCCTGCTAAATAATAATAAGTGGATTTGTAACCGCTATTATCTTTATTGTAAGCTTAACTTTTAAGGGTATCTTTATAGCAGCTAGAAGCCGCTAGTGCTATAGCCTTGGCTAATAGACTATAATATAGAGGTTATTAAGGAAGCTGTTAACTGTATAGTGCTAGAAGTTAAAAGACGGGCTGTTAATTGTAAGGAGTTATTGTATGAAGCTGATGGCATTGAGATTATGGATGAGTATAGCTTTAAGGAGCTAGTGTTTAAGTTTGGGGCTATTAAAGTTAAAAGCGATGATGAGGATGAGAGCGGTAATGAAGATAAGAGCGGTAATGAAGATGTAAGCGGTAATAAGGAGGAGAGTGGTGATAAGCTTGCCTAAGCGTAGAGCGTAATGCTATTCTTTTTTTATTATGATAGTTATACTTTATTACAGTTATATTAAATTATTATAAAATTACTGAATTTATTAATTTAAAACGAGGTACCTTAATTTATATGGCATTAGCACTATAAGTAATGTATTTTTTTTTTTTTTATAAATTAATGGACCTTTTGTAAATTAATGTGCCCCCTGTCCTAGTGGAGCTGGGATGGGAAACGCGGTTGTTTTTAAGACCCCCCTAGTACTACCTATGTACTAGCAGTATATTACCTTTATGGATAGATGGTAGATGTAGGTACGCGACACATCCTTCTTTACTTGTACCGAGTACCTTAGGTACGTACTAACTTGGTTTATAGAGAAATCATGGCAGCAGCAGCGGTTAACTCGAAAACCATAATCGAACATTGATGCTATGTACTTCAATCCACACTGGTGGCCAAACTGGACATTTCGAACGAGGTCCAGCCAAACGTCCAGTGACGCGCAAGAACAGCCCAAGCGCCATGGCGAGTGACAAGGGTGGAGACGAGCCTCGATGTACAGATACCTACATGAGCCCGTCATTTCACAAGACCACCGAGGTCGTTGCGTCTGGACCGCCGGCCATCAACACCAAAAACGTTTCCCCCCCCTGGTTTCGTTGACGTTACTCAAGGATTAAATCTGCCAACGAAGCCCCAGCTATTTTTATGCCTGCCGTACCTGTAACGCCACCCCATGTGGCATGAAAAGGTGGGCGCCATGCACACAGTTGAGTTGCTGTCAAGTCAAAGGTGTGTGTGTGTGTGTGTGTGTAAGATTTGGTGGCTGAAGGAGCCAAAGCAGAACAGAAAAAAAAAAAAAGGTGAAATGGATGGACGTGCTGGCGGTGGACCAGCGGTCTGTCCGTGGGCGCGGGAAAATCGAGCGGGTACCTGGTACAACTGCGCATATGGGGTGCTTTGTACTTGCGGAGAGATTCGAGACATGTGGAAACGCCCAGGCAAAGGAAGTGCAGTGACTTTTGCCAGAGTGAGCTTACCTTCCGTTACGACTCTGATCAAGTTACAGTTCTGCCGATAACAGAGACGTCCATATTCCATCCTGTAATCAATATGGTAATGGTCAATAAGTAGTAAGGTAGGTAGTAGCTGCTGAAGAAGGCGTGTACCTTGAGAACTTGCGTCAGAGGTATTATCATCTCGAGCACGCTCGTGTCATCACACCGTCTGGACCTGTGGTTAAAGCTCGGGCGCTAAAACAACATGAAGACTGTAGCGGTACTCCGACAGCGCGTGTCCAAACGCTGCTGTGAGAGGTCACTCGCTCCCCTCGACAAGGAACCCGGACGGCTAAAAAGCTGTCACGCTGGTCGACGACGAGTGATTCACGTGCGGAGCAAGCATCAATGCTGCGTGATGCTCATGACCAATCCATGCCCATTTGGTGACGCTAATACGGGGACATTCTTCCATTCCTCCCGTCGTCATTGCTCAAAGATTGTACTACTACCATCACCGAGTGCTGTGGTCCCAAGATGGCTTTGCTCGCTTGGAAGAAAAGACAGCCTCAGCATCCATCTGCTCAATCAGCACAACTTTCGAGTCGGTACCGAGACAGAAACTCTTCCCGTCCACATAAGGTACCTACTAAGGAACATACCTATACTTTCCTAGCTCCAGGGGTTCGGGGTCAGAAACCTCGGGAACTAAAGAATTCCCCCCCAAAAAAGCAAGCCGGAGCCACTACTAATCCCACGAAGCTCCAACCCAATCCCAACACGACGAACCATTAATGAGTGCCTCCAGAAAGCCACCTGAAGCCACTCAAAGCCACTTGAAGCCACTCAAAGCCACTTGAAGCCACAGAGAGCTTCTATTGCGGAGTTAGCTTCAACGCTGAACTCCTCTTAACCAAACGTCGCGGGAATATCCCTGTGTCTCTTAAATGAGCCATACAGCTCGCAAGTACCTACAGAGGAAGAAGAAGAGATGATAGACGGCGACGGCGACGGCGACGAGGGGGCGTGTATGCAGAAATGAGAGACCGTACGGCTGCGGTGCCCAAAAGCAGCAAGGATGCAATGCGACGCGCTCGCGATTGCGGCTTCTCACGGCGGCTACGCAATACACTCCGTTATTACTAGTCCTGCATTGAGGTGTCCAGATGGAGCTGCGCAATTGGCTGGGTAGGTAGGTAGGTATGCTGCCTCACGTCCTACCTTAGATAAGTACCCAAGTGTAACATCATCTATGTGTTCATATTGCGTACCATGCAGCTTTTCGAAGCAAAATGGAAGCAGGGCAAAGGTCCCAGCTGCGAGTCTCTACAGAGTTTGAAGTCCACCGACCGAGTTGCATCAAGTAAGTACAGTACACTATGACGACCTCATGTTGGGATAATAAGGCACGGAGTCGGCAAGTTGGGTACCAAGTGCGCTGGAATGTGTGTTTGACAACGCTCTGCCTACGTCAACTCCCTACGTCATCAACAAGGGAAGTTTGAAAGACGAAAAAGATGGAGTGACGAAGAAGAATAGAACGCATAGAGAAGGAGTCGGAGAGAGGGAGGGAAGTGCCAAAGCAAGGGAATGCCAGATTGAGAGAAAATGTCTCTTGAAACAATGAACCAGCAGTCCGGATCCGGCATTCTTCCCTCTCCTGCTTTCGGAACACAAGGGAACGGCATCGTCTCCACGCAAGGCAGCCATTATTACTAGTAGTACTAGTAGTATCCAGACATTCCAGGGAAGAGAGACAGGTAACGATATTGCCGTGATATGAATGCAACAACAGCTCTTCCAGGTCACGCCTCATTGTACGAGGCCACAAGCTGGCAGACGACGACTCCATCGAGTAGCAAGACCATCAAAGAGTATCTTAGGACATAAAGGTAAATGTATATTCAGTGTTCCAGTAATTAGCTAGGTATCCCGCTTTCTTTCCGTATAAATAGGTAGTATTCGATTCTATATGCCAAGCAACAGAAAATAACAGGGCTTCGCTATGCAGTTTGCAAAACCAGTCTCGCATAAACGTATAGTAGCCTCACTCAAAATCCTTTTCTTCCCCCTTCTTCCGGTTCCTCTCCCCCTCCTACAAAGTCTGCGGCATCGCCTGCCGAATCTTCTCGACATACATCGTAAACCACGCTTAGAGGTGTATCGTGTCGGACATGCTGCGATAGCTGCGATTATATATAAAAAAAAATAAAGACAAAGTTCTCACCGCAAAGAAGCTTTAAAAGTTGGCCGATGCGTTGACAGGCTGGTGGTAATTCTCCAGCGTCGACTGGAAGGGATTCCGCTGGCCAGCGCCTGATGAGCTACCCCGGGGAGATTTCTCCGCGCCAGCCACGAGGTCGGAGTTGTAGGCCATGAGGCCGTCGGCTTCCTCGGCGTGCTTCTTGCGACCCCAGACTCGGAAGGCAACCAGGATGAGGGCACCGAGAATAGCGGCACCGCCAACACCGACGACGACACCGATGATGGTGTTGCGGGTCTTGGTCGACATGCCGGTGGGCTTCTGGTTATCCGCGTTGAGGGCTGCCGTATGAGTCGTCTTTGTCGTGGTGGTCTGGGTTGTCTTGGAGCCATCGCTGTTAGTCATGGTGACAACCTCGACCTTGGTTGAGACAACGGCAGACGGTGTTTCGCTGGGGGAAGATCCGCCCTTGGCATCGCCGCCGGCGGAAGTCTTCTGGTCGCTGCTGCTGTCGTCGCTGCCGCCGCTGCTAGACGTGGTCGTGGCGGGAGGAGTTGTCGCGGACGGCGTAGGGCCAGCAGATGTCGTCGAATCGGGAGCGGAACTGGTAGGATCAGCCGTGGCGGACGCTGGCGAAGAAGTGCTACCAGGGGTAGGCGTCACAGACGGCGACTCCGAGGTAGAGGATGGAGAACTAGGAGAAGCAGAGGTGCTTGATGATGAGTCGTCGGCCGTGGTCTGCTGAGCGGGCGTCGAGCTGGGAGTTTCAGATGCTGGCGTAGGGGACGGCAGCGGGTCGTCCGCACTCGTCGATTTTTTCAAGTCGCCAACCACGTCGGAAAGGTCCGCTCGTCGGATCAAGCCTCGGTGGTGAACCTTTTGAACATCCCACCAGTTGGCCTGGACCAAGCAGAGGATGGACACCACCACCACGAGCACCGAGACGAGCCTTGAGGAGTACATGGCGACTGTTTTTTTCTTTTCGTAGCGTGCGAAAGGATGAGGATAAGGAGAAGTTGAGTTCAAGTCGATGGAGAGCAAAATAACACTCCCGGCTCCCGTTGATCGGAGTCGAAGGGCGCTTCAGAAGTCAACCCAGACGGATGGGCTAGTCGGAGCCGCAGGGCTGGCAAACACAATGGCGAAGGCTTTCCCCCTCCTGGCGCTACGTCTTTATCGGACAAGACGGTAGACGAGCTGGACGTTTGTTTGCTGTCAAAGAAAGCTTCCTGGCGGTCGGGTTCCAGGGAAGAAAGAGAGCGGATGCCTGGACCAAAAGAGTACGAATGAAAGGAAATGAATTGCGTTTGTGAGTCGGGTCAGGTAGAAAGAACGAATGGCACCGATATGCGAAATGAAGTGGATGACCTAACGGATGAAGGGCCTTGCTTAGGGTGCGGAAAGCGTCAAAACGAGGGACGAAAAGGAGAATGATTGAGAAAGTGAGGATACAACGAGAGTGTTTTTAATATGGAGGTGACAGGGTTTGGCACACAGAGGGACGGCCAGAGCTCGTATTCACGCCTGCGGGAAAGGGAACCTGAAGCCCCCCCCCCAAAATCCCACCAGCGCCGTGCCACCCAATGCGAGCCGCTGCAGGCACAGCTCGCACTGCCTGCACTGTGCGCGGATGGCAGGAACCGAGCCGACCGCTTTGTATTGGCGGCCAGGACGGGACTAGGGGCCCTCGGGGCAGGCCGCCCAGCCCGCTGTAGCCCGCTGCAGCCAGGTGGTAGCCCAGCGTAGCCCAGTGGTAGCCAGCCGGTAGCGGCCCTGCGCCTCACCTGTGGACCAGCGCCAGCCAGTGCGGGACGCGCGGCCTGCCACGGTGCTGCAGTTGCTTGCAGTGCTGCGGACCCTGTCTCCCTGTCTGCTGCGGCAATGACTGGCGTCAAACTGCTCTCGGACTTTTCTTTGCTTTTTCTTTTCCCCAAGCTGCCTGCTCTCTCGCCGCTCAGCAGATTTCAGCACTGAGTACTCGTAGCTCGCCGCATCCTCCAGCAAACAGATGCCCGGCGTCGATATCAAGCGGGAAACTTGCTGTATCGCCCCTACAATGACAGAGCAATTGCTGTACGTCGCCATGAAACATCAAAGTCGCATCGTCGTCCGTGTGCTTCTAGCGCGAGCTATTATTAGCCCAGCTGTTCCTCGTCGCCTGCACACGCAGCTGCGCAAGAAACAGAAACACCAAATCTCAGTTGGCGCTGGTCCGTGATTTGATCGAGGTCTGATGGCACAAGCCAATGGCCGGCTGCGCGTCTCATCCAGGGTGTCGTCTGCGCACAGTGCCAGCCAGCACCTCTGCGCACCTGTCCTGCCTGTATAGACCTCTGACTCGCATACAGTGTGAGAATCCGCATGCACTCCGTACATACATAGACCCTGATCGTTCTTGGTGCGGATCTGAAAGGCGTCAACTCACCTGCTTTGGCGCCTTGAGTGCAGGGTGACGCCCGCTGTGGTAACCCGTCTCATTTCTCTGCTGCTCCTCGCGGCTCCTCTTCCACCACTGGCACCTCTTGACCCGTGACATGTCGCTCTCTGGGCCAATGAGCCCCAGGGTTTCATCGATGCCGAGTCAGTACGACAATCGTTGGCAAGCGTCTGCATGATGCCTCTCCTGAATGCTGCAGCTGGACCAAAGCCTCGGTCGTCGTACCCGCGGAAATCCATCTGCTCCGGACCTCTGGGATTTCTTCATTGGCAAACGCCGTGCATGGCAACTCGTACGATGCAACAACACAGTGTGCCATCTGTCAGGTAGCCATCACGCAGATTAGGAGTCCCAGACAACCCCCAGCACAGCCCAGGGGTGCGAGTCCGCGAATGGCCACAAGATTCGAGCTCATGTAATCCATCATATTGCACAGCCACGCGTCGTCCGGCCAGCTTGGCATCCGTGTGATCGACATAACCAAGAACTCGAGAGCTCGAATTATGACGAGCATTGTTTATGCATTCCATGAGCATATGTCATCATCAATGGATTAATTGCAGATGGTTTGTGCCTACTAGCACCAGGAATCAGTCAGTACAGGAGGAAACGGCAAGCGGAAAAGAGCAGCTTCAATGTTGTCTCGGCTCAGCTATTATTATAACACTGCATCATTTAGGAGTAGCAGCAGCATGGTGGTGCACGCACATACTTACGCACGCACGCACGCACATGATCTCAACATCAAAGCTTCCGTTGGAGAATTGCGATATTATAAGCCCACACGTTTCATGCTGACTACATAATGAGATGAAACACGGCCTGGTCCGGACGGGAAGGACAAGATGCTGGAGTGAAGCAGCTTGGCCGCCGATTATTGCATATTCACTCAGAGCGAGATTGATCAAGGCGAGGTGAAGTGTGAAAATTAAGTCTGACTTGAAGCAGATGCCTGATCTGTTCAACCACCTCAAGATTGCAAGACCCTTGAGAGAAGCTCCTTCCTTGTAGGGGACTTGTGTCATACAAATTCAAGCGATGACGTAAGGAAGACACCGCTCAGCGTTTCTGCTTCCACTCTGCGATCAAGTCGAAACACCGTAGCGATCAATTGTCCCAACATGAGGTAAGCCATGGCTGTGGTTGTCAATGGTGCGATACCCTCTGTTTATGCGGGGACTCAAGGAAGGGCACTGACTGGGGCAAAGGCGAGATCCGGTCTGTAAGGTCGCTTCGAAGCAGAAGAGGGAGAGCCAACTCACTGACGGACACATGCTAGCAGTCCTCCTTGAACTCCGTCAGCGAGATTGCCGCTCTCCTTCGTCAAAAACTGCCAGGAGCAAAGAGGTAGCAAGAGTGGTGTCATATCATGTCATACGGGTTTGTCGTCTCTCTGTAAATGCAGGAAAACGGGACGCAGACGAGTCGACAGCCTCTACGCGGGCCAATCTCGACACTCAGAGAAGCCTCGGGAAAGCCACAAGACGGGATTCATCATGACTCCGGCTCTATCACAATCCAACGAGCTTGTCGCCGCCCATCATCGCCTCAATCGTCTTCATCGGCTCTGTCTACGCTGTACGCCTCCTTTATAGGCAAAAGGCAGCACCAACGGCCGACTATGCGGTCCAATGACAGCACAGGTTCAAGCTCTACCCCGCGCTTTCAGGATCGCAGCTCATCAGTCTACCTTTCCAGATACATCCGAATCATCACCTGTCTCCGTCCTCCAATGCTCACTTTACATGATCTGCGGCCTGCGAGAGCAGCACTGCTACCATGCGGTGAAACCTTCGGATTCGGCCTTGATCCGGGACCTCCAAGGCCATTGGTATTGCGATGAAGTGGGGGATTAAGCATAAATAGTGGCTATTCCGCAGTGACCCTTGTCTAGATTGTTGATCCGCCATGTCGTTTGTATTACTCCCTTGATTCAACGGAAAGTGCAAGAGGGAAACGGCCAATTGGGACATGATGAGACCCGTCTCTCTGCTGTCAGCAGTTGTTCTGCTGCTCACAGGCATCGATGCCACGAGCATCGGTCTTCACGGCGGGCGACCTCGTGATATCATCCTCGACGATGCAAAAGGGCCCCTTCAAAACATCGTCACATGGGACGAACATTCGCTTTTTGTTCATGGCGAGCGCGTCGTCATCTTCTCTGGCGAAGTCCATCCATTTCGTCTGCCCGTGCCGTCTCTGTATCTTGATGTGTTCCACAAGATCAAAGCTCTTGGGTTCAACACAGTATCGTTCTATGTGGACTGGGCGCTTCTAGAAGGAAAGCCCGGCAGATTCCGCGCCGACGGCATATTCAGCCTGGAGCCCTTCTTCGAGGCTGCCACCAAGGCCGGCATTTACCTGCTGGCCCGCCCGGGGCCTTATATCAACGCCGAGGTGTCGGGAGGCGGCTTTCCGGGCTGGCTGCAGAGGGTCAAGGGCAAGCTGAGAACAGATGCTCCCGATTACCTACACGCCACGGACAAGTGAGTCAATCTTGGTTTCTGAGGTGAACCGTTCGTTAATGCTCATTCCGTATAGCTATGTGGCTCACATTGCCTCGATCATTGCAAAGGCACAGATCACAAACGGAGGACCAGTGATTCTGTACCAGCCAGAAAACGAGTACAGCGGCGCTGCGGAGGGCGTTTTGTTCCCGAACAAGCCATACATGCAGTACGTGATTGACCAGGCGCGAAATGCCGGCATCATTGTGCCTCTCATCAACAACGATGCCTTTCCTGGAGGCACAGGTGCCCCTGGTACGGGCCTTGGATCGGTAGATATCTACGTAAGTCTTTCCTATTCTGCGGGATTTGTTCCGCTGCCATTTGCTGACTCGATACAGGGCCATGATGGCTATCCTCTCGGTTTTGACTGTGTAAGTTGAGAGGATTGCCTACCATTGAGTGTGAGATGCTGGCTGTGTACACTAACAACATACTACCTATGATAGGCTCATCCCTCCGCCTGGCCTGACAACGGGTTGCCTACGACGTGGCGTCAGGACCATCTCAACATTAGTCCAAGCACACCATTTTCTCTTGTTGAGGTTGCTATCCTTTTCTTGTTTCCACTTCTATGTCTACCATCCATCATTATTCTCTAATGCCGCCATTAGTTCCAAGGTGGTGCGTTTGATCCTTTCGGCGGCTGGGGTTTCGAACAATGCTCTGCCCTAGTCAACCACGAGTTTGAGCGAGTTTTCTATAAGAACAATATGGCAGCTGGTGTGACCATCTTCAACATATACATGGTATGTATTGCCTCATTGTCAAATTTATGATATAAATGGCAACGGCTCATTGAAGCTATCAATTAGACCTTTGGCGGCACCAACTGGGGCAATCTCGGCCACCCTGGCGGTTATACATCGTACGACTATGGAGCTGTGAGTTTCCACAAAGCTCCTTCTGGCTTTGCCTTGGACTGACGACTGACTGCTTCATCGACAGAGCATCAGAGAAGACCGTAGGATTGACAGAGAAAAGTATTCCGAGCTGAAGTTGCAGGGTCAGTTCCTCAAGGTCTCCCCGGGGTACATCACCGCTACGCCGGAAAACGCAACGCAAGGCGTATACAGCGACAGTCAAAACATTGTCATAACGCCGCTCCTAGCCAAGGAAAGCGGTGATTTCTTCGTCGTGCGCCATGCAAACTACTCGAGCACAGACACGGCGTCTTATACGGTCAAGCTGCCCACCTCTGCAGGAGACCTCACAATCCCTCAGCTGGGCGGTTCGCTTACTTTGACCGGACGAGACTCCAAGATCCATGTCACCGACTACCCCGTTGGAAAGTTCACATTGCTATACTCTACTGCAGAGATATTCACGTGGAACGAGTTTGCCGAAAAGACTGTTTTGGTCTTGTACGGGGGCGCACAAGAGCTGCACGAATTTGCCGTCAAGAACCCATTCGGAAGCTCGAAGACCGCCAAAGCCAAGAAGATTGAAGGGAGCAACGTCACTATTCATACGACAAGCAATCTGACAGTTGTCCTTCAATGGACGGCTTCCTCTGCCAGGCAGGTTGTACAGCTGGGTTCTCTCGTCATCTACATGGTTGGTAAGTATCCCAGTTGTCATCCATTGCCTAATCATGCTGGCATCAAATCCTCACATTCTCTCTAGATCGCAACTCTGCGTACAACTACTGGGTTCCCACTCTCCCCGGAAGCGGCAAGCAGTCAGCCTACGGAAGCTCCCTCATGAATCCTGATTCCGTCATAATAAACGGAGGCTACCTCATCCGCTCCGTGGCCATCAAGGGCAATGCTCTCTCGGTGCAGGCAGATTTCAACGTCACAACGCCGCTCGAGATCATTGGCATTCCAAAAGGCATCTCAAAGCTCGCTGTCAACGGAAAAGAGCTCGGCTACTCGGTGTCTGAACTCGGAGACTGGATCGCCCACCCAGCCATTGAGATTCCACACGTCCAGGTCCCAGAGTTGACAAAGCTGAAATGGTACAAGGTTGACTCCCTTCCCGAGATTCGGAGCAACTACGATGACTCCCGCTGGCCACTTGCCAATCTCCGAACCTCGAACAACACCTACGCCCCTCTCAAAACGCCTGTATCGCTCTACGGCTCTGACTATGGCTTCCACGCCGGAACGCTCCTCTTTCGCGGCCGCTTCACAGCCCGCACTGCGCGACAGCAGCTCTTCCTCTCGACCCAGGGCGGCTCGGCCTTTGCCAGCTCCGTCTGGCTCAACGACCGCTTCATCGGCTCCTTCACCGGCTTCGACGCCGCCAGCGCCGCCAACTCGTCCTACACGCTCGACAGACTCGTCCGTGGCCGGCGCTACATCCTCACGGTCGTCGTCGACTCCACGGGCCTCGACGAGAACTGGACCACCGGCGACGACTCAATGAAGGCCCCCCGCGGCATCCTCGACTACGCACTCACCTCCTCCTCCGGAGCAAACGTGTCGATATCGTGGAAACTCACAGGCAACCTCGGCGGCGAGGACTACCGCGACGTCTTCCGCGGGCCCCTCAACGAAGGCGGCCTCTTCTTCGAGCGGCAGGGCTTCCATCTGCCCTCTCCGCCGCTCAGCGACTTTACCCACGGCCCGTCCTCTTCCTCTTCTTCTTCTTCGCCCCTCGACGGCATCGCCCACGCGGGCATCGCCTTTTACGCCGCAAAGCTGCCCCTCCATCTCCCGGCGCAAGAGTACGACATTCCGTTGTCGTTTGTCTTTGACAACGCCACCGCCGCCGCGCCGTACCGGGCTCTGCTCTACGTCAACGGCTTCCAGTACGGCAAGTACGTCAGCAACATTGGCCCGCAGACCGAGTTCCCCGTGCCCGAGGGCATCCTCGACTACAACGGCGACAACTGGATCGGCGTTGCGCTATGGGCGTTGGAGAGCCGTGGCGCCAAGGTCCCTGGCTTGGCGCTCAAGAGCAAGTCGCCGATTCTCACGGGGAGGGAAAGGGTTGAGGTGGTCAAGGGGCCGCATTTCAAGAAGCGGCACGGGGCGTACTGAAAGAGACTTGGGATTTTCTAGTCGTTGGTTGGAGTTCCTAGTTAGGTTGAAGCTCATTCACACGAGATGGTACTAGGTATTTGATGTTCAAGAACAACATGTACATGTGCTCCAAGCTGCTCCAGCAATGTCGTCAAGTTACGTGAAATCAAGCTCCGAGTTTGTCCAATCGTACAATGCCAATTGTTTGCAAATATGCCTCGACGCACATAAAGATAAAGCTTGCGGGGAGTAGCAAATAGATAGTATTCTCTTCCACACTTCTATCTACACAATATTCCCCTTTTCCCTTTGTTGCTTTCAAGTCTCTCTCTCTCTTTCTCTCTTCGCAAAGTTCCAAAACAGAACATAACAAATATAGCAGCACAGATATGCAGATAGCCCACAAATGAAATAGAAGAGGGTATCAAAGAGTTCCCGTGTATCAAGTCAGTCAGTCAGTCAGCAAAGAGAATGCGTACAATCAAACCAAACAATGCTCTGAGATGCACATGGCCAAGCATGGACGAGGTAAAAGCAAAAGAGAAGAATAAAAAAGTACCGCCGAGGTTGCAAGATATGATTGCGTCAAATGAAATGAAAGATGGGCAGAAGAATGAAGGGAAATTGGTGTGCCCGCAGACGAGGGGGGAAAGGAGAAAAAACAACTCCGTTTGCTTGTGAGGTAGAGATCGTGTACGTGCAAACGTCAGATGCAAGTAATCAGAACAGGGATATGTTAGAAAAGAACACCAGTTCATCCGTAGGAACGAAGAGAACCGAGAATATACAGGAGATGAGTATATATCCAGAACTTCAGATTCGGACACCCCTATAAGTGGGAGGATTGCTGCGCGCCGGGCGAGCATGTCTCGGAGAAACTGGACTATCCAGGGCACTTCCATGCATGCTGCGCCGGACGTTTTGTGCTGCCTGGGCATGTTCTGTGTGTGCTTGTGCATGGCTTCCATCCCAGGAACGGTGATGTTGAGCCAATGGCCAATCAGCCGGCTTGTTCGGAGGCGCATTGAAAGCTGGCACTCGAAATTGCGGCGGAATAGGCGGCGGAACGCCAGAATCCATGATGCCACGGGTTCTTGGAGTCCTTGGTGACGGTGTACCGACGATGGAGGAGGAGCGGTTCGATGCATTGCGGTTGAATTGAGCATTGTCCGGTATGGCAACTCGAAGCTCGGGCGCTGACGATCGGTCCTTGAGAGAAGAGCCCTTGGCTTGTTGATCCGAGATCTTGGGCGGCTGTGGGAGGGCGATTAGGTTGCTGCTGCTTGCCGGCGCAGATGAACCGCCGTTCACCAGAGACATTGCTCGTCTTCTCTTTTCAGCCTCGGCCTTGCTCGAAGAAGTCGCGCTCATGTCGCCTGCGGCAGACTTGCGACGGCTCAGACTCAATGATGGCATCCTTGACGTCGCGGCTTCTGCAACCTTTCTCAGCGACCGTCGTTTTCTGAGCGATTTGGAGTCGTTCACGACGACCTCGATTTCCGCATTGCCATAACCAGCGGTGGCGCTGTCAGATGGAGCCAAAGTATCGACACTCAAGATGGTATTGAGGGTTGCAGTGCTAGCATCCATTCTGTGCAATGGTAAGCCGGACGAGGAGGCCATGAGATGCTTTTCATGCCGTCTAACCTTTGGCCTTGTGAAGACAGACCCAGGTGCAGTGGCCTCCTTGGCCACCTCGCTGTATGAAGCGCCGGTTTTGTCTCTCTCCAATCGCACAAACGGCTTGTACGGCTGTCTGCTCTTCTTCAAGCTATCGATGGAATTGATCAAGGGGGTCATGGTCTGCTGCTCCAGAGTCGGTCGTCGTGATTGGCCCTGGCTACTGGTATCGGTAATACATGAGCTCGGAAAAGAGCGCTCTGAGACATTGGAGCTGTAGCCACTGTCCGTCTTGGAGTTTGTTCGCGAGGATGCAGATGACGTCGTCGATGAGAAGCCACTGTTGGACCTCCACACGCCGAAGTTCTTGCCAGAGGCTGCCTCGACGTCTTCCGTCTCAACAACACATGCCATGAGGGGACTGGGAACTTTGGTAAGCGGGCTGGGCATCAAATCCTCCACGGGAAATTTCTCTGTCCGAATTGGCCGCTGTGAAGCTCTCCCATCCAAGCTGAACCCAGTGACGGATGCCAAGGCCCGCGATTCTTGTGACCCAACGACGCTGGGGCGGTTCTTGCGACGTGCCATGTTCAGTTCAAGGCCCGCATCATCAGGCATCGACCCTGATGGCAGCTGTTCGTCCCGAGGCTGTTTCACCTTGTCTTGAGGGCTTGAAGTGGGCGAGCCATTCGTAATCACCAGAGAGCCAAACTTGATACCTCCCAACTGCTTGTAATCCGATTCGCAGGGGGTGACGGCTCGCTCCAGTGGAGCAAACGCCATGTTCATGAGGGGCATAGAAAGATGCTTTGGCGCCTTGGAACTCGGTTTGAAGGCATATTGATGATCGTCTGCGAACACTGGTTGACTGTTCCGAGCAGTTGACCTGTCTGGAATGGAGAGCATGTCATCTCGTCTTGGGCGTGTTGCTACACCCGGTGTCTGGATCACAGAGCGTCGTCGTGTTGGGGCGTAGATTGACAGGTCTGAAGTCGTTCTCCCAATGGAAGATGAGGCAGCAACACTAGAGGCCCGACGGTTGCGAAATTGGCTTTGACTCGGGCTCGGGCTCGGGCTCGAGCGCATTACCATCTGGCTGTTCATAGCGGCAACCTGAAGCTCTTGCAGAAACTCTGAGCTGGTACGAGGCAGCTGCTGAGAAGCGTAAAGCTGAACCAACTCCGCCTGCATCGACCTACCCCTTTCCATCCGATTACCATGCCAACTAGATATTCCGTTAGCTCAATCGATTCCATTGGGTCTGGCAAGTCAGCATCAACCAACCTCTGCGTCCGAGCGAGGGGCCGCTCGGCATCATCCTGTATCACGGAACTCCTATGCCGGCGAGTGCTTGCTGCGGAAGTTGCATGAAATGAGTGAGACCTCGAATCTGTTATGGGCGAGTCGGGTAGAACGGGGCTGCGCATGTATTCGGATTCTCGTCGAGACAGGCGTCGAGAAGGCTCATATAGCCTTTCGACATAGGGCTCCGGCGCTGCATTGCCGCCGCCGGTGACGCACTGCGAGTTCCTAGAGGAGAAGGGTATGGAGGCTGCGAGATAGGATTCGGAAATTCGGGTGCTGCTGGAAGCAGCAGCTCCTGTGAGGTTCCGTGGCCTGGGCACCGCTCCATGGCTGGCTGCTCGAGGTTTGGACAGCTTCTGAGTTGCCTTTCGAGGCGCCTCTGTCGACGGCGTGTTCCCCATTAAGAGATCGCCCCGGAAGGAAGTAAGTCGAAAGAAAAGAGGAGGAGGAGGAGAAGGGGGAGGAAGAGAACTTGTTTGTTCCTCGAAGACAGCGCAATAATGGAGGGATCGTTTGGGGGGGTGGTAAACAACAACCAGGCCAGCTGCGGGAGATGCTTAGGTGTGGAATGCAGTCGTCGCCATGTCTCTCACAGAATCCGGGCGCTGACTTCAAAACATGGGGTTGCGCGTGGTTCTCCGCAGCAGCATTTGTAGAAGAACCGAAGCAGGGTAAGGTAGGTAAAGCTCAACGTCAAGTCGGAAGCCGGCTCGCCAAAGTCTAAGATGGCCAACAATGCTCCGAGGCAATGCGATGATATGCAAGACATGCAAAGAAGGTTTCCAGCAGGGCGTAGCGCAGTCGGGTATATAGTTTGCGACCTTTGTCTTGGAGTTTCTCCTCTCCAATAGTATAGTCTTCGCTTCCCAGAAGCCCGGCGACAAAGGTGAGCGTAAATGGGGAAGCTCGGAGAGGGGTGAAGCTTTTGGCCAGAGAACGCCACGCCCGATTGCTTGTTCCTAAACCGATGCCTTTGCGCCTCGCGGCCGGTTCCGGCGTCAATCTCTCGTCTGGCGGTTCGTAGAAGTCCAATGGAGCTCAGGTTGAGTCGGCGGCAGCTGCGCGATGGAAATGCGCGTTGAAAGAGCAGGAGTTGTGATGCGGAAAACACAAGACAAAAAGCCCTGGGCGCCGGACGAGCAACCCGAAAGTCGCGACACCAGGGCTCGATGATGGCCTTCACACATCATCTCCCACGGCAATCCCAAACAAGCGGCTAGAGCTCGTCGTATATGCGCTGGGCAGGTCCACAATTCCGGCGCGCCGCTGATGGAATTGAAGCCGCTTCCTGGTTGACGGGGACAGGGGCGGCCAAATTGCAACCGAAGCTACCCCTGTGAGATTGCCTGGTTGGTTGCATTGCAGCCAAGAGTTCGTCACGCTGCATGTCTGAGACAGGCAGAATGGCCATGGCGAACATGCTGGAACACCACCTTGGTTTCCCCTCTCGTCTTTGCTCTCTGCCTTGTTCTGCTGGCTTCTTCCTCTTCTTCTGCTTCTTCTACTTCTTCTTTTTCTTCTTCTTCGTTTTCTTCTCCCATCTTGCCGAGTGGTGGGAAAAGACGGACGATCAATCGCACGCCAAAAACCTTGCGGCATGTGAATCCGTAGGGCATCTCCGTGCTCGCAATTCGCCGGCCGTTGGGCTTTGCCATGGCCAGCTGGAGAGCAAGATTCGGGACTAGCTGGTCTAGCGCGCTCAATAGCTGAGGAGCAGAGTCAGCCAAGGCCATGATGGGCATTGCCTGTTCCGAAATCCGCAGCGCCCATGCTGGGTTTGCGGTTCGTACTGAGACGACGCCTCCCGTCTGTCTCAATTGTTGATCTTCTTCTGTCATCTTGTTTCTCTGGCCTGTGTCTTCAATTCTGCTGTCGTCAAGGGAAGAAGCTGCAATGCCAGCAACGTCACCGATGACTCCAGCTACGGCCCGCTCCCTCCGTCGAGCCCTTCCTTGTGCAGCAAAACCATCGTCATCATCGTCATCAGCAGCAGCGAGTCAATTCGCATCGAACCGATCGACGGCTACTGTTTGCATCGTCAGTCTACCAGCGCTAACGAGCAACAACAGAAAAGTCAAAAGACGGATCCCCGGCTTGCGAATCTCCATCCAGCTCTTCTCCAGCTGGCCTGCATGGGCGTGGCGTGTGGGGAGCCCTCATTACTGTGCGCCAACGATCTAACAGCGATAATTACCGGCGCCCCCCCATCCTCGCAGCAACGATCCGGAGAGGATGGAACATGAAACGTCCGAGAGAAGCAGCCGCTTCTATTTCCAGGCCTGGTCCGGGTTTCTGCCTTGATTTTGATGAGACAGACACAGAACTTGGTTGATGGACGAGGAGCTGCAGCAGCAGCAGCAGCACACGTTGGGCAAAGTCGCACCAGCAGTGGAGGGAAGGAAATGAGGCATGGCCATGACTAAGCTGCCCCCCTTTCCCTTGGTGCTACGAGTACTAAGTACCTAGGTAATTGAAGTGAACAATCACAATCTGTAACATGAACTGAGGAAAGCAATGTTAAAAATCGATTACGAAGCGGCCCCACTAATCAGGAACGAGTTGTCAATAGCATCGCGTCTTGACCAGCTGCTACTATAGAGTAGTGGCATTCTTACGGCATTCATTCAAGAAAGGCTCAATGATGCTCACTGAAAGTCAAGTCCGTTGCTGACAAGACAAAAGCTCTTCTCTGCGGGCAACTCACTCCTCTAGCATCGCTGACTCCCCCACTCAAAGATCCAGAAGAGCAGCAGAAGAAGCCAAAGCCAAAGTCAAAAGGCACGAGATTGTGCTGACCAGGTCGAGTCCCCCGGCCATCGAAATTTCGTTTCCCCCCCCTCTCAAGCGATGGGCTCCAATCTCTCCAGAGTATCCGTGCTTCCTGAGCAATTGCCTTGGAACAGTACTAAGGTACTACTAATACTACCTAGCATTGCATCATGTCATCCGGTGGCCGGCACGCACGGAGGAAAGGCTGCCGATGCCGAGGGGCAGCTCCTGCATGTCTCAGATTAGAGTTACCCTAGACGACCATCGTGAGAAGTTGGACTTGATCTTTTTCCTCTGAAGCCTTCTTTTGCCTTTTTGTTGTCTCGGCTGAGGCTTGGCTCTCCGAGCTATCTACTCACTCTATCTAGGATGACGTGATGCTACACTTGCTTTCCATTACCAATTGCCCGGACTATGAGGAAGTAGGGCCAATTGATTCGAGGTCTAAACTCCCATCCTCCTTACGCCGAAGATATCCTCCAAAGTCAAAAGAGGTTCTTCCTGTGGTAATGGTGGACGCAACGACATGTGGTTCTGCCTTACCTCGGCACCCAAGCAACAGCAATATCGCCCTCATTCAAGGCCACGAACATAGCCATTTACCCGTCCTCTCCTCCACGACAGGCCCTCGCGAGTGTCTCAGTCTCTTCCGCAGCCAGGCTGAAAACGGGTGTGTGGCGTTTTGTACAACTCATCAACTACCCCCCCCTCCTCCACGACACCGACAACGACTTGGCCTCACTCTCCAATCACGTACGTGCAGCCTTTGCTCCCGATCCAAACCTCATGCACCCGCCCAGCCTCGACGTCGACCCTGGAGCCAGGGCCGTAGGTGACCTTTGCGCGGTCCTCCTCGTTCGGATACCACAGTGTCATCTCGCCGTCGACGATGAGATGCGTTGTCAGCCCGGCATGCGAGTGGGGAGCGTAGTGTGAGTTGCTGCAAGCAAAAAAAAAAAAAGGCGAGCGCATTAGCGACCGAGGCAACGGACACACAGCCACCACTTCTTCCATTCATTCATCCATCCATCCATCCATCTATTGGTGATGAGTCTGAGGATGCAGCAGTGGTGCCATTTCGACCAAGAGAAGAATCATCGCACAACAGACGATGCATACTCCGCACCCTAAGCCAACACTCAAAGCAAAGGGAAATGCTCAACTTACGGCCCATCACTCCAGGTAAAGACATGGTCGAACCCCCACGATCTGACCTGCGCCTCATGCTGGTCACCCATCTTGGCAGAAGCTTGCTTTTGCGATACTACTACTAGTAGTACTACTAGCAGCAGGTCGCGCGCACCCCGCAGAAAAAGAATCCTTCTCGTTAGGCGAGCCTTGCTTGAAGCCCGTTTCGGCAGACCGAGGGCAAGACGAGCAGCACGAGGGCTGCTGAGACGGGCATGCGAGTGTGGCTGAGCACTTGTTTTTTGTGTCTCGTCTGTCGTCTGTAGCTAGCACAAGGTGGAAGCCCACAGGAATGAAAGCAGGTCAAACTGGCGCAATATATGATGGTGAAAATGGAAAAAACTAAGAGGTGTAAGATGATGATTAATTAATACTTGGCAGGTTGACTAATGGCCTGGCCATAAGGCCCCCGCCTCTCCTTATTAAAGAGGCAGGGACCTAACCTATATCTTTTATTAATATATATCCTTCTTTTTTAACTTTATAATACTATAACTTAATTAAATTACACCTAATTACTTTTAAATTTTTATAAAATCTTAATTAACTTCCTTATTTTAATATATTTAAATTTAAAAAGGATAGCTTAATATATATAGCTGCAGTAGTATAGTCTTATATTAATAGTAAGATATTAACTTATTAAATATATATAAATTTATATCTTATATATCCCTTAATAATTTATAAAACTATATTATAATTTTATATTAATAAAGATTTTATTAAGAAATATATATAATTCTTAAAGGCTAGCCTAGCCTTATTTAAAAGCAGGACTAGTAGTATGCCTATAGCTTTAATTAAAAAAGAGGAAAAAGCTATTATAATATATACTTAAAAAGTAAAAGGCAGCTCTTTTACCTTTATAAAGGCTTATTTTATTAACTAAGCTAACTTCTTTTATTACTATTAGTTATTTAAACTAGTCTTTAATTTTAATAAGTATTAAATTTATAAATTTAAAAATAGGCATCTTAAATTATACTTTTAAAAAGTAAAAATTAAGGAAATATAATAAGCTAAAGTAAAGCTTAATATTAATAAGCTAGAGTTATAATTTAAGAAATTAAAAGCTATAATTACTGCTTTTAATATCTTAGCTTATAACTTTTAAAACTTTAATAAAACTTTTTTATAACTTAAATAAATAAAAGGCTTATTAAAACTTATATTAATATAAAAAAAAGGTAATATATATTTAATTATTTTTTAGTTAAAAAATAAACAGTCTTTAACTTTTATTAATACTATTAGTATTATTAATAAAGCTATCCTTTTTTTTTTTATTTTTTTTATAAAAGTTATTTTTAAAAACTATATAATAGCCTTAATTAATAGAAATATAATTATTATATAAATAATAATTAAATTTAATAATACTTAATAAGCTTTATAATAGCTATAGTATTTTAATTATAACTCCTTTACCTTTAGCTTAAGCTTTAAAGGCTATATAATTAAAAGTTAGTTTAGCTACTTATTAAAAATAACTTAATTAACTTAAAGTAAAACTAAATATTATTAATAAAGTTATATTAAAAGAAAGATAAAAACTATTTACTAGCTTTTATTAATAAATAGATTTACTACTTATAAAAACCTTAAGTTTATATAATATTATAATCTTTTTAATATTATGCTTTTTAAGCTTTTTTTATATATAAGCTATTTTTTTTAACCTTTTAATATTAGTATTTATTAATATTTTAAGTAGTAATAGTAAAAGTCTTTATAAAAGTTTATAATCTTTAGCAGTATAAGTATTATAAAATATAACTTCCTTTATTAATAAGATAAGATATATAAGGCTGCCTTTAAAGCTTATTATATTTATATTAAATTTAAAAAAGCTAGCCTTTAGCCTTTTAACCTTAATTTAGTACTATTATTATTTTACTATAGCTAAAAGTAATAGCTAAAGCTACTTTTACTTAGCCTTTTTATTTAAAATATAATCTTATTATAGTTAGTTAAGAAGTTAATATAAAATATATAAAAAAAGCTTAAGATTTTAAGTAGCCTAACTTAAAATATTATTTAAAATATTATTACTTATATAAACTATATAATAATTTTAAATTATTAAATAAAAAAATATAATAACTTTAAGATTATTAAATTTAATATAAGGTATATTAAATAAAAACTTACTGCTAAATTTAAAGTATTATTAATAGCACTTATACTATTACTTAGCTTTATAATAAAATAGCTACTTAATAATAATAAAAAGTAAAAAAGGAAGCTTAAGTATAAGCTTATAAGCATTAATATTAACTATAATAATAATATACCTTAAATATAGCTAAAGCCTTATTAAAGCCTTGCTTTTATAGCTAGGCTGCTATTAATAAATAAAAATATTAAGAAAAGATATTTTAAGTATATTTTTAAAATTAAAAGACTTTAAAAAAAAGAGAGATATTATAGTAATTTATATAAAAATAAAATAAGGCTAATAATAATTATTATTTCTTTTTTTTAAGAATAATACTATAGCCTAATTTTTTAAAAATCCTTAAACTTATAACCTAGCTTAAAAAAGTTAAAAAAAAAGCCTAAAATTAATAAAAAAGCTAATTTAAAAAATAATAAAATTAATTAAAGCCTTAAAGCTAGCTATATTATAATATTATTATTTAATAGTACTACTAGTAATAATATTAAAAAAGATAATAATAATAATAATAATAATAGTAATATTAAGATTATTATAACTTCTAGCTATATAAAGACCTTATTTAATTATTATTTTAATATTTTTAAGTTTTTTTATATAAAAGGTCTTAGCCTTAAGCTTAATAAAAAAATAAATTAGAAAATTAATTAAAATTTAAAAAAGTTAAGGGTATTAAAAGTATATAACTTATTATTAAAAAATAAGCCTTTTATTATTATTATAAAATGCTAAATTAATATACTATAAATATAAGTATATCTTTCTTAATATTTTTAAATATAAATTATACTATTATAATAACACTTAATATATTAATTTTTATATTAAAAAAAAACCTTAAATATAGTTTTATATAGCTATTAATTTTTTTTTTATTTTCCTTTTACCTAGGTATTATAATGCAGCAGTTATACTATAATAAAAGGATATATATTAATAAAAGATATAGGTTAGGTCTCTGCCTTTTTAGTAAGGAGAGGCGGGGGCCTTATGGCTGGGCTATTAGTTAACCCGCCGAGTAGCTAGTATTCGAGTAGAATCGTCTGATGCCATGTGCATGTGGATGACCTCACTATACTAGAGCCCCACCCGCCTAACGGCGGTGCCACGCCACGAGCCGCAGCGCTGGGAGGCTTGGACGAGCCCGAGTAGACGCAGTATCTTGGTCTTTTTCCCTAGAGATTTTTTGATGTTTGCAACTGGACCTCACCGAAATGTGAAACCTGTGGTGGCGATGATCGAGCAGCACCACCGAACATTTCACAGAGAGGATGGAAAGTCCATCAACAGCTGACGATACAAGCGTCCAGCTCAAGGACATACCTACTTGTACAGGTCGCAGTATCGTCAGATTCTATGCAAGTGCTGGCGACAAATCTGCCCAAGGCATCCTCATCGCCGCCCTACGAGGACAGCAGGCCACCCTCTTCTCAGCTGGCCAGCGGCCAAGGCAACTCTGGCCTCACCACACCTGCGACGCAAGGGTTGCATTGGTAAATCCCTCCCCGATAGCCCTGTTTTGCGCCAGTCCAGCCCAAGTCCAGTCCAGTCCAGTCCAGTCCAACCACCTCTGCCAGGTAGACACTCGATGGAGTCGCTTGTATACATAGCACTTGTTACTATAGTTGTACTTTCAAGCGCTCAAGTACATACGCGAATACCACTGTCTCTTCAGCCGTCAGTTACAGCTCGATCCATACAAACCGTAGAGCATCAACATGCTCCCTAGACGACGAAACTCTCAGATTCACAGCCAAAGGCTGCAACCAACCAACCAACTAACCCCAACCAGCGCTTCTCCAGCCCTGCAACAACACACGCCAACCCCCTGTCGCTCATCAGATGACTTGCACCCAATCCCGTCGCTCTCACCGGACGGCATGCCCGCCAAACGCTCCGTATCATCGACTGGCACCAGCCGCCAGCCCAGCTTCAGATTCTGGGGACCGGCAACAGCGGGCCAATCGCCACGGACCGCATTTCCAGACGGACGCAAGAGTCGACAGCAACAACCAAATGCAAGGTATAGGTAAGGTAGATACTAAGACATCTGGAGCAGTAGTATTAGATAGTACATATCCGGTACATGCGAGAGCCAAAGCCGGGACCCATCCGTCAGAGCCGCGGTAGGATCGTCCAGGACTCCAGGCCTGCGTGTGCTTTGCTTGGGTCTCCGGTAAGGCTGTGCACGCGCCCTCCTTGATCCATCAGCAGGTACCTAGTAGTAGTAAAGCGGAAAGGCAAGACATCAAAACGGGTCGACTGGAGACGTGCCGGCGTCCCGTCGAGTCAAGGCCCATCCCAGGCCCAGGCGGTTCGACAGCTAATGAGCAGCAGTCATGGTAGTAGTACTTCAACACCACGACTCAGTGATTAGGTGCTGGGCTGATGCCGGTGATGGTGATGATGCATTCGCTTCGGTACGGTACTAGGCAGTAGGTGCCTAGGTAAGGTAGCTGCTCTGATTGGGTTCAACGTTGAACGCCCTGATGCACTTCCATGCTGTCGCTTGCTGTGCAAGTCCATCTGCCTTCGCACGGTGCGCCCTCCCGCCCGCCACGGCGCCGCGGCCCCGACTTTTGAGGCTCAACAAGGCGCTCAAGCACCCTGGGCTACAGAGGCCTCAGTCCCACCCCCCCCCCCGACGCCTCTGCCGCTCTCGCACGGTGCGCGCCGCCGAACGGCCTCTACCTTAATCCCAAGGCGAGCCCACTATTGGCCCCGGACATGCGCCAGAGACCCTGGCAGTGCCCCCCCCCAGGGAGGACGAAGGAGACCTAAGCAGCAAAGCACAGCGCTGATGAAGCTGCTGATACACAGAGCATCATGCACATGCTTTGCAAGCCCTGTCATAATGTACTACCTAGCCCGTAGATAAGTATACCCAGCATGTACAGTAGAGTACAGTACAGTACATGCAGAGTGGAGTTGACCCTCGAGGGCAACGGCAGCTGAAAAGCCCAATCGATAGCACACAGGCTCTGCTACCTACTAACTGCGAACTTACTAGGCACAGCTGGTAGCGGCACCTAAATTAAGAAGCTGACCGGCCCCGATTTCCTCTCACCAAGCTCCAATCCCTCGTTCCACCTCGTCTTCGCTTGTTCCTCGTTACCCGTCCCGTAATCATAACTCTTCTCTTCTTTTGACTCTCTCCATCTTCATCTTTACGTCGATACTGCCGTCTCAGACACAGCGGCTCAGATTGCCCAACAGACGCGCAGCCGCACAGGAGGGCAGCCATAAATCTCCGTGGTTATACAGCCGATCCAGAACGGGAACCGAGACCAGCCTTGTCCATTATACCGATCCCAGACAAACAAACATACAGACAGACAGACACACGACACAACAGCCGCAGCTTGATCCATCCCCCAAGCGAAACGAACAGCCAAGAACAACGCCCCATACCCAACTGCACCACCGCCTCTGCCGTTATCGACTCTCCCGTCTAAGCTCCATCACATTCGCCCAATCCCTAGCCCTCCGTCCGCTCCCAGAGCGGCTGGCAGTTTCTTGCCTCCCATGCGCTCCTCTCCACGATAGCGACAGTGAAAGCGACAGCGGCACAATCTCGCTTCTTGTCCTCGTCTTTCTCTCTCCCTGCCTCTCCCTGCCACACATTCACATCAGCCACCATGTCTCTTGCCTGTGGACTCTTTGTAAGTCTCACTCTCAGCCCATCGCCCTCACGCTCTCTAGCCAATTCTCTGCTGACGACGAATCACACATACAGCGCCGTCGCTCAAGATCAGACGAGAAGAAGCCACGCCGGACCCGGACCTTTTCCATCTTCGACCCCAGCATCGACGTCCTCAAGCGGATGATCAAGAACGCCACCATGATTGCTCCCGCGAGATTCCACGACGGCGGAACGACCATCTCCCGCGTCGGATCCCTTTCGCGCGAGCACTCAATGACGCCCGAGATGTTTGCCATCCTAGAGAACGTCTACGACGACCTACGAAAGGACGACCTTGAGCTGTCGAGGGAAGCTTTCATCGAGTTCCTCAGGGATGTGCAGGGTGAGGCCACAATCCAGCTGGACAAGGAAAGGTTCTCTCTAGGGGACTTTATCTACACCTTGGCACATGCGTACCGATGGGATGCCGTCCGGAAACCGTCGCAAAAGGACTATTCGAAACCCATCACAAACTACTTCATCAACAGCAGCCACAATACCTACATCAGCGGCAACCAATTGGCATCCAAGACTTCTCCAGAGGCCTACATGAATGTACGTCTGCGCTTTCCTTATGTCACACGGCTTCCTATGAACAGCTGGGCCAAGGGGGGGGGGGGGGGGGGAACAGAACTTCCGATTTTTGTCATCGATGCTGACTTACCTCGCCTAGGTCCTGAAGAGGGGCGGTCGCTGCATCGAAATCGATGTCTGGAATGGCGACGAAGTCTTGATCCCCGGCGCGTCCAAGTCGCCAGCCGGCAGCGGCCATACGAGGGCGCTTTCCGGCATCTCTGGCAGCTCCCTCCCCTACGCGGCGGCTGCCGTCATTGAGAGGGTCGAGGACAAGCTCGAAGCAGCCAAAGACACCGCCAAGGGTTATCTTGGTAGCTCGAGCGGCAATGGACGGTCCAGAAGCACCAGCACCAACAGCAGAACCATGACGGATGACGCATCGTCAAGTTCCAGCAACGTCTATCTCGCCGTCGACGGCAGTGCATCCACCGAGAAGCTCGAGGTGCCCCGTCAGTCAAGGACTCGCCAGACTTTGCCCCGGGGAGAGCCCATTGTCACACACGGCTGGACATTCACGACGCCGTGTGGCTTCCGCGAGGTGTGCGAGACGATCCGGGACCATGCCTTCTCTCACGGAAATGACCTGCCCATCATCATTAGCCTGGAGGTCCACGCCGATCACAACCAGCAAGAAGTCATGGCGACCATCATGAAGGAGGTCTGGGGTGACATGCTTATCCAAGAGCCTTACGAAGGCTGCGATCCCAAATTCAGAGTGCCCACGCTGGACGATCTGCGATGCAAGATCATGGTCAAGGTCAAGCGGGCAGTCGCCAAGATTGACCATCACCCCGACGCCACCGCATCTCTGCCCGTTCTGCAGGCAGAAGACGATGGCTCGACGTCGGATGATGAGCAGCGTCCAACCCCTCTTCTCCGAGCGGCCGTCTCCTCTCCGCCAGGCGCCGTGCCTCAGCAGGACGAGAACGGCAAGGTGACGATATGCAAGCCCTTGAGCGATCTCGCCGTCTACACCCGCAGCGAGCGGTTCAAGAGCTTGAGCACCCCCCAGGCGAAGCAGCCCACGCACATCTTTTCCATCAGCGAGGATAGGATCTTGGAGCTCCACGACAAGTTTCCGCGCGAGGTCTTTACCCACAACAAGAACTTCTTCATGAGAGCCTTCCCTGCTGGGCGGAGAATCAACAGCTCCAACCCCGACCCCACGCTGTTCTGGCGCAGGGGAGTCCAGATGGTGGCCATGAACTGGCAGAACATGGACGAGGGCATGATGCTCAACGAGGCCATGTTCGCAGGCGAGGACGGCTGGGTGCTCAAGCCCGCGGCCTACCAGGGCGCCGACAAGCTCAGCGTGACGCTGGACCACGCCGCCAAGCACACGCTGGATCTTACCCTCACCTTTTTCGCAGGACACAACATCCCGGCCGAGGAGGAGGATGAGGGGGACAATCCGCGCAGCAGAAGCGCTCTGCGTCCTGTCATCAAGGCCGAGCTCCATATTGGCGAGACCGACAAGGACGGGCACGAGCACTCGTACAAGCAGCACACAAAGGCGGCCAAAACGTCCAATCCCCAATTCATGTCCAGCTCCCATCACAAGAGTGCCGGCGAAAAGCTGCAGTTTCTCAACATTCCCAAGGTGGTGGAGGAGTTGAGCTTCATTCGGTGAGTTACCATTTCTGTACTCAGCAACTTTCATTTGTCCCTTGTCTCCCTCTCATGCTTCCTCGCTTCCAACCTTTGCCCTCTTCTCCTCCTGGCATGCGTCTTGCGCGCCAGAGTCTCTTACCCCTTCTTGTGTCACGCTTTGAACCTGCCACGACATAGTCGACGTATGTGTGCTTGCATACGTCACAGAAGCACGTCGTGCTCGGCCAACTGGCAACGAACGAACCAAGCGGTCGAGGCACGGGTAACTCCCCAAACCTGCCATGCCGTGTCTCCTGAACCTCAGTCCTTCTTCATCACTGCCACACAAGCTCGTATCGCTGGCGGGTGAGGGCATTCACGGATCCAGCTTGTCGGGTCTAGGCTTGCGCTACCCAACCCCCCCTTTTTTTGCTTCCTTCTCTGCGGCAGGCTGCCATCTTGAGGTTACAGCAGAAGGGGTAAAAGTATCCTTGCTCGTGTTCGTAGCTTGCATTACCAGCTGCTAGCTACCTGCCTTTTGCCATAAGTTCCTAGTTGTATTACCCTCATGAACAAGAGCAAGGCGACCGTTTCAACCCGTCTTCCCCGGTGGTACCACGGTTCACGGCCGAACAAGACAACAAGGGGGGGCAAAGAATGATTTTTGTGAAAGCAAAACGACTAATCAAGAGCATCTGCATGATCAACAGGCTCAAAATCGAAGACGCCTCCCACACCGTCAGCTCGCCGTGCCTCGCGTGGGCATGCATCCGCCTCGACCGCCTGCAGCAAGGCTTCCGCTTCATCCGCCTGCACGACATGAAGGGCAACGAAATCATCGGCGGCAAGCTGCTTGTAAAGGTCGAGAAGGTGTTGCGGTGAACGGCTACGATGACGCCGACACCCAGCCATGCTCTCTCTCTCTCTCTCTTTCTCCCTCCTTTGCCCTTACGTCCTACAGCAACTGGACTGGAAAGTGATACCCCATCCATTCAGGTTCTTTGCTTTTTTTTTGTCGTCTTGTACTTTTTCTCTTTGCCTGATTCCATGTTTGGACGATATACTTTTTCTTTTTATCTCGTTGGTTTACATCTTTTACTTTACATCTTTCCAAGATTCCGCCGTATCATTCAACTTGCCCTTTCTTCTTCTTGTTCTTTTTCTGTTTTTCTTTTTCATTTTCACATATTTCCCATTATCGGCATACACAGATTTCTCATGAAAGAGACGGGCGAAAGAACCCAAAACGATTCCCCCTACTGTTGGCATTGTACTTTGAGTCCTTTTTTTTTTTTTTTTTTTTTCTTTTCTTCTTCTTGTGGGATCAACGGCGTCCCTCGTTTAGACCCATGTTTTCTTCATCTTCTGGATGGATATCTTTTGTTTTATTCTCATCATATCAGAGGCTTAGATTGGGGAGCTCACGTATCATAGAAAGAATGTCCACCCTGGATTCGATGGATTTGGTTAGGATCGGAATGGGATTGAGTTGGAGCGGCTTTTGGAAGAGAAAGAAACAGAGAGACAGAGAGAACAACGTCACTTCATAGGACAAGGACGAGAGTTGGTTATGGCTTTGGAAGGGCGGTAAAGGCAAGAGGAGGACACTACTCGGGCTGGCTATGAGAGGCGTTGGGATAAAGATTGGACAGCAAAAGGGGGGAGGGGGGGCTTTCACTTTGCCGGTTTTGGTCACGACAGGAGATAGTCATCATCATCATCAACTTGATCTCTGGCCCAAGGCCCGCCTTTGGGCCAATGCATTGCTGCGTCATCTACAGTCCACTGCATTTCCTGTGTATGCTTCCCAGCTGTGACGTGAAGCTGTTTTTTTGGCGTGGTTGATTGGTGTGTGTGCCAGATCGCAGAGTAATGGTTCGATGTCATGAATAGACGGCTCTCCTGTCCACAACAACACACCACCCATTCACAACGGCTCCCACACTTCCTCCATCTCCCCCCATCTCTCCCCTCCTCCTTTCTAATCTAAGCTAAGAGCATGCAGTGGAAAGAGACTTGAAATCCTCCCGCGGGAATGGCACACGGGTGTAGCCACGCTTTCCCACCCTTTGCAACAGAGACGCATGCACCTCAACCATCCACCGGCCCTCGCTACGATACTAGCCATGCATCCATCCCCCCCCCCTTTCCCCCTGTTCTCCCAGACTCCATCCACACTATTACGACATACAGAAAGGCGATGGAGGAGAAGGAGGAGGAGGAGGAGGAGGAGGAGGAGAAAGAAGAAGAAGACGTGAGGAAGAATGCAAGATGATAAGGGGGCGGTCATACCAAGGATGCCTGCATCTTGGAGCCCACGCCTCCCAACCAGAACCACAGATTCTGAATAAGTATCACAAAGAAACAGATGTCCCTACACAATTCAGCAACGACAAAGAGAAATGAAAAGGACAACGCTCTACTAGTTGAAAGAGCCCGTCTCCATGCCAGACGCTGCCCGCGCAGTAGTGCGGCCGCTGAGCGCGGGAAGGCTCCCGGAAATTGGTAGCTCCTAGCAGACTGTCACGATCGAGGAGGAGAAAAAAAAATGATAAAAGGGTAGCGAGCCAATTGGATGCCACCGACATAGACCTTTAGGCTGACCCAGTCTCCTTCAGACACTGCGGAGCTGATTCGTCTGGGTTTTCTCTTCTTCCTGCGTTGGTCTCAACCCCCTCCTGTATGGCCTCCTCTGCTGATGATGCTAGTAGGGCGCGGCTAGTGGCATCGGAGGAGGAAAGGCTGATGCCGCCGTGGCACGACGCCGTCGAACGCCGTTGGGGATAGTCAAAGGAAATGCTTGGCGGTGAGACTGAAAGGGTTGGTCCATCGATGTCTGCCACTTCGGATGCGGCTGCTGCCGCCCGCATCCTTCTAGGAACGCGGCCCCCAGAAACAAGTTGGAGCAGACAGGAGCATGTCTCGACGAAAGGGCCGCTCATCGTCACCAGGAGAAGGCAGAGGCAGATGGGGGGAGGCGTCAAGCTGCGCGGCCAAACGTCGTCTGGGCGACACGGAATAGACAAACGGTCCCACTGCCGACGGTTGGGGAACAGGCGCGCTGGCAGCCGAGTACGAGTCCGCCATTAACTCCGTTGATACACGCTGCCCATCGCCTGCAGGCTTCCGGCATTGCTTCGAGCCGTCTTGGCTGCCAGTGACGCAGTGAAACATGCTACTAGCAAAAGCTCCGGCATGAACACAGAATGGGGATTTGTGCCTGTTGGTTGCCCGCTGTTGTCTGGGGGGGGGGGGGGGGGGGGGGGAGGCCGCATCTCGTCAAGTCCTAGCCACCGTCGAGGCGACAGGGAGCGAGCCTGGCATTCCCATCCAAGCTGCGACTCTCTTCCTCTCATTCATCCCGCCTCTTCTGCTCCTGCCCCTTCCCCCCCTCTCTGGCCTCTCCGTCTTCTCTTGGGGTGCGGAACGAGTCCATTGGCCATAGGACGTGAGTCTGTCGGGAGAGTCTGCTGTTGTATGATAGGTCCGCCCTGGACGTTGGGCTTCCATTGGCTGAAAAGTCTCGAGCTACATGTCTTCTGCAGTGAAATTGTCTGCAGAGCAGGGCACTTTCGACGGACAAGTCTGCCCTGATGGCGTTGCCAGTTTGGCATGCAGCAGACGATACAAGTTAGGCCAAAGGCAAATATCGGCGATGCCATCGACCCATGGTAACTCGCCGCGTGCACAACAAATGGCAGTCTGCCATAAAGATCTTTCCAGGAATACAGCTGAAGGACCATCCAGGCCACCCATGTTCTCAAACCCAGAGTCACGGGGGAATCACTCACCAGGGTTGAGGATTGAGAAATACAGCCGGGGTCTGATATTCGCGCCAACACATGTAGCCGGTCTCCATCCTTGACAGTTGCAGGCGTGCCTTATACGACTTCAAAGATGCGGAAAGGAGCAGCAAGTCTAAAAAGCTACTGCATATCCTGGATTAGCCACGCAAAGCGGACAGGTCGTTGACGTTAGCCATTGATGGGCTATAAGTCAAGCGCCTGTGAGAAGACACAATGAGTGAAAACCTGCATAGCAAGTCAAATCAGCCCATTAATCAAGCCGAAACAGTGGCACCGTCATATCAGTAAGCCGTACGAATGGTTGCGAGGAATGGGAACATAGTTGTGACCGAATGCTCGGGGAGTCTTTTCACGCCCCCCCCCCCTTTCGACAGGGTCCCTCTAGCAGGATAGACAGGTGGTCACGGTCACGAGGGCTGGGCATAAATGCATGCCTTGTCCATGAAAAGACTTGTTTTGGCCCCCGATCCGACCCCCAATCCGAATCAGGCGCGAACCAGGTCGGCGGTCGGGTTGTGCCTCATGGAATCCGCGTAGCCATGGTTGCTGGTCTCCGTTCATTTGCTGAGGAATTCCGCCATATCTCTCCAATGGCAATCCTAGCAGACGTTTTCATTCTATATCACCTCCGCTGTAGGGGCACTACTACTTTGACTCTTCGAAAGGGTAAGATCTGGGAATGGAACGCAGCTCCCAGAGCTAAGGAGCCTGGCGCGGTTGGTTGTGACGGCAACACGGAGCCTTGCCGTGAGCGTACTGTGCTTGTACAAGCTGGCGTTCGTTTCTCGGGCGATGGTTGACCGCTCCGTCTCATCGCTTCCTGAGCGCTAAGCAGGCTCCTTGGGGTGGCCGTGTCATCCTGCGCTTTGATAAGTGGTTTGACGCTCTTCCCGCTGGTGAAATGTGAGACATGCTCCCGCTGGTGGCTTGGCCGATCTCATCCCCCGGTCAATAGGCCGCTCCGCTTCGATAATTTCAGCTTGAATGATGGCATGCCTGCAAAGCTCTTTCCGCGGTTCTAGTAGTAGCAGCACCTCTGGGCTAATCCAGAGGGTTGCCTGGCTTTGGGTAATACGGTGATCCAACCGGGGACCAAGTACGTTTTCTAACCTGCCCATAGCCTGTGCTGCAGCTGGCTTGTCTCCTGGCCCCTGTATGTTGCGACGCTCGAGTCTTCAGTGGATAGTGGTCCGAGGCCGAATCCTGCCAACCATGCCTTGACTGGAATGCCGGACAGAAGTGTTGAGTAGTTGCCCAAGTATATCTCTATGCCATCGATGAATCAAGGCCGATTCGACAGCTCCCCAATTCGCCATTCATGTGCATGAATGCTTTACTGAGCTCAGCATAACGGATAACGCGGACATGGCCGAGCGTTCTCGTGACGCACATAACATGCAGTGCGCTACTGTCATCAAGGCGAGTCGAAGAAAGTCCGTTTCCCGAAGCATCTGGGGTACCGAGTCCTGTCGAAGTGCCGAACCGACTGCCTGGCCAAGTGACGATGCGTCCTTCAATACTGACCATATCCCGCGGATGTTGACCACTCTCAGTTGGTTCACGCCTGCTTCGAACCGAATCTGTACTTCAGCAATGCCATGTGCTCCACGCATGCTTCCTACATTTGTAGTAAGCATTTCGGCAAGGGGTAATGCGGTAATCGCAAGGAAACTCGCTGCTCAGGCCAGGCCAAAAGCTCAAATAGCCGTCATACTCGTACAAGTTTGTCGTCTTGCAGGCTATCGTCCATTACTGTAACCTATGCAGCCGGCCGAGATGATCGAGTGGGGAGCAAAGGCATGGGGCGAATGCCATCGTCGTGTTCCTCTCTCCAGATACAACAGTAGCAGAAGGTTGTGTAATCCATGGGCCGTGTACGGAGTACAACCAAGCTGTGGCTCCTATTCCTGCAGAGATTCCTTCAACAACGGTGTCGGGTTGTATTCCCTGTATCTGACTGGCTACTGCCGAGTAGGCTTTGTCAGGAGTTGCAAGGTCCTTGACAACGTGACGCAGCGGGATTGCTTAATTTCAACAACCGCCGATTCTGGGCAGAGCTGGCAATATAAATCTGAA